CTCTTATTATGAGTAATAGGATAACTATATTTAGTATGTGCATACCTTGCAAGGTCATCATGCCTGTCAGACAGTTTTCATCTGACCTCGACCTCATTTCATGGATCAGTGAACAAGGGTAAATTTTCGTGGTCAAGTCCATATATCAGATACTATAAGCAATAGGTCTACTATATTTCTGTATGGAATGATTGTAAGGTAAACATGTCCAACTGGCAGGTGTCATTTGACCTTGACCTCATTTTCATGGTTCAGTGGTTAAAGTTAAATTTTTGTTTTTGGTTTTTTCTAATACTATATGCAATAGGTCAACTATATTTGGTGTATGGAAATATTTTACTATGAACATGACAGTCTGGTAGGTTTTATTTGACCTTGACCTCATTTTCACGGTTCATTGCTCATTGTTAAATTTTTGTGTTTTTGGTCTTTTTTTCTAATACTATATGCAACTGTATCTGGTGTATGGAAATATTTTACTATGTATATGTCAGTCTGGCAATTTTATATGACCTTGACCTCATTTTCACGGTTCATTGCTCAGTGTTCAGTTTTTGTGTTTTTTTTGTGTTTTGGTCTGTTTTTTCTATAAGCAATAGGTCAACTATATTTGGTGTATGGAATGATTGTAAGGTGTATATGTCTGTCTGGTAGGTATCATCTGACCTTACCTCATTTTCATTGTTCATTGGTCAATGTTTAATTTTTTCATGGTTGTTTGTTTCTTAAGATACTATAAGCAATAGGTCAACTATATTTAAGGCATAGATTGAGTGTAAGGTGTACATGTCTGTCTGGCATTGTTCATCTGACCTTGACTTCATTTTCATGGTTCATTGGTCAATGTTAAATTTTCCTGGTTAAGTTTTTTTCTTAAAAACTATAAGCAATAAGTCAACTATATTTTGTGTATGGAATGATTGTAAGGTGTACATGTATTTCCTGTTTGGTTTATCTGACCTTGGCCTCATTTTCTTGGATCATGTTAAGTTTGTGCGATACTTGTAGTAAAGCTTTATATTTAGGACTATCTACATAAAATCAATGATCAGACATTTCTGCGTGTGAACTCTTTAGTATAGTTTGTCCTTATGTTGTACTATTAAACCACTGTCCCAGAATAGGGGGAGAGTTTGGCGCCAACAAACTAGTTTAATTCCGCCACATTCTTTATGTGCCTGTCCCAAGTCAGGTACCTGTAATTCAGTGATTGTCGTTTGTTGCTGTATATCATATTTGTTTTTGGTTCATTGTTTTGTACATAAATCAGGCTGTTAGTTTTCTGGTTTGAATTGTTTTACATTTGTCATTTCAGGGCCTTTTATAGCTGACTATGCGGTATGGGTTTTGCTCATTATTGAAGGCTGTATGGTGACCTATAGTTGTAAACTTCTATGTCATTTGGTTTCTGGTGGATAGCTGTCTCATTGGCAATCATACCACATCTTACTTTTATATTTTAGAGGGCATCACAAAAACAAACAAAACTTGAATTAAGTGATCTAGTGGAAGCTCTTAGATTGAATGACACCTGTATTTTATGTTTCATAGCATTGTGTCAAAGACCAAAGAAGATTTTGTAGAATGATACTCTCATAATCACCTGGAAACAAAAAAAAAATGGGAATTTTATGTTAACTAAGGGGCATATTTCAGGAACGGTACAAGACAAATTCATGAAAATCAAACATGATCTGTAGTTTAAGATCAATGACATTGTGTACAAATTTCAAAAGATTTGTTCAAGTGGTATTTGATCTTCATCTAGAAGGGAAAAAAACAACAAATTTTTAAGGTAGCTAAGGGCATAACTATTGAACAGTAAATGTCAAAACTATCAAAAATGACTTGACCTGTATTTAATGGTTCATGGCATTGTGTTAAAGTTTCAAAAGATTTTGTAAGCTTTATTATCATTATTCTGAAACCCCAAAAAAGCTTTGACTTTTAAAGTATTAAAGGGCATAACTGTGGAACAGATTATGTCAAAACAATCACAATCAAACTTGACCAAAAGATTTTGTCAAGTGGTACTTTAATTATTTTGGAAACTAAACTTGTGACTGAGAGGACAAACCAACAGACTGACATGGTGTGCATGACTTTATACCCCCATCTCCTCCAGTTCTCCTCCAGGTAGGGTTTAAAAACAGTACAATGTAGTGACACTAATACTAAAGCACAAATCAGCTAGGCTTGCATGGTATTTCTGATATATCATTTTGTCTCGTTCAATGTCACCAAGAGTGTTTTTATTATATTTCACTTCATCTTGAAAGTTGTTGCAAATATAATTTGTTGTATCTGGTGTTTTAGGCCAAGGGATAGCTTAACTTGCACTAACAATCTTATCCTTCAGCACTAATGGAGAGGCCCTCTCGAATTTAACATGACCAAAAGTATTGACTGGAAACTAAACCTGTGGCATAGAGGACAAATTAACAAATGCTTTAGTATTTTACACGGATCCTGTGTGATGGCTCTTCATGAGTAGAGTTTCTGATAGCAATACTATTTAGTTTTTGCTCTGGTACATTGACCTTAACCGGTATAACTGTGAGTCATACTTGGTGGAGTTTGATGCCTGTAGGCATTATTCATTGTATAGTATTTCTGATCCATTGATAGACCTTCACACAAATCTTACAATAATTAAGCTTTGGCGATCACTTTTTCATATGTGTAAGCTACATTTATTTAAACCATCTTTGACCAATAATTGGAGGGTGTGGGTCAGCTAGTACAACATGAATTGCTTGAAACAACTCAAACAGCAACATACAGTGTGCATATACATGTATAGCCATAAATGTTGACCTTAAGATGTATTTCAGTTATTTGTGTTGTTTGTTTGCTGTCTCATTGGTGTATTTCCCACATCTTCTTTTATTCATACAAAGACTTAATATAAAAAGTCTGGTTTAAAAGGCTATCATAGAGTATATGAATTAATGATAATAAAAACAATAAAATGCTCCGCTGGGCGCAGCTTGATACGACCGCAGAGGTCGAACCCTGAACAGTTGGGGCAAGTATGGACACAACATTCAAGCTTGATACAGCTCTGAATTTGGATTGTGATTAAATATTTGACACAGCATAGGTTTCTGACACAGAATGAATGTGGTCTAAGAACTTATAATTTTTTAATTTACCTATTATGGTCCAATATCCAAAATCTAAATACATGTTTAAATTCAGCATATCAAAGAACCCCAAAAATTCAATTTTTGTTAAAATCAAACTAAGTTTAATTTTGGACCCTTTGGACCTTAATGTAGACCAATTTAAAAAACGGGACCCAAAATTAAAAATTTAAATACACGGTTAGATTTGGCATATCAAAGAACCCCAATAATTGAATTTTTGATGAAATCAAACAAAGTTTAATTTTGGACCCTTTTGACCTCAATATGAACCAATTTGATAGCGGGCCCACAAATAAAAAATCTAAATACATGGTTAGATTCAGCATATCAAAGAACCCCATCTAGTCAATTTTTGTTGAAATCTAACAAAGTTTAATTTTGGACCCCAATTTGGACCAACTTGAAAACTGGGCCCAAAATCAAAAAATCTAAATACATGTTTAGATTCAGCATACTGTAAATTCAGAAATTATTGCGTGCATTTATTATTGCGATTTTTGAAGAATGGACTAAAATGCGAGATTAATTATTGTGATTTCAGGAAAATCTGCATACAATTATAAGTATCAGATATCAGTATGCGAGTTCTTATTATTGCGATCTTCATCCACTCGCATTATTCGCATTAATAAAAACCTCGCAATAATTTCTGAATTTACAGTATCAAAGAACCCCATATATTCAATTTTTGTTAAAATCAAACTAAGTTTAATTTTGGACCCTTCGGACCTTAATGTAGACCAATTTGAAAACTGGACCCAAAATTAAAAATCTAAATACATGGTCAGATTCAGCATAACAAATAAATCAATGTGGTCAAAGATTTTACAAATCTAATGCGCCATACTGTGCAATTTAAGATTACTTCTTGAAATTTTTCAACATTTGAAATTTGAAAAAAAAAAATATTTGAAGAATAATTCTTTTTAATTTATGAAATCTGAAATGAAAAAAAATTGACCCTCCACAATTTCTTTTTACCCCCCCCCCCCCCTCCTTTTTCCCCTAAAAAATTCTTTCCCTTAAGATATGGTCATAATCTCAATTCAAATGTCCAATGGAATTTGCAACCATAATTACCCATTTAAATTTACCATAGTGCTAACTTAATTTATTATTTTATAATAGAATTTGAAATATGGTGTCAAATCTTTCATATGGATTTTTTTGTAAAAAAAAGAGATGCAACATTTGCAGATATTTTTACTGGTTTTCCTTTATAAATATGCATTTCTTTAAACATAATTTAAAAGCAGTGTAAGGGAAGTAATCAAAACGTTGTATTTGGATTACCTCCCTTACACTGTTTTAAATTGTCTTAATTGTTCATTAACCATTACTTTATACATAATTTAAAAGCAGTGTAAGGGAGGTAATACAAATGATGTATTTGATTTATCTCCCTTACACTGCTTTAAATTATGTTTTGTACTAAAGTATTTGTCCATTAACCAGGACAACCTTGTTTTTCCCCCTTTTTTGCCCCTAATTCCTAAACAGTTTGAGCCATAACCCCCCAAAACAAATCCTAACCATCCCTTTGTGGTATGGAAACTTGTGGTATAATTTCAGACAGATCCATACACTGTTCCACAAGTTATTGTCTGCAAACTAGAAAATGCTTATTTTTGGCCCCTAATTCCTTAACTGTTGGTACCATAACCCCCAAAATCAATCCCAACTTGCCTTTAGTGTTATTCAACCTTATGGTAAAATTTCATAGAGATCCAGTCACTTAAACTAAAGTTATAGTGCAAAAACCTATGTGTCTTCGGACGACGACGACAACGCCAACGTCATACCAATGTACGACCGCAAAATTTTTTTGTGGTCGTATAAAAATGGTTTAATTATTTTGATAACACTTTGTATTCTGTATAACATTTAATCTTTCTGTATCAAGGTTATGGTAAATCTGGTTCTTCTTCATCTGAATCAAATTCTGCATCTTCATCTTTAATCCACTTTCCAAATAAATCTTTCTTCCACCCAGCCCTGTTACAAGAAAAACATACTTAAACAATTATGACATGAAAGGAAAGGAAAGAATCATTGAGACCTTTAACAATTGTTATGCTGGTACTGGTAACTAAAATGCCAGCAAAGGCCCCGCTCGCAAGCTTTTGTGTGAGGCACAGAAACAAATAAAACTGATACAAACAAAGCAATACATGTTCCTCAGGTATCACATTTTCTAGATTTCGTGGTACAAAAGAAACATGAAATTAAATCCTTTTTTTGTGAATTAATATTATTCATCAATTTCTTTTGTATTGATCATGCCATTTAAAAAAATGGCAACCAATAGATCTTTTGAAAATGGGAGCCGTCAGATAATTTTTACACCAAACATCAATTCATGATATCATATTCTATGTAGATATCAAATTTCATTGAAATAGGTGCAGTCTGAATATATTTTGGCGACTATTTTGAAAATAGCAGCCATGCTAAGCATAATTTTTGACAGTGGGAATCATTTTGGAATAGCATATTATTATACATCAATTTGTGATGTTTTACCAAAAGCTAAGTACTAACTAATTGATTTGAACACCTCCATAAACTACATGAACTATAGATTACAGATGTATAGCTTTTTTAAACAATCATAATCTTTAAATCAACAATATGTGTTTTGAAAAGTTTATAATCTTGTTTATCCTAAAATGTCTTCATCAAAGAAAACATTGAGAATATGTTTCAAAGTGTACATTTTTTGTTGTTGAACACTCTTCTGCAGACCACTGCAGATATAATCAGCTTAAGAGCTGTGGCTCCATATTCAAGGAGTAAATATGAAGCAACTACCATTTTTGTCTTTACGTTTAACATTATTAAATATAACATTTTTTTTTCAAATTACTTGTCTTTAAAATGGGATCAGAGCATTTTCAGAATGCTTCCCTGCACCAATATTTTATTTTACTGACTAAAAATTAAGAATAAAAACCTTACCCTCTTAAATGCAGGTATTTTTCAGCTTTTTCTTTCTGTGCCTCAATGTCACTGTTTGATACTGGAGTATTTTGTTTTAATATGTTATCAGGAAGTTGTTTTTGATGTTTTTTCTTCGGTTTATCAGAAGGATCTTTCATAACAACACTGGATTTTGCTGACAGATTCATATTGCATTCTTTATTTATAGACGACTTTGTTATTTTAGTTTGTGAGTGAGATGGGTCATCTAGTGTATTCCTTTCCAGGAGACTGGAAGACAAAGTATGTCTGGATGATAGCTGGGATTTTAAATCTCCCGCTGGTTTTACTCTAACCTTTTTACTTTGATAAGGAGTAATACGTATTGGTTCATTTTTTGGCTGAACAAACAGATTCTTCAGTTGATGTGTATGTAAAATAGGTCCTTCCATTTGTTTTTCCAGTATCATATCAAAAGCTGTGCCAGTCTGTCTAAGTTTTAATTCATCCTTAGAGATAACCTCAGATGCATCTAAATCTGTGTCAGGTTTTGATGGTTCAATAATACTGCATAGTTTATGTTTGTCAATAGGTTCTTTATTGTCATCAGATTTCTTAGCATAACTGTTGTTCTTATCCTGACTGTTGCTATGGGAACTATATCTGTTGCCAGGCAACTGATTTATGTCTGTTGCTTCAGGAACTGTAGTCTGTCTATTATTCAAGTCTAGTTTGATCTTTGGTTGTTTAGCTTTAGTTCTTTGACATCTAGAGTCATATGAAGGTCCTAGACAAAGCTTCTTATTGTCTGAAACCTCAGCTGCCTAAAAAAGAAAAGAAACTAATAAATGTATATTACAAAAAAAAATTCATGCTTTAAAGAGTCCCAATCACTTGACTTGCCAGTGTTTTCATAAGTGTAGATCACAGTGTCAGAAATTAGTCTGTAACAAGATATTTCCTGCCTAAATTTTCGTTTTTTATCGGTATATTAATTTCTTCTTTTTTCAGACTATATGCAGGCCTCTTAGTTTGATACAGAGAACCAACATAATTTTGAAACTTTCATGGGGGATTTTTTTTATTGGGTAATATATAATAGATAGATTATGAATGTCAAATAATGGAAACAGTTAAGGACTGACCTTAAATCAAATTGAATGCCTATATGGACATGTCAATTAATATTGATTTTTTTAGAAGAAAAAACAACATTTCAAGGAAAACATAGAATTTAGAAATACATGTACAAAAACAGCCACTTAAAACCAGTGGTGAACTCATGTGCTCGAGAACAGTTTACTTTCAGAACCATTGTGTAAACTTCATATTTACAATACCTGTTTTATATGTGTGGTTCCATCCTTCAGATATTGCTCATGTTTTCTTTTCAGAATCAGCTGCTGAAGTTCTTTTTTCTCCTGTTTCTTATATTCAACAGCTGAAATATATATATTGTTCCATATACAGTAAATAAAATAGGCTTTAACAAAAGTCTTATTTAAATCATTTGCAAATTTGAATTGACAATGTGCATTCAATACAAAAATTTATAAGTTTCTAGTTTGAAATAGAAACGTTTAAACTGTTTCAAAATATGTATAAAGTTGCACTGTTTTACAATGAAAATTGCTTTTAAAGGCAAGCCATTTAAAACTTTCATATTTCAATATGAACAAGCATTCTGAGAGTATTGCATGGCAATACATAGTCCCCTACCATTTAAAATTAATTGTACTGGAACAAAATGCTAACTTAGTCTTTAACTTGTCATGGTGTAAACTATATAACAAATATCAAGTCAATATCTTCAAGCATGACAAAAAAAAGTGGAAAGTCCAAGGAACATAACTCTGCACAGAATCATCAGACCGAAACAAAATTCAAACTTGATCTGTAACTTGTCATGTTAAAACAATGTACCAATTATTAAATCAATATCTTCAAGCATGAAGAAAAAAGTGCGGAAAACTGAATATTTGAGTGAATTTTCTAAGTCCAAGGACCATAACTCTGCTCAAAATAATCAGATCGGAATAAAATTCGAACTTGATCTGTAACTTGTCATGATAAAACAATATACCAAATATCAATCAATATCTTCAAGCATGAAGAAAAAAAGTGTGGAAAACTGATTTGCCGGACTGACAGATGGACATACAGACAGACAGATGGATGAAGGAGCGCAAACCTAAAGTCCCCTTCGACTTCGTCGGTAGGGGACTAATAAAAAGAGAATATGGGGAGACAGCAACCAAACAACATAATCAACCCAGAAAGACATCTAGAAGTCAACATATGCCTTTCAACAATAGATTATAGTGTGCATAATGCACTAAATCTGCCCGAGTTCAGTCAGAGTTGCTTCCCTTTGGATAAAGTGTTTTCTTGTATGTATTATCCAACTTTCTCAACTTGAATCCACACTTGAATGCAGCTATAATAACATACAAAGATGAATTTGATAATCCCAAGTAAACTTTTATCATCAAGACTTGAGTAGATAATAATTGTGGGAAAATATGCATGGCTGTTGGTTTTTTGTTTATATTGTTTCACATTTTGTCTTTCCAGGATTTTTAATGGCTTAATAAATAGTATATACTTTGCTCTTTTTGAAGATCGAATAGTTGCCTAAATTCAAGTCCTTTGGTCTCAAGTAGATAGTTTTACAATCATATACCATATCTCCTTATTTTCATATGGTATTAATTGTTCAAATACAAGTATTTGGTAAATACCTGATGAATGCTTTTTGCCTTGTCTATGAATCAACAACATTTCCAGAGTATCAAATATTGGTCTGTGATAACATACAGTACAGGACAATCTAGAAAATAAAAAGTTCACATTTCATTTCAAGCAAAAACAAAATCAAATTGTAAATTTGTATTAAAAGAATATAATACACAAATAATATTTAAACAAAAACCAACATTCTGTGGTATAACTATCACCATTATGATTAATAAATATAGTAAAAAAATATTGGTAATCTTCATATTAGATACTAACTTAAAAAAAACAGCCATAATGCTCACCCATGCAAATAAAAACCTTTCAATACAAGAACACTCTCCCATCCTATGAAGAAAATAACATGACTTGTCATATCTAATGATATTCACATAGGTCACAGCTGGTAAAAAGCATTTTCCATATCAGCTCAGTTGTCATCACAAGACTCCCATATCAGACCTCCAGTAGAGTCTTCTGCACAATATGGGAATCTAAGGAAATTACACCAGCTGATATCGGAAATAATATTCTATCCTATTTTTCACTTTTTTTAAATATCAACGATACTTATAATTAAGGATTTCCAGTTTGATAACATAAACTTGAAACTTTTAGTTTCCAAAAAATGTATGCATTACTGTATGAAAATCAGTTAAACTTTTCTATTTTTCTGTAGTTTTCAAGTAACACAGTATATATTATAAAAGAAATGTCATTGACCAAAAACTGTTTATTGAGCATAGAGCATGGCATGATAGAATTATTTCAATTCTAATAGGAAAATTTAGAACTTTTTTACTTCGAAGCTGACCTATTATACACGTTCGAAAGGAAGCCATTTTGATTTGAAATTGATACAATATGGACAATCAACCGTTTCACAATAAAAATTGAACAGATACATGTACACTTACTTTTAGAATGATTTTATTTAATTTCCTTCAATGTCCTAGTGAGCAACAACAACACAATTGACCATTTTGATCTCCAGCGTTGTTAAAAAAAATAACTGATGTTGCAATTTCAATTGTGACATCAATCATGGGCAGCCCATGTTGCCAATGCGAAAGAAGACCTTCATATTAGAATTGATTCTAGAGAATTTTTATTAATAGGGAAAAATCAAAAGTAGAAAGTACAGAAAAAAATTATCAATACAAATTTCCATGTTCATGACACATGTTTCTAAAATAATTTTTGACCTTAAATATAAAAAACTTTGAAAGCATAACATCAGAAGGGCTTAAACTGGACATTCAAATTAAAAGTAACAATTTATACATTTGGTGCATTAGATGTGCTTTTTGGGGTTTAATTTCATTAGATACCCCATAACACAGACTTGATGGTAAGAAAATAATGTTTGGTACTGAATTCTGTGTTCATAACACATTTTTCTGTAATATCATTTATCAAGTACACTCAAGACCAAAAGGCAAAAAATTAAAAAAAATAATCCAGAAACAAAAGGAGGCTAAATAGAACAGACAATACCACTGTAGATCAACTTTGCATAAAGGAGGCAAACTTTGTTTTAGTATAATTTTTTTATTTCAGAACTGATAATTTGAAGAGGAAACATGATTTATAACAACCAAGTACAATAAAATGCTCCGCTGGGCGCAGCTTGATATGACCGCAGAGGTCGAACCCTGAACAGTTGGGGCAAGTATGGACACAACATTCAAGCTTGATACAGCACTGAATTTGGATTGTAATTAAATATTTGACACAGCATAGGTTTCTGACACAGAATAAAAGTGGTCTAAGAACTTAAAATTTTTTAATTTACCTATTCAAACCATATCATTATTATTTGCTTTTATATATAAATCAGAAATAACCAATTTAAAATGAAAAATTTTCAAGAAAAAAAATGAAAAAAAAAATCCCCCCCCCCCCAATTTTTTGAACCCCCTTATGATTCATCACCCCCAAACTCAATCCCAGCTTTCCCTTTGTGGTATGGTACCTTGCAGTACAATTTCAGAGAGATCCATACACTTGAACACAAGTTATTGTCTGGAAACTAGAAAAATGCTTGTTTTTTTGGCCACTTTTTGGCCCCAAATTCCTTAACGTTTAGGGCAATTACCCCCAAACTCAAACCCAGCTTTCCCTTTGTGATATGGAACCTTGCAGTACAATTTCATAAAGATCCATACACTTACACACAAGTTATTGTCCTGAAACTAGAAAAATGCTTGTTTTTTTGCCCTTTTATGGCCCCTAATTACTAAAATTTTGAGGGAATTACCCTCAAAATCAATCCCAGCATTCCCTTTGTGGTATGGTACCTTGCAGTACAATTTCAGAGAGATCCATACACTTGAACACAAGTTATTGTCTGGAAACTAGAAAAATGCTTATTTTTGGCCCCTTTTTGGCCCCTTATTCCTAAACTTTTTGGGCAATTACCCCCAAACTCAATTCCAGCTTTCCCTTTGTGATATGGAACCTTGTAGTACAATTTCATAAAGATCCATACACTTACACACAAGTTATTGTCCTGAAACTAGAAAAATGCTTGTTTTTGCCCCTTTTTTGGTCCCTAATTCCTAAAATTTGGAGGCAATTACCCCCCAAAATCAATCCCAACATTCCCTTTGTGATATGGAACCTTGTGGTACAATGTCAGAGAGATCCATACACTTACACACAAGTTATGTCTGGAAATTACAAAAATGCTTATTTTTGGCCCCTTTTTGGCCCCTAATTCCTTAACTGTTGGTACCATAACCCCCAAAATCAATCCCCTTCCTTTTGTGGTATTGAACCTTATGGTAAAATTTCATTGAGATCCATTCACCTAAACTAAAGTTAGAGTGCGAAAACTAAAGTGTCTTTGGACGACGTCGACGTCGACGACAACGCCAACGTCATACCAATATACGACCACAAATTTTTTTTTGCGGTTGTATAAAAACTGGACCCAAAATTAAAAATCTAAATACACGGTTAGATTTGGCATATCAAAGAACCCCAATAATTCAATTTTTGATGAAATCAAACAAAGTTTAATTTTGGACCCTTTTGACCTCAATATGAACCAATTTGATAGCAGGGCCCACAAATAAAAAATCTAAATACATGGTTAGATTCAGCATATCAAAGAACCCCATATATTCAATTTTTGTTGAAATCAAACAAAGTTTAATTTTGGACCCCAATTTGGACCAACTTGAAAACTGAGTCCGAAATCAAAAATCTAAATACATGTTTAGATTCAGCATATCAAAGAACCCCATATATTCAATTTTTGTTAAAATCAAACTAAGTTTAATTTTGGACCCTTTGGACCTTAATGTAGACCAATTTGAAAACTGGACCCAAAATTAAAAATCTAAATACGCGGTTAGATTTGGCATATCAAAGAACCCCAATAATTCAATTTTTGATGAAATAAAACAAAGTTTAGTTTTGGACCCTTTTGACCTCAATATGAACCAATTTGATAGCGGGGCCCACAAATAAAAAATCTAAATACATGGTTAGATTCAGCATATCAAAGAACCCCATATATTAAATTTTTGTTGAAATCAAACAAAGTTTAATTTGGGACCCCAATTTGGACCAACTTGAAAACTGGGCCTGAAATCAAAAATCTAAATACATGTTTAGATTCAGTATATCAAAGAACCCCATATATTCAATTTTTGTAAAAATCAAACTAAGTTTAATTTTGGACCCTTTTGACCTCAATTTGAACCAATTTGATAGTGGGACCCACAAATGAAAAATCTAAATACATGGTTAGATTCAGCATATCAAAGAACCCCGTATATTCAATATTTGTTGAAATCAAACAAAGTTTAATTTTGGACCCCAATTTGGACCAACTTGAAAACTGGGCCCAAAATCAAAAATCTAAATACATGTTTAGATTAAGCATATCAAAGAACCCCAAGAATTCAATTTTTGTTAAAATCAAACTAAGTTTAATTTTGGACCCTTTGGACCTTAATGTAGACCAATTTGAAAACTGGACCCAAAATTAAAAATCTAAATACACAGTCAGATTTGGCATAACAAATAAATAAATGTGGTCAAAGATTTTACAAATCTAATGCGCCATACTGCGCAATTAAAGATTAACTTCTTGAAATTTTTCAATATTTGAAATTTGAAAAAAAAATAATATTTGAAGAATAATTCTTTTAAATTTCTGAAATCTGAAATGAGAAAAAATTGACCCCCCACAATTTCTTTTTAACCCCACCCCCACCCTTTTTCCCCAAAAAAATTCTTTCCCTCAAGATATGGTCATAATCTCAACTCAAATTTCCAATGGAATTTGCAACCATAATTACCCATTTAAATTTACCATAGTGCTATCTTAATCTATAATAGAATTTAAAATATGGTGTCAAATCTTTCATATGGATTTTTTTGTAAAAAAAAAAGATGCAACATTTGCAGATATTTTTACTGGTCTTCCTTTATAAATATGCATTTCTTTAAACATAATTTAAAAGCAGTGTAAGGGAAGTAATCAAAACGTTGTATGGGGATTACCTCCCTTACACTGTTTTAAATTGTCTTAATTGTTCATTAACCATTACTTTATACATAATTTAAAAGCAGTGTAAGGGAGGTAATTCTAATGATGTATTTGATTGATCTCCCTTACACTGCTTTAAATTATGTTTTGTACTAAAGTATTAGTCTATATAAAAATGCTTGTTTTTTGCCCCTTTTTTGGCCCCTAATTCCAAAAGATTTTGAGGCAATTACCCCCAAAATCAATCCCAGCATTCCCTTTGTGATATGGAACCTTGTGGTACAATGTCAGAGAGATCCATACACTAACACACAAGTTATGTCTGGAAGTTACAAAAATGCTTATTTTTGGCCCCTTTTGGCCCCTAATTCCTTAACTGTTGGTACTAAACCCCCAAAAGCAATCCCCACCTTCCTTTTGTGGTATTGAACCTTATGGTAAAATTTCATTGAGATCCATTCACTTAAACTAAAGTTAGAGTGCGAAAACTAATGTGTCTTCGGACGACGACGACGACGACGCCAACGTCATACCAATATACGACCACAAGAATTTTTTTGCGGTTGTATAAAAATGAAGGCTTAAAAAACAAATTTCTTTTGCTTTTATGGACAGTAAATCATTTTTTTCAATGAAACTTGCCTGCCATTGCTGGTTAATAAGGCTTCATCTTCAGGAATATTTACAGCTAACAAGTCTTTTATTCTTCTTTGCTATTAATAAACAAATAAAAGTTAATTATAAATTTGCCATTACCATCATTACTGACTACCTTTTAAAAGCAATGGTTTTTGTACAAGAATTTAATTTTAATAGCTTTAGTAAAAAAAAAATATTAATCTTGAAATTCACAGAGTTCTAGATTATCAGCATGATGGTTACTACAGAGCAATGTAGAAATCATGTAATAAAACTATCTTGATTTTCACTTTTTTAGTATGATAAATTGGGTTCTGTAGGATTGAATTTTCTTTTTTTCTGCTTTTAGTCTGGCTTCCTATTGTACAACTGAATTTTGTCTTCTGAAATTTAAATATCCATTAGATGAAAACATATAGTTGCTTTATGCTAGTTTAACACTGGACAATTTAATTTGTTGAACTTTTCCTTTACCAAATAGAATATCCTATCTTTACATGCTTTAGTCTGAGAAATTAGACCTGTACAGGCAGATCTCTGACATTAACAAGTCTTCATGAGTATTCCATGGAACTGAGCTATCTAAAAGTAATGATCTTATCTGGCATATTTCCGTGGCAACTAAGTATTATATCTTTTATAAGTGGTTATACATGGTTGCAGTAGAAAGTTAATTGAAATTGTCAATCGAAAAAAAATAAGATTCTCTTTATAGTTTTCTTCAGTGGAAAAAGTGTTGGATAATAATGAATTGTTAAAGTTTAATGAAAATGCATGGACTTTTTATATTTGAACATGGGTCTTGATGTTAGCCAATTTTGATAACTTATCAACTTGAAGAAGTCAATATTCAAAACAGATACATATAGTATATATTCTAATGGATTTTGTGATTCAACCTGTACCTTTATTTATAAATCTAATTTATGAAATATACCCTTAATATTCCAAGCAAGCTTTTGTCATCACCTTCTCTTTTGAATGACATTTTAAAACAATACTTTCAGTTGCCCCTGAAAAATAAAAAAGAACATTCTTAATGTTTTCATCAAAATCAGCTATTTTAATGATACAATGTATAAGTACAATCAACCATCAACGAGAAAACTAGTTTGATAATAATACCTGTTTTTTCTACTAACAAACTGAAATAAACATTAGGTTAGGTAGGTAGCCAAAAAAAAAATCATCTTTTAAAAAGTTTTGGACTGGTATTAACCATGTTAACAGGGGAAATAATTATATGACTTCAATAGTGATTGTTAAAAAATGACCAAAAAAATCATCAAAGTTGTAAATATTATTGACCAATTCAGTGTATTTGATAATAAAACATAAATTTTTAACATGCATGACATGTTTAAGAGGACATGCTCAAATGCAGGCAAGACTCCTTGATATTGAAGAATGGACTTGAGCAAAGACATACAGTTTCTGAGTAAATCCCTTGAAATGATGTGGAGTCAACTAACACAATGAGAAATATCAACATTTTCTGTAATAATAGATTGGTGAAAAAGTGAAAAAAAGGCTGGGACTCAATAAAGTATAAGAATATTAGGTCCCAGAAAAAGGTCAGGACATTTGTGGAGCCAAATTAGTAAATCATTTAGTTTTGCATCATCAGTGGTTTGGGACAAATGAAATATATATATAAAGGATAAAACTCTCAAAAGCATTCTATTAAAATATGGCTAAAAACATCAAATAAGCCAAATTTATTTTATCAATTATCCTACTTTCAGAACTTTACCATTCATGCCAATCCATAGTTTTATATTAATAAAAAGACTTAAAGATTAAACTCACAATTAACAAACCTACCAGGAAAAATACCCTGACATTAAAAAATATAATCATCATGAGCAATGGAGTTGTAAAAATAACAGATGATCCTAATGCACATGAAGAGGTTGGGACTAGTCACCCAAATGAATTACATGTAGATTCTACCACTGCATCAAGTGTGATACGATATTTATCCACTCAATACAATAAAATTTTCAAATTTAAAACTTGAGGCTCACCAAGCATTTTAAACATTTAAAATTTAACTGTTGAGAGTGGATAAATATTGCATTGCACAAGATTCAGTAGTGGAATCTGATTCTCTAATGATCTTCGATGATATACAGACAATCTTAATCCTTTTTTCGAATGACCTTTAAAAAGATGTGTTTTTTCTATAGTGACTTCATCGGGCATGGTCGCCTTTTTTCATGACATCACAATAGGAATATTCTAAGCTGAGAATTTTTTCTCAGCGATGTAAGCGGTAAAATGGATGTTTGAAAACTAAAAAAGTGTACTAAACTTTTCGAAAATGCAGGTTTTACCTCTTTTGCAATAAAATAATGTAAAACATAAAAGGAACCTATGATAGATAAAATCACAAGTAGCTATAATACACAGGACATGGACAAAAATAAAAGTTTGGGGCTGCCACATAAGACATATACCCCACATATCCTTTTATTCAAATATACATGAGTATACTAAAATGCAGCAATGGACGTTTGAGTGTCAAAACTTTAGGACAATTGTGCAAAAATAAAGATAAGTATAGGACATTTGAGCAAAAAAAAAATAAGAATGATGAAGGAGAACCTCTTCCGTTCGCGAGATTTAATCTGTTCCCCCTGCTCACCACGGGGAAGATGAAGTAGGATTTTGATCAGGATATAGTTAATAAAATGTGGAGTTTAAAATGCACACAGTTAAAAACATCTTTTACGTGTAAACAAATATCAAAGCACTGTTATAAAACTTGAAACTTGGCAATGGCATTATTTAAAAGTCACATAGAAATTGATATCCTAGCCTTTTGACATAAAAATCCCTCGTTATTTCCTGCTGGCAGTACCAGAATACAAGTCCATGAGATTCTGGTCCATTAATTGTTTGTACGTTTTGACTTCTCCTTTTAGTGTTTTGTACCACTCTATATCGGAAACTGTCACAAACAAAGCTCTTTTTTCCTTTATTAGTCTCGGTCAAAATTTTATCAATTCTAACATGTACATGTATTAATATTAAGATCTCAAGTGCCAAGGGACATTTCATTTTATAAATTTAAGAAATTTAGAACAAAGAATATTTGAAAAGCCAATGAATTATAGTAGAATTGATTGGTAAGTAGAACTTGCCAGAACCGGTCGAATTACTCGGGTAATTAAAATATATTCATTTTAAAACATAAATTCTTTTTTCTTACTTTTTGTCGACATTTAGGTTCAGTCTGTGGTTAAAGTTTTTTAAGACTATAATAATCAATAACTTGTAAAACCTTCATGGAATTTTATGAAATTTGGGCAGAAGCTTGTTTAAGACCAAAATAATGTATCCAGAGCAAAATTTTGAAAATATTTATTTTCATTTTTCCGTATTTTACTGCTAAATAGACTTTTTTTTTTTACAGTAATCATTCAGATTGAGTTTGAGGCTAAAGTTTTTTTGGGCGTCAATAACTTTGTCAAACCTTCATGGAATTTTATGAAACTTGGACAGAAGCTTGATCATGTCAAAAATACAGTATCCAGAGCAATTTTTGAAAATATTTATTTTCATTTTTCCATATTTTGATGATCAATGAATTTAGTTTATTTCACAGTTAACAAGAAGATACAGTCTGGAGTTAAAGTTTGTTACACATCAAATACTTTGCCACACCTTCGTACAATTTTACGAAACTTTAACAGAAGCTTTTTTATGATTATCAGATCTATAGTCATGATAGTGTCAGGTGCAAAGTTTTGAAAATATATTTTCATTTTCAGTATTTTTCTGATAGATCATGAACTAATTAGTTTTTTACAGTTAACATTTACAGACAGTCTGGGATTAAATTTTTTTGGCATGATAAGTTTGTAAACCTTCATGGATTGTTATAAAATTTGGACAGAAGCTAATCTCCAACACCAAAAAATAGCATCTAAAATATTTTTTTTTTTTTAATCTGTATGTTACTGATAAATAGACTCACTTTTTAAGTCAACATTACACTTGTACACTGACAGCAGCAATTGTAGGCAATACGCAGGGTTTATGTGGAACCCCTTACGAATTTTTAAAACTATTTTCTGAATTCATATACAAGTATCACAGAATATTTCACTCAAACGTCCTATTTGAAAATATAGGTAAGGTTAATATTCCGGCGATCAAATTACACTATGTACATTTTTTATTTTCGCTCAAATGCCCTATGCCCACTAAAATATAGGTGATTTCATACAACAACAAAAAAGGAGCAGTGAAGCTATTTCACACTATGTTTAAAAAGTCTTTCAATCTTTTCTAAAATTCATAGTATCACAGCACTGTGCGTAATTGCTTATTTCAAAACAGATCAACAAATTAAGAATGCCTGAAAAAAGCCTGAAACCTCTATTTTGACAGTTTTTGACAGAATTGATATGGAGTATTTATCCTAAAAAAATATATGAGAAGGACAACATTAACCAAAACAAAATTAATGTTGGACTGAGTAAAGATGTGTATGTTCTTTCGGATACAATTTAATTTGTGTTGATTAGTGACGTTCTGCAATGCAAATTTTAACAAAAGCACTATTAACAGTTGTAATTTTATATCAAAATACCTTCAATAGCAACATGTAAGAACTTTTTATATATACTTAAGTATGGTTTTTTCATCTGAGCGTCACTGGTTAGTCTTGTGTGGACGAGATGTACGTCTGGCGTATTAAATTTTAAACCTGGTACCTTTTGTTAGCTATTATTTGTGTGTTTCTTTGTCCTATATGTTCTCCCATTTATTTGTATTGTAGTCATGACATGTAATGTTGTCATTTTAATGTTATATTTAACCTTGCCATAAAAGCGGGAGGTTTGGCATGCCACAATACCAGGTTCAACCCACCATTTTTTTCTTAAAATGTCCTGTACCAAGTCAGGAAAATGGCCATTGTTACATTATAGTTCGTTTCTGTGTGTGTTACATTTTAATGTTGTGTTTTTGTTGTGTTGTTGCTCTCCTCTTACATTTAATGCGTTTCCCTCAGTTTTAGTTTGTAACCCAGATTTGTTTTTATCTCTATCAATTTATGAGTTTCGAACAGCGGTGTACTACTGTTGCCTTTATTTTCCTATACTCAAAAATTTAAGAATATTCTTAATCTTGAGTAAGAAAAAATCTGAAATTTTTTTAAGGCGGTGTATTTTGCTGAAAATAAAAAAATTGAGGAAATTCTCAGGCTGTAGTATTTTTTTTTTCTTATTAGTTTTTGACTGGTTTCAACAGCGGAAACAGTCCGACTTTAATAGTGTGTTCAAAATTGATAAAACAATCTTTAGGGTTGGCACTAAAAATAAAGGTTAAGGTAGGATTAGCTGAAACACAAGTATTTTTTATAAAGCCTGACTTAGCAGGTGGCAGGTGCATTCAACTCCAATCTTAATTGACACATGTGACAAGGATTGTCAGTTTTGTGAACCAAAGGTCAGTGGTTGTCTCTAGGCACTCCAGCTTCCTCAACCATTACAAACTGCCCGCCACAAAATAGCACAATTAAGTACTGAAAGTGGTATTAAACATCAATCAATCAATTATACCATGCATTATGTGTTTAAAATTGTGTTGTTTTCACGACTTTTTAAAGTGTGTATATATATATATATATTGTTATTTATTCTATTTGAAAAGCTCACAAGAGCAAGTGTTTAAGTAGTTTATACTCATGATACTGAATATCTACTTTAAAAAAGAGCTTATTCAACATACTATTTTAAAGCAAACAAAATGTGTTCTCTGGGGAAACTCACATCAGATCAATCAGGCAGATTTTTGTATCTATACAAAGATCAGTAATAAGCCGACTTAAACATGTTAAATGTATGTTCGTTGTTATTAGGTATAAATTATTATGTTTTTAATTAAACTATACTTTAAAAAGAGAGAAAAAAAACACTACCTGAAGATAGCGTTTCTTTGTTTACATTAAAAATGACGTCATATATAAAATTCCTAACAATAAGAAACATTGGATACTTCTCAGTAATTGACAGACTGAATTTCAGTTACTTTTTCACCAGAAATTATGCTGGGATTTTTTTTTACAATAAATGCTTATATATATAAATCTGCTGTTAACGGGTTATCGTAAAGTATTCTAAAGGTTTGGTGACTTCATCCCCTTTCACAAGTTACACCTGTATTATAATATTAAAATTGTATTCTCCTTCTGAATCAGACCATAACATTTAATAATTGTGGTGCTCCTACCCAAGGAGGATTTTACAGAGCATACATATGAACTCATCTATTGACTGTTAGTTATAGGACATCCTTTTTCCACATATTTTCTATACTTTTTTGGGGGGAAATATTTGGTTTTTTTTACAAACTGGGAGTGTTTTACCCCTCAGCCTCAGGTCAATATTTGTGTTGTTTTTTTTAGAAGAATCCAAACGTGGAAATTGTGAACGAGAGTTGAACGATACATCCGGGTATTCTTATTGCGTTAAATTAATGCGCAAGAGTGATATTACTGTCATCAGTAATTTTTGAAGGGGAAATTTGTAAGAAATAGACGAAAGTAGAACCATTTACACACTTGAAATTAGGGTTTTTTAAATGAATAATAACATAATCAAACATTTAAAAACAAACAAACGTCGTATTCCCTTCGGTTGAGAGGGACGAGTGGAATATTCTTGAAACGCCCGTCCAAAGTCGGTAGTTTGGCCAGATTTAGAAATTCCCTTCGATTTGACTTCCCCTATATTCTGAAATCCTAGTTCTCAAATATCTCATTTTAGATACGTAAAAAATCTGTTTTTATAATTTTAAAGAATGCAGACTCTGTAATTTAGAAGTCATTAATGGTAAATAGATACAGTCTGTTGGCATCTTGTATACTGGATGTTTGCCAAGTAAATGTTGACAGTTGGTGATACATATTTGCATTCAGCTTATATATATGTATTGAGAATTCATTGAATTCACCTTGTTAAAGTAAGACAATTTGTTTTTGATGATAATACAGAACCATATGCAGTTTTCATATTTCTTTTTACTGGATTCAGCTTCTTCTTGTGTTTTTGTACTACTCATGACTACATATACACTGGAATGAAAGAAAATATTTCATAAAACTTGTTTCTTTTGAAATAACTTACGACCAATCTGTAAAGTCAATGCTTTCACCTCTGTTCTAAAGAAAGGAATTGTTTATGTCTTTGAATTCTTTACTTATGAATAAACAATTGCTGTTTCATCGACTTGGTAAAAATGGAAAATTGCCAATGAGGAAAGCGACCATCGTGAACACTGGGGTGGCTAGATATTGCTTTTGACGGTCGGGTAATGCAAGTGATGGACGGGAAAGTGAATTCTTCGACCTTTAGGGTGAACCCAAATATTACTGAGTCAATTTCTAAGTTTGACCAGATGTAATGGCAGGCAATTGATGTACATTTCTTCAATAACAATTGTGATTTAAATGTGAATGATTTTCTTGCAGTATCCTTGCTTCTTTAACAATGATGACATACAAGAGCACCACAAAAACATGAAAGAAGTCAAAAGTTGACAGACATTAGGGGAGGGTTGGGTGCCTTCTAACATGTTTAACCCCACCACATTCTATATGTGCCTGTCCGAAGTCAGGAGTCTGTAATTCAGTGGTTGTCGTTTGTTGCTGTATATTTGTTTTCTTTCATTATTTTGGACATAAATCATGCAGTTAGTTTTCTTGTTTTACATTTGTCATTTCGGGGCCTTTTATAGCTGTCGATGCATTATAGGTTTTACACATTGTTGAAGGCCGTACGGTGACATATAGTTGTTAATTTCTGTGTCATATGGTCTCTTGTAGAGAGTTGCCTCATTGACAATCATATCAAATCTTATTTTTATATGACAGAAACACATTGAAAAACATCACAATAATATTCTGCTGTTTGAATCATAAAGATATTTTCATTAATGAGAAATGACATTTACAACTGAACAATGTTCCATTAAAGTTCTTAAACATTCAATCATTAGATTAAGACTCATAACATAACAAATTAAAAGTGTGATTTTAAACAAGCACACCAGCATGATCTGAGACATTAAAATTTAAATGCTTGTTTTTTTTTCTTTTTCAGATTTTTGTCTGAGCATAAAAAGATAATATGGCTGGAGAAGAACAAGTAGAAGTAAGAAGAAATATTGTATAAATTTTAAACTGTTGGCTTCAGACATTTTTTTTTTTTTCATATACAAGGAAGTGCACAAACTAAACCTGATATCATAATTTGAAAATGAATTTTGCAACATAATTTATATCCGATCTCTTAGGCAAAAAAGGACTAAAACGTGGTTGTCTTATTTAATTGCTTGCATCCTCTTCATTTTAACTGTGGTGGATAGTTGTCTCATTGGCAATCATACCACATCTCCTTATTTTTTTAAAACTATGCCTTTGCTTCTGATCCTGTATTCATCTCATGACTTTAATTGTGCTTGGAGATTTAAATGATGTAATCAATACAGAGAGACTAAAGTATCTTTAGATGTTAATAAATGTCTGAATCCCTGCTGCATTCAAAAGTTTAGTATGGATTAGTGTATCATCACGGTTCATACATGTATATCTATAAAAAGAAAATTCCTCGAGAGACATCTCATAAGTTTTAAACAAAACTTTGAATTAATGTAGCATATAACAACCATAAGAAAAGCTAGAGATGTCATAGTTACCTTTCTTCATACCAAACGTTTAGTGATATTGCTTTCAAATTTATAATTCATAACATTACAAATATGAGATATCAAACAATCTCATTGTCAACTTTAACTTTTCTTCATGCAAATAGATAAGAAAAAAAAAAGAAATTCAAGGGTAAAAATTGTGAAACCATTCAGAACAAACAAGACACATTGGTGGCCTTCGGCTGTTGTCTGCTCTATGGTCGGGTTGTTTTCTCTTTGACACATTCCCCATTTCCGTTCTCAATTTTAAGTTCTTGTTATCTGTTAAAATTTATCTGATACTTATTGTAGTATTGAGAAGTATTTACTTCATAGCTTGTTTAAAATGGAAATGCTAGATATATATGGGTACTGTGAATTCATTATTATTCGTGGGATACTAATTTTCGTGGATTTCATGGGTATAGATCAACAAAGAATAAATGTTCAAATAGTACCCAACTTTCTATACGCTAGTATGCAAACTTTGACAAAACCATGAAATCAGATATTCACGAAAATACAATATTTTCTAAATCTACCAAAATTTGTACCCACAAAAATGAATGAAATCAACAGTAGAGGAACTTGGTCATGTTGGTATTGTTGTAAAAATCAGATAAAACATATGTATATTTCATTACTGCTTTGTGTGTATCAGACAACCTCAAGAAAATATTGAACAACTGAATTATTTTATGTTCATCATTGACATATGAATATTATCTTATAATAATATGCATCATCACATGAATATTAAGTTATAATAATATGCATAATTTCAGTGTCCTTTGTGTATGGAACCATTAGAAATAGATGATGTCAACTTTTTTCCATGTACATGTGGATACCAGGTATATTATTCATTGTTATTCCTGACTTTATTTTTATAGGTAATAGAATAGATTATTTATAGTCATGGTAGAATTAAGATGTTGTTATATTCAAAGAAGTGATAATTTTCAAGTCAACCAAAATTCAACTTGAGAGAGGTGGAAGAAAAAATTAGGACGATCACCTTGATATGAACAAGCTGATCATATTGAATTGAGCATGCAGTAGGTAGATGATAAACATGTCTAACCATCTTTAAAAGTGTTGAAAAAAAACTATATATTGATCACAGGATTATGGTGCAGATGTATTGTGAACTATGGTGAAATTTCGGCTCATTGAAAGGAGTAGGCCCAGTAAGACCCCTTTTTGGCCCCAAAATATAGCAGTTTTACAAAATTGGGATAATATAAATTTTTATCTATTTATTGGAAAGAAGAATACTTCTGTTACATAAATATGGGCTGTTTTTGACAATACAATGCACATGTATCGGGTACTAGCATCATTAAGTCATGCTAAATTACTGAAATCTTCGTAATTTTAGCATTTTGGTTAATTTTTAGACGGTTTCCGTCTGAAATGGAAGTGGCCGCATTTGTGTTCATTCTTAATATTTAAATGTAAGTTGTATTTGATGATAATACATAACATATATAAAGGGTGAGAATGAACACGGATGCGGCCACTTTCATTTTTGACAAAAACCATCTGAAAAGTGACATATTATGGCATATTTGATAGATTTTTCATATTTAAGCTTGAATTTGAGCGTCTTTAATGACTAAATCAGTTCAAATCTTTCACATAGACTAATTGAATCGACTGAAGTAGACACTTAAGTGTTTAAAAAGTGTCCAAAATCTTTCATCAGATGAACCTGAATTTTGAGGCCAAAATCGGCCCTTACCGGACCTACTCCTTTGACTTAAAAGGAGTAAATTTATATAAGTAACTGTATTTCAATGGGAGAGAATCAACCCAGTTTCATGATGAGCAGAGGCAACTTTATATTTGCCAAGAAGAAAATAGAATAAATAAAACACTAAAGTCAGGGCTGTTCCAGAAAATACTATGTCCCCCCCAGGGACGGCACTTATTTTTAACCCCCACCACCTACAGAAATAAAAATAAATTAGAACAACACTCCCTTGGCATTTTGGTATTTCATATACAACCACAGACATAAAATTTTAAAAAATTGCCTTCGCTGGGGGGTACATAGTATTTTCTGGAATAGTCCTCAAGTAGCTATGCCAAACACAAATTTTAACTGAGAACTTTTTTCAGTAAGAATATTAAGCTTAAGTATTTCAGATTCTTGTCAAGGAATCGTAGTTTGATATTCTCTTGTTACTAGGCATTTTGGAAAATTTGATTCAATGCCAAATTTTGGTGTTGTGTTTTGGGTAGATGTGTGATTCACATTTACTTCATGTTTTCCTTTAATTCATATATTTAATATCTTTAATGTTACAGATTTGCAGATTTTGTTGGCACAGAATTAGGACAGACGAAAATGGTCTGTGTCCAGCTTGCAGAAAGGTAAAATTAGAGTAGTAAACCTGTCTTAACTTTAAAAATCAAGAACATCTAAAACTGCATAAATTTATAACAACAAATTCTGTCCATAAGTGACATATTTCTGAGATGGATTTGATATCTGACATGTTTGATTTCTTCTGATATTCCTAGAATGTAATATAAAAAAACAAGAAAAGAGTACTTAAGATCTGTAGCTATAAAATAAGAATTGAAAAGTATTTACAGTCAATCTGAAGGACTACAAACATTTACAGGACATAGGTCAGATGAGCTGGAATAATATTGAAATTGTTTTAACAGGTGGAAATAGAATTTAGAATTGACATTCTGACATAATGTTGGAAGTGCATATAAACAGGGTTCTCACTAAGGATTTTTGAAGGTGAGTCCGGGGACTCGTCATTTTTGGCCATGGTGAGTCCAACAGTAAGAAGAAGATATTTTATTGCAATATAATTTATCATTTTAGTCTCCATGACCTAATATAGCAATGAAATGACATTAAATTCAGATGTGTTCAGTTTATACAAAATATTTCAATCTTGATGCATCTTTGGACTCACCAGTTTTGATAATGGTGAGTCCAGACAGATTTTCATGAGTCCTGGACTCATGGACTCTCCTTAGTGAGAACCCTGTATAATGTTATTGTTGATATGTACAAACATGTGGAGCAAATTAATTTTTTTATATCATATATGATAACACAACTGTTGTATGGGAATAACATAGTAGGGGAAAAAAAAGTTACATTCAGGGTTTCCTGACGAACCCGAACGTTTTTAGTAGGATTTCTTCAAAACATTTTCATAAATATATCAGCTGTTGTAATCGCTAACTTATAATTTCAACCAAGTACATGACAGAAATGTTTAAAAACATTTTAAACAGCATGAGATATATTATTAACAAATGGTACAAGTTCAGGTTAAGTCGTATGTAAAACACTGGTACCAGACTCTACATGAAAACATGATATTTTCTGGATTCTTTCTATAAAAAACCTGATGCTATAATTTTGAGGAAAGAAAACCTTAAACACGTACCAGTATTATTTTTTGGGGCATAGTGAGTCAAGTCTGAAATTGCTAAGTTTACTCATAAACTAAGAATGAGAGAATGAGAAAGTTAAAATCTACATCCATAATAATAGAACTGTGACTGATTATCTACTTTGTTGTAACCATTTCAGCAATATCCAGAAGATCCAGCAGAGTTTAAACCCCTGACAGAGGATGAGTAAGTATCATGTTATATAGGAAAAAGTCGGACTGTCTATTCTTCTGTAGAATACCTCTAAATATTAGTCTGTAAAACTTAATTCTCTATAGCACATGTTTTTATAAAGATTTCGGGTTCTGTGCAATTCCCACATAAAGAATATGTATTAATAAGAAAGGAGTCACATGATAAGTTGCTAGGGACATTTTATTATAGAAAATCCCATATTGCATATATTCTTATAGTTGTCACTCCAGATTCCCTCTATTATTTTCAGTTGTTTTATATAATGTTGCTGTCTCATTAAAGTTCCCTTTACTTCAGTATAGTCATGACAGTTGTGTCATACTCTTCACAGCATGGATATACATCATTCCTACATTTCTATTTCTGAAAGTAGTCAGTATATAGACATTCACATTGTAATCCATTCATTGTAAAACAAAACCTGAAGCGATGCAAATAAACAAAGAAAATGTTCTGTGAAGTAGCTGTTTAATAGTGATTGTGTGTTAATTGCTGTTCAATATCTGTTATACAACACAAGCGTGTTAGGTTGAAATTTTGTAAGACATAATACCTGAAAATGTCACTTGAAACTTAGAGTGATAACTTCTAATTCAGTAATGAACATTCAGTAATTGAAAAAAAAATGAAGAAGAAATAAGTTTGATCGTTGAATTAAGAAATATAATTGTTAGTATCTATGTGTATTTTGAAACAGTTAAAACAAGTCATTATGCAAATATTACTTTTGCAGACTCCAAAGAATCAAGAAAGAAAGAAAACAAAAAGACCTCCAGAGAAAACAGAAAGCTGCAGAAAATAGAAAACATTTAGCAAATGTCAGGTAAAACCAATGTTTTAAGTTTTCTTTTACAGTTGAACATGTTGAATAGAGATAAGGAAATAAAGACTTGGGTAAAAAAATCTTGGGAAAAATATTCATGAAAATGGACTGTAGAGAAACCCTTTGATAATAGAGCAATTCTCTTCAGTTTATGATTGTAATTTGCTGTCCAGGTTATTACATATGATCAAGTCACCTGTTATTAAGAATTACCCCTACCTAGTGAGCTATTTGATGAATAAAAATGTGAGCTTCATCAAATTGAAGAGTTTTACATGTTTTACTTGGCAACATATTTTAAATCAGACATATTTAAAGCAATGTATTTTGATTTCATATACATGTATAATACTTTTAAGCTTAATTTTAGATAACACTCACTGTATGTCAGATATTATTTTCTGTTACTGAATGGTGCCAACAAAATTGTATGTTGGAAAATTGAAGTGTGTAGAAAACTAAAGTTAATGGACTTAAAATACAACCAAATAAACTGAAAAAAAACTTTACATTAATGATTCAAAGAAAAATTCTTTTATTTCAGAGTTGTACAGAAGAATTTAGTGTTTGTTGTTGGTCTGTCTAAAAAATTAGCAGAGACAGAAACATTAAAAAAACAGGAGTATTTTGGAAAGTTTGGAAAAATTCATAAAGTTGTGATAAACCAAAGTACATCTTATGCTGGAGCACAGGTAACACTTCCTTATAAACAGGTCATTCTATAGCTCTAGATTAACATGTAGTTTCAAATTGTAGACGGAATACTATAGATAAAAGATTAAAAAAAATTCAAGTCCTTACATTGTAAGGTATCATTTCAGATGAAATTAGAAAGAAATAAAGACCTATGGTAAAATATAATTCTAAAATTTTACATATCTACAGAGCATGAGACCAACAGATGAATATGCCATTCCGTTTATTACGTTAAAAAAATAAGGTCATTGGTTTTTATACGACCACAAAAAATGTTTGTGGTCGTATATTGGTATGACGTTGGCGTCGTCGTCGTCGTCTGAAGACACATTAGTTTTCGCACTCTAACTTTAGTTCAAGTGAATGGATCTCAATGAAATTTTACCATAAGGTTTAATACCACAAAAGGAAGGTGGGGATTGATTTTGGGGTTTATGGTACCAACAGTGAAGGAATAAGGGGCCAAAAATAAGCATTTTTGTAACTTCCAGACATAACTTGTGTGTAAGTGTATGGATCTCTCTGACATTGTACCACAAGGTTCCATATCACAAAGGGAATGCTGGGATTGATTTTGGGGGTAATTGCCTCCAAATTTTAGGAATTAGGGGCCAAAAAGGGACAAAAAACAAGCATTTTTCTAGTTTCATGACAATAACTTATGTGTAAGTATATGGATCTTTATGAAATTGTACCACAAGGTTCCATATTACAAAGGGAAAGCTGGAATTGAGCTTGGGGGGTAATTGCCCAAATAGTTTAGGAATAAGGGGCCAAAAAGGGCCCAAAAATAAGCATTTTTCTAGTTTCCAGACAATAACTTGTGTTCAAGTGTATGGATCTCTCTGAAATTGTACTGCAAGGTACCATACCACAAAGGGAAGGCTGGGATTGATTTTGGGGGTAATTCCCTCAAAATTTTAGGAATTAGTGGCAATAAAAGGGGCCAAAAAAACAAGCATTTTTCTAGTTTCCAGACAATAACTTGTGTTCAAGTGTATGGATCTCTCTGAAATTGTACTGCAAGGTACCATACCACAAAGGGAAGGCTGGGATTGAGTTTGGGGGTGATGAATCATAAGGGGGTTCCAAAAATTGAGGGGGGATTTTTTTTTCCTTTTTTTTCTTTAAAATTTTCCATTTTAAATTGGTTATTTCTGATTTATATATAAAAGCAAATAATAATGATATGGTTTGAATAGGTAAATTAAAATTGTTTTAAGTTCTTAGACCACTTTCATTCTGTGTCAGAAACCTATGCTGTGTCAAATATTTAATTACAATCCAAATTCAGTGCTGTATCAAGCTTGAATGTTGTGTCCATACTTGCCCCAACTGTTCAGGGTTCGACCTCTGCGGTCATATCAAGCTGCGTCCCAGTGGAGCATTTTATTTCGTTTGAATTGTTTAACATTGTATATGTTAAAGGCCTTTTATAACTGACTTATATGTTATAGGTTTTGCTCATTGTTGAAGAATGACAGTGACATATATTTGCTTAAATCTACATCATTTGGTATGTGATGGATAGTTGTCTTACTGGAAATTAAAACACTCTACCGACTGTGGCCTAAATTTCAACTGAAAACACATACACGTAGAAAATAGTATTTTCAGTACAACTCGAGTACTTCTCGTATTTAAATTTGAACTTTATTACTTACAGTGTTCTCCCCAGGATTTTTTTAAGGCGCAGAATTCAAGGGCGCGTAACTCTTTTTTTAGATTGAACATTTGTGATCTGAAGCAATAAGTCATAAATCATGACATGCAATATGAATTATAATGCTTTGTGTTATGTGTTTAATAATGCAGAGTATTAATGAATTACAAGAATATATATGAAATAAATTGATTTTAAACACAAAAGTTATTTATATTCAGTCAATTTAAGAAGTCAAAATATAAATATTCACCTCTTCTCTCTGCTCCTTCTAGGGATATTGTTTCAAGATAGTGTTATTTTGTTTGAAAGTCTGTTCCTCAACTTTGTCTTTATTCTCTTCAAGGTTAAAAATTAAACCCCCACTCACAATAACTTTTGCTTATACCCCCTTTAACATTTCTAAGCCATGAAAACTCAGTCAGCCACTTGTCATTGAAACCAGAAACATGGTGCTTGCTTTTATCAATTGCTAAAACTTGAGCTTGGTTGGGATTAGGAGAAGCAATGAAATCTGCTTATACTGACAGTGTAGACGGTGGTGTAATCCCCTTTTCATTAGAAATCACTGGTGTGAAAAAAACTTCTACTTCCATCATCTACCTTTTGCTTATAATTCACCCCTTTGTTATTTGCAGAGAACATGTTCATTCAGAATTAATAAAATCGAATATGGTTAAGATATTTGGTATACAACTTTTTAAAACATTTTTTTTTTATAAATGAACAGCTGACCAGTTTTCGTAGTTTCACATTACGCTTCCGTGCGTATTATTGTTTAATTCTATCTTTGGCAGATAGATATAAACGAAACTTTACAAATTTGTTAAAGTTAAAACCATTGAAATTATTTACCAGTGACATTATACAGAAGCTGTGGCGATTCTGTACCCGTGTTGATTGTCACATATTTCCGACGCACGGATTCACGATCGATGTTCAATGATCATTTTATTTCTAAAAATATGACAATTTCAGACGAATTTGCCTTGCAAGCAACATTTTTTCACTTTCTATTAAAGTAAATCACTCCTCGTTATCTTTAATCAAACTTTATTTTAATTTTTTCAACTACTTTCATTCATAGTTTTCATCGTAAATATCTTTAGCAATGTGTATTCAAATTTATCATGTGTATTCAACACGTTCATTGGTCGTGTTTAAATAGATTCTTCTTCTCGACCAATGAAAAAATTCGTTATATAAATGGTCAAGTGATCACTCACACGATGCGTATATACAATGTATTTGCGATCTATTTCTTCAATTTCTGCACTGAAGTTTTTAAAATTTTTAATTTTCTTCAAAAAATATCTATCTTCTTGATGATCATTTACGCTATTACCTGATAACATAGTCCGATAAGGCTGAGATAAGCGTGGCTCAGGTAAAACTAATTATCAGTTATTGCGTAACACTGACGGACCCATCAGCGGTGATCAGTAACTTGACAATTTTAACCAACATTTATAATGAAAATGTGAAAATTAACACGCTGTGGGATCAAGTATTAAGGGACAGCGGCCAATTAAGACGCTGCCGGATCTACAAAAATATTATGAAGGCGCTCATATCGGCCTGGGGAGAACACTGACTTAATAACTATGTTGGTAAGTAGATGTTGGATATACCTCACTTTTAACATTGATGTTTTGCATGTTAAAAAAATGGACAAAATTTTCATCCTTTTTTACAGGGTCCTAGTGCTAGTGCTTATGTTACATATAACAAAGCTGAGGATGCTTTAAAGGCTATATTGGCTGTCAATAACGTACATATTGATGGACGGACGTTAAAGGCTTCATTGGGGACTACAAAATATTGTAGTCATTTTCTTAAAGGTTCCCAATGTCAAAAACAAGTAAGTTTGTGTAACATGTTACTGACCACTAGCTGCACTAAAACATATATCATCATTTGTTGCTCTGATTATAGAGTAGTGTATGAAACTTGAGAAATGCATGCAATTGTTTAAAGAGATTAAGTACTTTTACCCAACATTCATAAATGAGGATCTTGAAGCCATTTTGAAGGTAGAGTTAGGATATCAATTGTAATGGCAATGTAATGAGTCAATACCTTTATAGGTATAATAACATAATTTATGGAAACCTTGACTTATTTCTACAAATGCTACAGTAGCAGTTTGATTGCAAATAAAATATTGACATAGTAGGAATGATTGAATAGTACCAATTTCAAAGTTTAAAAGAAATGTATTATGATATTTATCTGACTATTGTTGTATTTTTAGTATTGACATTACACATGAGCAGTAGCAGGTTTTAACAATATTCAAGTAATATTTTTTGTGTCATATTGATATATTGTTATAACAATCAGTTACACATTGTTCTTAAAGGATTGTATGTACTTACATGAATTGGGTGAAGAAGCAGCTAGTTTTACAAAAGAGGAAATGCAGTTAGGGTAAGTTCACCAAGATTTTACTGATATAAAGAGATTGAATTACAGGAGTTTTATTTATTTTTATCAACTGCATTTTGAATGTTCATTTATTTATGAAGAAGTTGGTAGATATCAAAGTATCCAATGACATAACACCCTTCTATTTGTCTTATGCTACAGTGAAAATCATAATAGCTAATCTCTCAAAATTATATAGCCAGGCAAAATAGATTAATTAATGTATTGAACTGAGTGGAAAATCAGGTTAACCATGCAATATTCTTTATTAATGATGTTTGTTATGCAATTGTATGTATTTGTGTTATGTTTTGTTCTTGGAAGGAGAATATGGGAATGTGATGTTATATAATATATGAATTTCTGCATATGTTCATGCCCCATGGGACCATGTTTTAACAGAGTTCGCGAAAATGGTCGGTCCTGTCGGTCAAAATGAGGCTCGGATTTATTATAAACAAACCAAAGCGGCGATCTACACGTGGCCTACTTAATTTGTTCATAGAGCCATCCCTGGCAAACAATCGGCGATTGAACCCTACAATGGAGCAAACAAATACTGTAAAAGCTGAGAAAGTGATTCAGATGATGAAATGGATAGTGAAGATGACTTTAAATAAGAACAATCAGAAGACCTGAACTGGTCCTTCATTGTAAATCTGCCTGTGGGTGCGAAGAATAAAACTAATATTAATAAAGTTATTTTTCGATAAAATATGTTATTAATTTTATTTCAGGATAAAATTGACAGATTTTGTAGGACTGGCTAAAATTTTGTAGGACTGACAAATAATCATTGCTTTGTCCGTCCCATGACCGACAGGTCAAAATAAGTTTTCGCGAACTCTGATTTAACAATGATTCTTATTATTCCTCATCTGTATCTTTGGATTGTGTCATATATGGTATCTAGCAAGGTTATACATTTGTATAAGATACTTGTCATGTGAATTAAATTTGTAACTTCGCATTTCATTTCAGGAAACACCAAGAATATGAACAAAAGTTACTAGAGAATTATATGAACATGCAGAATTCTGCCAATAACCATGTGATAACAACTGGTAGTAAACCCATTCCTACCAGGTATATATATATATATATTTTATAACTCTTCACATTGCCTTTGATGACCATATAGGAATTATCTAGATTTAAATAAACTTCTAACAGATGTATTATGATTTGATAATTTTTAAGGATGCACTCTAAACAAAATAGTTCTTCATATATCTTGAAGGAAAGGTTTCACACTATATCTTTTTTCCATTTTTTTTTTTGTAACTTAAAAGATTTACAAAGTTTGCTCATGATTTTATTTCAATTAGTACAGAATACTTTTTAGTCTGACAGATCTTTTTATTTTTGTTATTAAAGCAATTTATGATAAGATGTTATTTTAAATATGATGTTTATTGTTTTGCTTTGCAATGGTAAATATAAAGGACATTTACCTACAGTCTAAAATCAGGAAATCAATTTTAAAACAAAAACAAAAATTACTATAGAAATATAACTTAATGTATTTAATTATTTCCATACTTTTCACTTTGCAGAAAGAAAGAGACTTCTCCATTAACAGTAACAACATCATCTTCTCCTGAATCACAGGGAACGCCTCCCTCAATTATGTCTAATCACAGTCCAAACTCACCCTCCAGTAATAAAGATGCATGGCCATCGTTACAACCGGGTAATAAACCAATTAACAAACCAACCCGTACAGATCAACATAATAGGGTGAACAATAAAATTAGAACAAAATCAGAAGAGGACACAGATCACAGGTATACATATAATATAAGAATTTTAATTATTCTTTTATAATGACAAGAGGGCTGTACCAATACAGTGGAACATAAAAAATCATTGAAGTAAGTAAGAAAATCAAAATCAAGCATACAGCATCATTTAAAATGATCTACCTGTTTTACTGCACCAGGAACTGGTACAGAGAAAATTAAAGTCAAAAGTCCCAAGTTGGACTGACAAAGAACAGCCAAATATAATAAAATTTGTAACCTAAACAACATATTTAATGTATAAATCAAATTTTGAGCCCAGCACTGTACTTGTCTTTTATACTGCTGTTTGCCAGTAAAAAGTACAACTGTATGAATAATATTGAAAACAAAGTTGATATGAATATTCTCTGATTTGATTCATCAGTAGAAGAACTTTACAGTGTTATTACATATATTATAAAACGAAAATTCAAATGTTTGAAAATTGAGACACTTATATGATTTCAGTTCACAGATAACAGACAGATTTAACGGTACTAACTCAGTCCATAGAACTACAGACCCTCAACATAGTAACACAGTACACAGAACTACAGACCCTCAACATATATCTCCCCCACAACAGACAAAACCTCCATTAAGTCAACCAAGAATTGTCAATTCAGGGGTACCAGGAGTTAAAACTGTTGTGTTTGACAACCCAGCCCAAAGTCTTTCATTATTTAGTGGAAATGTATTTTATGGCAACAGAAATCAGAAAATACCAGTACCTACACAAACAGGTTAGATTGATGTATAAAACTAAACATTGATAGCTAAAACCTAAACAAATAAAAAGAATACACATAAGACAATTTATATTCACTGGTACTTATAAAAAGGAAAGTAACTATTCCTTGTTATTCCTTCTTAGAAAGGAAATATAATCTCCTTAGTTTAGGAAAATGCAAAACAAGCTGTTAGTTACTATGTCAATCTTGTGTAAATAAATTTTTAGATGAACACGTAATTGAGTGGTTGTGGTTTTTTGTTGTTTCTCATATCAAATCTCCTTATTTTAATATAGCTATTTTCAAGTGTTTATAGTTTAAATTTTCTGTAACAACTATTATCTGTTATTTTTATTCTTGATACATTTTGATATAAAAGAAATATGTTATTCTGAATACAGTGAGATTATAAGAATTTCCTTTGTTAGGCCATTCCCATCCTGGCGAAATGAAAATAGAAAATGAAGCAGCAGTATATACTGATTAAACTTACTAGAGGAAAAAATACAAATTATCTAAAACTTATGCCATATATTAATTATTCCATATTTTCAGAATTATTTCAAATAGAACATTATATTTTCAAAAACATTTCAGAAGTACCAGACATACCAACAACAGAAATTTCAGAATCAATACAAGTGTCAAGTTGTACAGATTGGCAAGCAGCATTCGGTTTTACATCAAAATCTAGAGAATCACAGGATGATGACTTAGGTAATTTATACTATAGATATCACTTTCATCTTAAAAATCTATGTTTTTGATCTTTAAAAGGACAAGTCCAAAATAGTAATAATTCTGGTACAAAACCATAGTAAAAAGCATGTAGGTGGTTTGCAGTACAATTATAATATACTTAACTTAAAAGAATATTTGTCAGGGGAGAGTATCCTTCGACACTAGACTGGATGAAAAGGTAACTCATTGTGGGACAGGTGTGCTCTTCTATCTTGACTTAACAATACCTGATGAATAATGTTGAAATCATTGAATAAATGATTGACCTTTTTCTTCATTATAATGTAGGTTTTGATCCCTGGGATGAATCATCAAAAGGTTTAGCAGATTTGCTGGAAAAAGAAAATGTAACTACAAATATCCATCAGCAAAACAATACTCACAATCAGAAATATGACCAGAGACCAACACAGAATCTTCCCCCAGGTAGGTGTGGGAGGAGCAAAACTATATTTGCACAATATTTGTTGTTTATGTTGGATTGTTTGGCAGACAATGAGTCATTTAAATGTTTCCTTTATTCAAATATTTGATTATTACTGTTATCAACATGAGAAATTTTATTTTGACTACCTTTTCAGATTGTTCTGCCTTACAATTTCTACCACCTGTAAAGTAAACCTACCTGTAATTTATACTTATGTGTGGGTGACTATTTCAGAACATTTTACATCCGCTGAAGAATATTCACAAAAAATTGTCATGTGCTTATAGAACTTTAGTTCTAGTATGTAAACATTTGAAAGCAAATACCTGACATTTGCAAACTTTTTTGTGGAGAATAGGTAGTGGTTATATGAGTTTAGTAACAATAATGATTGTATAATATTAATTTTGATAGTGTTTGGTAAGTGAAATTTTGTCAGTTTTAATATGGATGCATTATGTATTAATAACAGTAATCATTTAGCACAAGACCTATTTTCGGTGGCATTTCTTCAGTGAACAATGCATCAAGATTGCTGGGAAATATGTTCATTTTGTTATTGTTTTATTAAAACAAACTGTTAAAAGTTTTACTAGTTCTACATAGAGAGTAGAATTTTTGCAAATTTAAAAAAATCCATTTTGGGGCCCATTTCAGGTTTTACACTAAGTCACATACAGAATCAACAGAGACCTGTACAGCACCCAGCATTCCTACAGAATGGTACGATATTTTATATTTTGACTAAGATCAAGCATAAGATACTTCTGAATAAATGAGGAAATGTTTTATGTGATGGTCATTGGTCAGACTTCTCTATAAATCTAGTGTAGTAAAAACAGGAACACAACATGAGAATTTGGGGATTACTTTTACACAAAATCAAATCTGTGAATTCTTATCTAATCTACTGGATAGATTAGGGAAATTGCATTAATGTTAGTCTATATATGAATTGAAACAGTACCAAAATAAGGAAAAATGTTAAAATTTGATGTGCAGACAAAATATTGAAATAGAAAACTTAAGATAAGATGGCACTTGAATTTATAAATACTGTCATGACTGTAATTTTCTTGAAATTTTCCGAAACTTAGATATATGTAGACAATTTTTTTAATGAAGGTCGCCAGACTTGTTTAGAAAAATTGTTCAAACAAATTTGACAATTTTATAATAATCTTATGGCAAGTAAAAATTTTGGTGTAATTTATATATTAAAGTGAATCAAAAATGGAAAATGAGGGTACTAATACCTGTTTTCTTGCATTAGCACAAAATGATGTAAATTATGGTTGATTTGTACTTTCCAGATAACAATGATTTGTACTATCCAGATAACAATCTCCCTTGAATTCACCACATTATTGCAATTTTTTCCTCTGGAAAATCACAAATTCTTTGATTCATGAACATTTAATGGTTCATTTATTATTTTCAAATTTTAAAACATATAAGGGCTATTCCAGAAAAAACTGTATGGGGGGGTTGGAAGGCACTTTATATTAATAATACATGGGTGATGGGTATCAGTGCAACTTTTCACACTTTAATGCACTATGATTCTCAATTACAATTGTCTGGGTGGCGGGTTCTGACAAAAACTGCCTTCCAACCCCCCCATACATTTTTTTCTAGAATAGCCCTAATACTAACTTTCAAAACAAACACCAAATCGAAGGTGGCAACCCAAATATATGCTCAGTGGAATGTTAAGTGTTTATTTACCTTATAATGGTCTGAAATAAACAGTTTATTTAGTTTCAAAACTTATAGCATTTATTCATGTAAATACAGTTCACTTTTACTGAAATGATTGTCAGAAAAAAATATCAACTGCATTCTTATTAAAATTAACACTAAAAAAGATTATAGATACACTTGATTTTTTGTTGGATTTCTATGCAATGCCTCTTTTTAACCCGATGAAAAACAATGAACTGTTTACTTAAAGATTTAAGACTTGATAACTTAATACAATGGATAGAAATTTTCTATTTTCAGAACTAGTCGGTAGTAGAATGATGGGGTTTTTACAACAAAATCCATCAATGATGTCAAACAGACGAGAACAGACAAATCTTCAGGTACAGTATTACATCATAAAAGGATCAAATAAACCACCATTTTTTTGGATAGGAAAAACAGAAAAACTGAGTTCATAGTATAATTCATTATATCATTTCCACATTTATTACTAAATAGTGTATATTAGCTGATAGAGATTATGTCACAGGAAATGTTAAAAAAATTATATTAATTAATTTTTAGTAATTTTAACATTTGTACCAGTCAGAATATTATTTTCAAGGTCTTGAACAAATCTTGAGATTAATTCCTGTTTGTAATGGCAAATTTCTGCTATACAGCAGTTTTTCATTGGTTATTTACACAGAAATTAATCATTCGGTATATATTGCAAAAGTATTATTTATTTTCAGCATCCAGAGTCATACAATAAAGATTGGCAAGATGGTCTTCGGGCATTATTACCAAATATAAATATTAGTTTTGGTGCACCACCACCAACAAGTGCTAACTCACAAAAATCATCACAAAACAGTAAGTCTTCGCATGATCAGATGTTTCATATGTTTGTTTGTATGTCTGGAGTAATAGATTGCACTGAGCTTTTTTAAAAATGCAGGTTACATTTCAAATAGATGTATTGAAATAGAACATATAATCTATTGCCGTAGTGGTGGGGACATTAAGTTTTACCCTTGTTCGTCTGTACGTCTGTATGTACGTCCCAAAATTGGTTTCCGTTCTCTAACTTGAGTTTGCCTCAACCAAATGTTATGAAACTTATTCACAATGCTTATTATCACAAAACACAGATCAAGTTCTAGAGTTATGCCCCTTTATAATTCGAAAGAATGCAAAATTTTTTAGTTTCCATTCTGTAACTTTAGTTTGCCCCAACCAAACATTATGAAACCTATATATATATACACAATATTCACTACCACAAAACTAAGATCAAGTACAAATTTTTTGTTTCTGTTTTCTAACTTTAGTTTGCCTCGACCAAATGTTATGAAACTTATACACAATGCTTATTACTACATAATACAGATTAAGTACGAAATTTGGTGGCAACACTTTTACCATTCTTGAGTTATGTCCCTTTATAAATGAAAAAATTGCTGAATTTTTATCGTTTCCGTTCTCTAACTTTAGTTGTCTCAACCAAATGTTATAAAACTTATACACAACCGTTCTAGAGTTATGTGTGTTTACAAATAGAAAATTACTGAATTTTTAGTTTCTGTTCTCTAAAGTTAGCCTCAACCAAATATTATGAGACTTACACACAATGCTTATTACCACAAAACTCAGATCAAGTTCAAATTTGGGTAGCGTCACTTTTACCGTTCTTCAGTTATGTCCCTTTATAACTATATGATATGCAAGTGGGGGCATCATCTGTGTCCACATGTGGACACTATCCACATTTATTTTTAAATGTTATAAAGATCAATTAAAAAAAAAGATATCAATTGTCTAATTGATTTTTTTATGCCCCCACCGTCGCGGTGGGGGCATTAAGTTTTACCCTTGTCCATCTGTACGTACGTCCAAAATTGGTTTCCGTTCTCTAACTTGAGTTTGCCTCAACCAAATGTTATGAAACTTATACACAATGCTTATTACCACAAAACACAGATCCAGTTTGAATTTTGGTGGCATCACTTTAACCGTTCTAGAGTTATGCCCCTTTATAAATGGAAAAATTGCAAATATTCTAGTTTCCGTTCTCTAACTTAAGTTTGCCTCAACCAAATGTTATGAAACTTATACACAATGCTTATTACCACAAAACGCAAATCAAGTTTGAATTTTGGTGGCGTCACTTTAACCGTTCTAGAGTTATGCCCCTTTATAAATGGAAAAATTGCAAAATTTTTAGTTTCAGTTCTCTAACTTAAGTTTGCCTCAACCAAATGTTATGAAACTTATACACAATGCTTATTACCACAAAACACAGATCAAGTTTGAATTTTGGTTGGGTCACTTTAACCGTTCTAGTTTACTGATCTATTAGATCTGCTATAGTATTGCACATCTTAATTATACAAATTACAATATAGCATACACAAACAAACTTTGTGGAGTTCAAAAAGTTGGGTTACTTTTTCCTTTGATTCTGAAGTAGTGTGAGCCCTGTGTTCAAAGTTGAAATAAAGAAGTTAAAAGATCTTTATATTGTTACTTTTGAAAAAATTAATTGAAGATTGCAAGACAATTCATAATGATGCTAGGAATAAACATCTTTCATGGTAATTTATGATGTTTTGACATATTATGATGTAAAATGACAGCTGAAACATAAGGATTAATTAAATCATAGCTTTTTAAGACTAATTTATTTAACAAGACCTTATAAATTTTATGTATCATTGGCATTTCATGTCATTTATTAGAGTTGAATAACAAGAAAAGAAGTTGATCAAAATCTTAGCTAATAGAAAGATTAGGGCTATTCCATTAAAATGTATGTGGGAGGGTAGGAAGGGACTTTCAAAATATCCCTACAACCAAGAACCATTTTTTAGATAATTTTGCATAATGGTAATAGATGCATACTGAAAAAAGACCCATGACCCACATTCAATAATTAAACTTCCCTTCCTACCCTCCCACATACATTTTAATGGAATAGCCCTTGATAGCTCACCACCATTGTTGTCATGATTTGCTTTATTTACATTATTGAAATTCCTTTTTATAAAGAACTTTTAAAACTTCAGAACTAACATAATGCAGCCTTAAGATTGAGCACAGTTAAAAAGTATTTTGTCCCCTTTCTTCAAATTAACAAAGAACAGTTGTGATTTAGTAATGTATAGACATTAGGCATGTAAGAAGTGGAAACAAACATCACATTCAAAGAAAATCATAAAATTTCAAAACTTTTTTCACTGTTCAGCTGATTTTTTTTTCACATCTGCATAGTTTATATCGATGTTTTTTGTTGTTGTTTTTTTATGGCTATGATAAGCTGTGTGTTTGTTTTACTACATTATGAATGTTGTGTGTACATATTTATGATTATTATATTTGTGTGTGAATTTTATGTTGCAGTCAGCTCCAAAGCTTTTGCTACAGTGTAGATAATATTTATCAAGTGCTACCTGAAAAGCATGATGTACCTTTTAGTCCCTGTGGTGTTGAAAATATTAATCAGTTTTTGCACAAGTACATAATCATATATCTATTAATTTATGGTGTTTATAAAGTATAACTTATAACTTTATTTTGATGCAAAGTATAAAAAGATAAAATGAATGTAACAGTAATGTCTGACACATGATAGAGTAACAGATTTTTAAAGTTAAATTTTACGGAGTTGACTGTTCATAAATTTTGCAGACCACAAATCAAGGCGGTGTTTGTCAAAGAATTCGTACTTTGATGGGCCGAGGACAATATTTGATCCAGCCATTTTATCTTCAGGAAAATACTCAGACGGTTGGTATTTTATGGGTATAGTTTACATGTTGATATTGCTTTGATGTTCATCAATTCTTTTCATCATCACCATTATATATTATTTTGAATTTTTCTTGCCTTCAAATTACTTTGAACAAAGTGAGACTTTGGTGTTACTTTGCCAGAAGATATGGTGGTATTGTCACTAAATCCTTTTAATTCATGTTTCCTGATAGAACTATTTCAGAATAACCACTTGCGATAGACAATTGATAGAATTGCTGTTTCATTAACATCCATGCTTCTCAGATCAGAGTAAGAGGATTTCTTCTCCCATTTTCATGCTTCCAAGACTGAATTTTTTGACATTGTTAAAAATGTTCTTGTTATTAGGGAGGTCAGAAGAATTTGTTGTTTTCATAATTTAGAACATTAAGCTAAACATTCTGGCCCTAGATTAAAGGTTACACATGTTACATACGTTTAGAATCAATTTATATAGTAAGCTCTTTTTTGTTGCTTATTATTTGACAAATGATAGTAGTTATTCTAAAAAAAACAATTTTTTTCATTGTGTATTTCACTTGTTAAATATAAATATAGTTCAACTGTGAGATGTGCTGTCCATTTATCATAGAAATTATACCTGTTTTTTTATGTACAACAGGCTTAACTTGATCATGGTCAATCAGATTTTGAAATTGTTATATTTTGCTATATGAATTTTCTAATCGGGTTTCGAACAAGTCATGTAAGAGGTAATGGCTTCCATATATCTAGTCAAGTCTGCCTAATAGCCACCTCGTTTCAGTGGTCACCTGCCTCTAATGGTCATTTTTAGACCCTTCCAAAGGTTTTCTCTATACAATTAAACTCTTTTCAGTAGTCACCTGTCTAACGTGGTCAGCTGTAATCTAATTTTTGTAAGAAATTGTCATTTCAACTTTTAACAACAATTAGTTTAATGTTTTTTAAACAAATATAATCATGACGAACAAAATATGAGTGCAGTATTGAGGTTAAAATGAGAATTGGAACCCGTTTGCTACTGATATCGCCTATTAGGAGGTGAATTTGTGAATTTCTCGTGATCCACTCCTTTCTGTTTCGATTAAAAACCGTAAAATCGACTTCTCCATGACATTAACTATTTCAAATATTTTTTCTAATTAAGAACACCTGTATCCGCTATTTTGTATTTGTCTGCTCGCATGAACAATAACTCTACCGATTAAAAACACAAACAATTTGGCCTGATCCCTGCCATGTGCGATGTCGGAATTTGAATTTTTATCGGAAACTCATTTAAAAGGTCACCTCTCTTGAGCAGCCACCTTTGATACTTCCCTTTAGTGACTACTTAATACAGGTTTGACTGTATGCACATAAAATGGCTTGGTCTGTGAATGCTTGTCTTTGGATTAGCTGCAAAGCAGGCGAAATATATTTCTGTGTTAATAGTTTGTGAAGTAAACATTCCAGTTTTGTCACTTTCTGAAATGCACACTTTGACTTGGTTTTCATATTAAAACAATTTTTTTTTTTTTTTATTTAGACATAATCATATTGTTATTGAAGGCCTGGTAAAGCCAATTTATTTCTACCTGACCTTTTTTTATCAGAAATGATAAACAGTTTTCGTTTCACTGTTCCAGTGCCATTATAGCGACCTTTATATGCCTCTTGCTTCACCTATAAAAAATAGAAGAAAAGATGAGGCTAAATGAATTAAAATGGCAATTGATTTGGTGGAAACAATGTTTATTTACCCAAGAAAAATTGATTTTAACCTAAGTCTACTTCCTTTGTTAATATGATATTTTTATGCCCCCGGCCGTAGCAGAGGGAGCATTAAATTTTACCCTTGTCTGTCTGTACGTACATATGTCCCAAAATTGGTTTCTGTTCTTTCACTTTAGTTTGCCTCAACCAAATGTTATGAAACTTATACACAATACTTATTACCACAAAACACAGATCAAGATTGAATTTTTGGTGGCGTCACTTTTACCGTTCTAGAGTTATGCCCCTTTACAAATGGAAAAATTGCTGAATTTTTTGTTTCCGTTCTCTAACTTTAGTTTGCCTGAACCAAATGTTATGAAACTTATACGCAATGCTTATTACCACAAAACACAGATCAAGTTTGAATTTTGGTGGCGTCACTTTTACCGTTCTAGAGTAATGCCCCTTTACAAATGGAAAAATTGCTGAATTTTTCATTTTTCGTTTCTGATCTCTAACTTTAGGTTGCCTCAACCAAATGTTATGAAACTTATACACCATGCTTATTACCACAAAACACAGATCAAAATTTCAATTTTGGTGGCGTCACTTTTACCATTCTAGAGTTATGCCCCTTTACAAATGGAAAAATTCCTGAAATATTTGTTTCTGTTCACTAACTTTAGTTTGCCTCAACCAAATGTTATGAAATTTATGCACAATGCTTATTACCACAAAACTCAGATCAAGTTCAAATTTGGGTAGCGTCACTTTTACAGTTCTTGAGTTATATCCCTTTATAACGTTATATGCAAGCAGGGACATCATCTGTGACCCATGGACACATTCCTTATTTATTTTGGATGACTTATCCACATTGATAAAAGTTATTGAGTGTGTTGCTGTAAATTCAGAAATAAATGTGTGCATTTAATTTTGGCAAAAATGTAAAATTGCAAAAAATTGATGCAGGAAAGTCACTACTGAAATTTTGATTTCAAGTTTTTACACGACCGCAAAAATTTTTGTGGTCGTATATTGGTATGACGTTGGTGTCGTTGTCGTCGTCGTCCGAAGACACATAAGTTTTCGCACTCTAACTTTAGTTTAAGTGAATGGATCTCTATGAAATTTTACCATAAGGTTCAATACCACAAAAGGAAGGTGGGGATTGATTTTGGGGGTTTATGGTACCAACAGTTAAGGAATTAGGGGCCAAAAATAAGCTTTTTTGTAACTTCCAGACATAACTTGTGTGTAAGTGTATGGATCTCTCTGACATTGTACCACAAGGTTCCATATCAGAAAGGGAATGCTGGGATTGATTTTGGGGGTAATTGCCTCCAAATTTTAGGAATTAGGGACCAAAAAGGGGCAAAAAACAAGCATTTTTCTAGTTTCATGACAATAACTTGTGTGTAAGTATATGGATCTCTCTGACATTGTATCACAAGGTTCCATTTCACAAAGGGAATGCTGGGATTGATTTTGGGGGTAATTGCCTCCAAATTTTAGGAATTAGGGGCCAAAAAGGGGCAAAAAACAAGCATTTTTCTAGTTTCATGACAATAACATGTGTGTAAGTGTATGGATCTTTATGAAATTGTACAACAAGGTTCCATATCACAAAGGGAAAGCTGGAATTGAGTTTGGGGGTAATTGCCCAAAAAGTTTAGGAATAAGGGGCCAAAAATAAGCATTTTTCTAGTTTCCAGACAATAACTTGTGTTCAAGTGTATGGATCTCTCTGAAATTGTACTGCAAGCTACCATACCACAAAGGGAAGGCTGGGATTGAGTTTGGGGGTAATTCCCTCAAAATTTTAGGAATTAGGGGCCATAAAAGGGCAAAAAAACAAGCATTTTTCTAGTTTCAGGACAATAACTTGTGTGTTAGTGTATGGATCTGTATAAAATTGTACTGCAAGGTTCCATATCTCAAAGGGAAAGCTGGGTTTGAGTTTGGGGGTAATTGCCCTAAACGTTTAGGAATTTGGGGCCAAAAAGGGGCCAAAAAACAAGCATTTTTCTAGTTTCCAGACAATAACTTGTGTTCAAGTGTATGGATCTCTCTGAAATTGTACTGCAAGGTACCATACCACAAAGGGAAGGCTGGGATTGAGTTTGGGGGTGATGAAACATAAGGGGGTTCAAAAAATTGGGGGGGGGATTTTTTTTTTCTTTGTTTTTTTTTTAATTTTCCATTTTAAATTGGTTATTTCTGAAATTATTTATAAAAGCAAATAAAAATGATATGGTTTGAATAGGTAAATTAAAAATTTTTAAGTTCTTAGACCACTTTCATTCTGTGTCAGAAACCTATGCTGTGTCAAATATTTAATTACAATCCAAATTCAGTGCTGTATCATTCTTGAATGTTGTGTCCATACTTGCCCCAACTGTTCAGAGTTCGACCTCTGTGGTCGTATCAAGCTGCGCCCCAACGGAGCATTTTATTATTGTTGTGAATCTATTACTGTCACATTTTTCACATCTCAATAATTTCTGATATTACAGTGTACTTAATTGTACATCCCATAAAAAAGGTATATTGTAAATCAAAACTGCAAGGTTTTATTATAGTACATTGATTAAAACATTTGATTCTACAAAACAGAAACAGTTTGAAATACATTTATTTAGAGACCAACTTGTACCTTCTCCTTTACATTTCTACTATTGAATTATTAATATGTATTTATTACCTATTTCTAGAAATTAATATTAATTTGCTTTAATTTTTTTAAAGGTTCTATGACAGATTGTCCTCCACATTGGTTAAAGTCAATTACACAATTAACAGAATTAGAAGGACAGAGTCAAAACCACAGATTGCCATTTGTACAACAGTTTCCAATCAGAAGTAGGTTTGAAATAAAATAGTTTTCTTATTTGTATTTAGTACCACACATAAGAGTTATATTGTAGTTATAAAGTGAACATTGACTCAGCAGACTTGAGGGTCTGCCTTCATTGTATATTGTAGATCATAATTTTAAGAGGTACTATGCACATTGTTAGTCAGAAGGAGTAATGGGATCATTGTTCAATACTCATAGGCCATTTGTCCAGACAAATAATTATAAATCAAATGATGGGGAATTGATTTGCCATTGTTTGTTTTGTTTTTTGTTGCAATTTTACTTTTGGTACTTGATTATTCCTAGTATCTGTTGATTTTTGGGTAAAGATTGCATTCATACACTCAAAACCTTAATGGGTCTGACTTGATAGTTATCAGTTTTCCAGACTTTATCGCTACTTTTGAAATAATAAAAAGCATAGTGCATTGAGCACAACATTTTAAAGTGTATACATCCTATCCTTGAACATTTCAAGAAATTTATCAATGAAATACATACTGAGATAGTCAAATACCAAATGATGTGTATTTGTATAATCTTGACAAGAAAATTACAAAAATTGTGCATGGTGTATGTTTCTAGCATATGCTATAACACATCAAGGATGACATTGTTAAAGTAATATTTAAAATTGAAGTTTTCTTCCTTTAATTTATCCATAGTTGTACTACAATTTTGGACAAAGAACATATCTCCAATTCTTAGTATTGCCTTCCAATGCTTTAATACAATACAATGTTTAATCTTTAGAACCCAATGCAAAATGAATGCAATATTACCCATTTAGTGCTAACAAGCACTGCTTAAAATGTGTTGTAGATGTAGATGCCTCTTCTTCATCAGCATTTTTGTTTGGAAAATGTCTGTTATCGAAGAAAAAAATAAATTCATCCAATGATGAAGTGAACATACTGACAATCTTTATATGTGTTGTCACATGACTTATCAAGTATCATAAAAAACCAGGAAGTTGTAATCTGGTAGCCAAATCTTTTAATAACTGATGCCTGAATAATATTGATTCTGTTCAAAAAATTAATTCTGGTATGCAAAAGGGATATTCTGTGTCGTTTTTTTTTTACACAAACAAAGGTCAATTTGTTGCTGCTAGTGACTAGAACCTTGGTTCATTTGAACTCCTGCTGATTCTGCAATATAAATGTTTGAGTATATGACAAAAACAGATTTTCAGATAATTGTCATGATAGACTTTTTTTGGCATTATGATGACATTGTGATCTTATGTATCATTTTCATTTATTGTAGATTCTGGCTGGCCCACACAAACACAGAATCCACCCCCAGGTTTCCAGACTAGACCCCCCACACAACATTCAGAACCACACAAAATTTCAGAAGGTAAGAAGAAAATAGATTTTCAATTATAATACTTACACATGTACATGACAACTAGTATAATTTATCCCAAAAAAGTAAAATGAACATTGTTTTTACTGATGATATGTAGGGTTAAAAAAAACAGCAAGCTTTTGGATTTGAGAATCAACACTAGCCTATGAAAAAGCAAAAAATAAAAACTTCATTTAAATATCATAATCGATATGATGTCACATGACTAATGATGAGGCCTATATTTTTTGGGAGTCACAGCAGCATGAGAAACACAGAATATTAGTCAAGATCAATGGGGAAAAGTTCAAGCATCAATAATGCCTACTTACAATTAGTCTAGAGGACTGATATTGAAGTTCACAAAATCCCGGGAACAGTCAAGTGGTCACAGTATTCCACCAATGAAAAAACATATAATTTGAATTCATCTTAACATAATAGAGAAAGTTTAACCCTACACAATCTTTTAGTTTTACATCAAATATACACTCGACACTACATAACATCAAATATTCACTCGACACTACATAACATTGTTTTTAGTCCCCTACCGACGAAGTCCAAGGGGACTTAAGGTTTGCACTCAGTCTTTCTGTCTGGCAAATCTGTTTTCCACACTTTTTTTGTTCGTGCTTAAAGATATTAATTTGATATTTGGTATATAGTTTTATTATGTCCAGTTACAGATCAAGTTTGAGATTTGTTTCGGTCTGATGATTTTGTGCAGAGTTATGGTCTGTAGACTTCGTAAATTCATGCAAGTGATCAGTTTTTCCTCACTTTCTTTTGGTTATGCATTGATTTGATATTTGTTGTGTTGTTTAACCATGACAAGTTATAGTTCAAGTTCGAATTTTGTTCTGTTCAGATGATTTGTTTGCAAAGTAATGGTCCTTGGACTTAGAAACTAAATGCAAGTAATCAGTTTTTATGCCCTCGCCGTAGCGGAGGGGGCATTAAGTTTTACCCTCGTCCGTCTGTACGTACGTACGTCCCAAAATTGGTTTCCGTTCTCTAACTTTAGTTGCCTCAACCAAATGATATGAAACTTATACACAATGTTTATTACCACAAAACACAGATCAAGTTTGAATTTTGGTGGTGTCACTTTTACCGTTCTAGAGTTATGCCCTTTATAAATGGAAAAATTTCAAAATTTTTAGTTTCTGTTCTCTAACTTAAGTTTGCCTCAACCAAATGTTTTGAAACTTATACACAATGCATATTACCACAAAACACAGATCAAGTTTGAATTTTGGTGGCATCACTTTAACCGTTCTAGAGTTATGCCTCTTTATAAATGGAAAAATTGCAAAATTTTTAGTTTCTGTTCTCTAACTTAAGTTTGCCTCAACCAAATGTTATGAAACTTATACACAATGCTTATTACCACAAAACACAGAACAAGGTTGAATTTTGGTGGCGTCACTTTAACTGTTTTAGAGTTATGGCCCTTTATGAATGGAAAAATTGCAAAATTTTTATTTTCTTCTAAATGTAAAGTAATTTTAAAATTGGAGTTATCTTCCTTTGTCCATGATTATAGTTGAATCAACTACAATCATTGCTTTATACAATACAATGTTTAATTTTGACTTCCAGTGATAAAACACAGATCAAGTTGAATTTGGGTAGTGTCACTCTAATCATTATTGAGTTATGCCCCTTTATAATTCGAAAGATTGCAAAAAGTTTCCATTCTGTAACTTAAGTTTGCCCCAATTAAACATTATGAAACCTATACACAATATTCATTACCACAAAACTGAGATCAAGTACAAATTTTTTGTTTCTGTTTTCTAACTTTAGTTTGCCTCAACCAAGTGTTATGAAACTTATACACAATGCTTATTACTACATAATACAGATTAAGTATGAAATTTGGTGGCGACACTTTTACCATTCTTGAGTTATGTCCCTTTATAAACATAAAAATTGCTGAATTTTATAGTTTGTCTCAACCAAATGTTATAAAACTTACACACAACCGTTCTAGAGTTATGCATGTTTACAAATAGAAAAATTACTGAATTTTTAATTTCTGTTCTCTACTTCAGTTAGCCTCAACCAAATGTTATGAGACTTACACACAATGCTTGCTTATTACCACAAAACTCAGATCAAGTTCAAATTTGGGTAGCATCACTTTTATTGTTCTTGAGTTATGTTCCTTTATAACTATATGATATGCAAGCGGGGGCATCGTCTGTGTCCACATGTGGACACTATCCACATTTATTTGTTTCTGTTTTCTAACTTCAGTTTTCCTCAACCAAATGTTATGAAACTTATACACAATGCTTATTACTACATAATACAGATTGAGTAAGAAATTTGGTGGCGACACTTTATCATTCTTGAGTTATGTCCCTTTATAAACACAAAAATTGCTGAAAGGAGTAGGATTTTGGCCTCAAATTTCAGGTTCATCCGATGAAAGATTTTGAACACTTTTTAAACACTTAACTGTCTACTTCAGTCGATTCAATTATGTTATGTGAAAGATTTGAACTGGCTTAGTCATTTCAGACGCTCAAAGTCAAGCTGAAATATGAAAAATCCATCAAATATGCCAAAATATGTCACTTTTCAGATGTTTTTTGTCAAAAATGAAAGTGGCCACATCCGTGTTCACTCTCAACCTTTAAATATGTCATGTATTATCATAAAATACAACTTATATTTAAATATTAAGAATGAACACAAATGCGGCCACTTCCATTTAAGACAAAAACCGTCTAAAATGTACCTCAAATGCTTAAATTATGAACATTTCAGTAATTTAGCATGACTTAAGGGTGCTAGTACCCGATATATGTGCATTGTATTGTCAAAAACAGCCCATATTTAAGCAGCAGAAGTATTCTACTTTCCAATAAATAACTAAAAGTTTACATTTCAACAATTTTGTAAAACTGCTATATTTTGGGGCCTAAAAGAGGTCTTACTGAACCTACTCCTTTTTATACGACCGCAAAAAAATTTTTGTGGTCGTATATTTGTAGGACGTTGGCGTTGTCGTCGTCATCGTCGTCCGAAGACACATTGGTTTTCGCACTCTAACTTTAGTTTAAGTGAATGGATCTCTATGAAATTTTATCACAAGGTTCAATACCACAAAAGAAAGGTTGGGATTGATTTTGGGGGTTATGGTACCAACAGTTAAGGAATTAGGGGCCAAAAACAAGCATTTTTGTAACTTCAAGACATAACTTGTGTGTTAGTGTATGGATCTCTCTGACATTGTACCACAAGGTTCCATATCACAAAGGGAATACTGGGATTGATTTTGGGGGTAATTGCCTCAAAATTTTAGGATTTAGGGTCCAAAAAAGGGGCAAAAAATAAGCATTTTTCTAGTTTCATGACAATAACTTGTGTGTGACTGTATGGATCTTTCTGAAATTGTACTACAAGGTTCCATATCACAAAGGGAAAGCTGGAATTGAGTTTGAGGGTAATTGCCCAAAACGTTTAGGAATAAGGGGCCAAAAAGGGGCAAAAAAACAAGCATTTTTCTAGTTTCAGGACAATAACTTGTGTGTTAGTGTATGGATCTTTATGAAATTGTACAACAAGGTTCCATATCACAAAGGGAAAGCTGGGTTTGAGTTTGGGGGTAATTGCCCTTAACGTTTAGGAATTTGGGGCCAAAAAGGGGCAAAAAAACAAGCATTTTTGTCGAGCCTTCGACTTTTGTCAAAAAAGCGAGACATAGCGATCCTACATTCCGTCGTCGTTGTCGGCGGCATCCACAAATATTCACTCTGTGGTTAAAGTTTTTGAAATTTTAATAACTTTCTTAAACTATCCTGGATTTCTACCAAACTTGGACAGAAGCTTGTGTATGATCATAAGATAATATTCAAAAGTAAATTTTGTAAAAAAAAATCCATTTTTTCAGTATTTTGCTTATAAATGGACTTAGTTTTTCTGCCAGTTAACATGACATTCACTCTGTGGTTAAAGTTTTTAAAATTTTAACAACTTTCTTAAACTATCCTGGATTTGTACCAAACTTGGACAGAAGCTTGTTTATGATTAAAAGCTAGTATCTAGAGGGAAATTTTGTTAAAATTTTGTTCCATTTTTTCCGTATTTTACTTATAAATGGACTTAGTTTTTCTTCCAATTAACATTACATACAGTCTGCAGTTTAAGTTTTTAAAACATTTATTAGATTCATAAACTATCCTGGATTTTTACCAAACTTTGACAGAAGCTACTTACAATCAAAAGATAGTATAGAGAGGAATATTTTTATTAATTTTTTTCCTCATTTTTGTTGAGCCTGCGATTAACAGCAAAAGTAGGCGAGACACTGGGTTCCGCGGAACCCTTACGAATTTTTCTAGTTTCCAGACAATAACTTGTGTTCAAGTGTACGGATCTCTCTGAAATTGAACTGCAAGGCACCATCCATTGTAACACAAAGGGAAGGCTGGGATTGAGTTTGGGGGAGATGAATCATAAGAGGGTTCAAAAAATTTGAGGGGGGATTTTTTTCCCCTTTTTTTTCTTTAAAATTTTCCATTTTAGATTGGTTATTTCTGATTTAAATATAAAAGCAAATAATAATGATATGGTTTGAATAGGTAAATTAAAATTTTTTTTTTAAGTTCTTAGACCACATTCATTCTGTGTCAGAAACCTACCGTTCCTACTCGCTTATTAGTCGGAAAATTGGGAGTAAAATTCATAATCCAGAGAGGGGGACCGACTATTAGACGAGATCTAGCGACCAGAGGAAAAATCCAAGCTTGAGAAAAGTGGTCAGGAGTGAATTTCCTGTTCAAAACTACGTTTTTGATTGCCAAACCTACATAAATCAATAAATAAAAAGTTTTTGTTGAAAATAAATGACTACAATACTGTCTTTGTGTTTTATTTGTTCTTTGGTTAACATTTTCTGCAAATTCGTGTTGAAATTCTACTGTTTCCGGTTTGTGTATTGATTTTCATGGTCACATGGTTTTCCTATAAACCCAAAAGAAGAGCCAAGAACCAAAAATGAAAAGGAGATAACAATGTACCAAATATGTGAAAGGATGTTTTCAGCGGAGTTATTGTGTCATTATTGTGATATCATGATATCAATTCAATGTTTATAAATCATATAATAATCAAAAAATAATTTTAAGATTCATTCCCAAAATCAAAATATTATTCATTAAAGTGTCTCAGGTAAACAAAAATTACAAAATTGATTGACAAGCCAATATAATCCATTGATAACCCCAATTAAGAGACAAAGAGTTGTATTTACTAAAGGTGTGAAAACTATCAGTGATAGGTAAACAGGTGACACTAATGAGTTGGAGTTAGTTATTTTAATATATTGATTAGCTTCACTTAATTTTTTGAATCCTTTAATCATCACAATATAATAAGAATTATGAAGTGTACATGCTCATTTAACACCGAGTTATGTATGCTGTGAAAAATATTTTCATCAAGTGTTGATTGACTTTAAATTTTTCAGGTTCATATTGGTTTATATTCGCTTTTCTCAAACAATAGGTTGTTAGTCATACCCTACAAAATCATTGATGCATTACGTAAACAACACATGGCTAATCTAACATTTGAACAGTGAACAAAACAAGAGAAATGAATATATCTTTATTATTAACAGCAATATAAATTATCATGATCAGCATCAACTAAATTCAAACCAAACAAACATTAATGCAGAAATGAATATTATTCCTGGATTTGCATTGGTTTTACCGGCGTTCAGTTACTGTCAGCTGAAAAAAAATGCCCAAATTTTGTCCGACTTATACGAGGGTCAAGACTAAATCCTTAGAATTTGGAGCTGAAAAGGGCCCCCGACTTATAGTAGGATCGACTATTAGGCGAGTTTATACGGTATGCTGTGTCAAATATTTAATCACAATCCAAATTCAGTGCTGTATCAAGCTTGAATGTTGTGTCCATACTTGCCCCAACTGTTCAGGGTTCAACCTCTCCGGTCGTATCAAGCTGGGCCCAGCGGAGTATTTTATTATTTCTGTTTTCTAACTTTAGTTTGCCTCAACCAAATGTTATGAAACTTATACACAATGCTTATTACTACATAATACAGATTGAGTACGAAATTTGGTGGAGACACTTTTATCATTCTTGAGTTATGTCCCTTTATAAACACAAAAATTGCTGAATTTTTCGTTTCCGTTCTCTAACTTTAGTTTGTCTCAACCAAATGTTATAAAACTTATACACAACCGTTCTAGAGTTATGCATGTTTACAAATAGAAAAATTGCTGAATTTTTAGTTTCTGTTCTCTACTTAAGTTAGCCTCAACCAAATGTTATGAGACTTACACAATGCTTATTACCACAAAACTCAGATCAAGTTCAAATTTGGGTAGCGTCAATTTTACTGATCTTGAGTTATGTCCCTTTATAACTATATGATATGCAAGCAGGGCCACATTTATTTTTATTTTGTTCCAATACAAAGAATTTTTAACCAGTAGGGGACTATGTATTGCCATGTAATACTCCCGGAGTGCTTTGTTTGTTTTTTTAACTTTTGTTGAAATATTTATAGGCACATAACAAGAATTGTGTTTTATTTGTGTTTTTATTTTGCAGGATTACAATAGAAACAACTGTGATTAAGACAAAGACATTAAACCAGGACCGTTCTCCTACAGCCAGTCATCATCATTGGAACCAGTGTTATTTATATACATTTTGTCATCAAAAATACTTAACTGTATTTGACTAGCATTTAAATATTCTTTGCTAAATCCATTTTCAGTTGAATTATAGAAAGATGTATAACATTTGAATGAAAAAGAAGGAGGTTTAGTGAAAAATCATTTTCATCTGGGTAAAATTAAAACATTTCTTTTACATATTACACATTTTTGTCAGTCTCGATTCCTATAGTTTTCCCCATAAAAATATGAATTTAAATGTTTTAGTTATTCTGGGTTATTCCATTAAAATGAATGTGGGAGGATACACATGGAAGTTTTATTTTTGTCATGGGTTGTCCATTGGATGTATGCAAATTTATTTACAGAAAGTATTTAGGTTGATGGGAGATTTTAGTAGTACATGTACCTTCCTGCTCTCTCATATCCATATAATGGAATAACCCTAATGAATCTTAAATAGTTTTTCAAAATGAAATTTTTTAAAAATTAAGAATTCTTTATCCACATTGACAGGTGAACTGCTGCATTATTCTCTTCCAGTTGATTTTTCAAGCTACGCAAGAAGTATTGCTCCTTTTGAATAAACAAGGGAAACTCTTACCAAACTTTGTCAGACTCTAGTGATTCAGATCTTTTATTTTCTGTGAGCATTTGCCTATATATGCATCCTACCAAAAAAGTACTTTTTGTTGCAAAGTACATACTTTTATTTTATTTAAGTTGATACAAAAGTGATGTTATTGTTAGATATGATTATTGATGTAACAAACATTTTACATTTTATTGAATGAAAAAGAACAAAATGCTTTATGAAAGTCCAAGATTTATAGAGAAATGATAAGATTGTCATATTGTTTACATGTGTATGTTATGTTATAATATCACAAAATATGCACATAGTAATGAGTTACAGATGCTTTGACAGAAATTAACAATATAGAGCATCAATCGCCCAAGAATTATCATTTTCAGAATGCTTTGATAGGTTAAAACATTTAATTTACTACACTTGTTCACAAGTCTTCCATTTACCTTCCCTTGAAGATTCAGTATTCATTTATGATTTTAATGTTATTTACTGTTTTTGTTGGTATCACTAAGAATTGATGGAATTTTCTGGCTTTGGTAAATTTGATTTTACTTTTAATTTTTGCAGCCACTATGTTCAGTAAATTATTCTTTTTTAGCATGAATTGATAATCGAACACTTTCGCTAATCTTTTTTAATAAGATTCAATTTAGGGGGCTGATTTTTTGCACATCTTTCTTGATCTATTATAACTTGAGTATTTTAAACTATTGTATTATTGTGACTTGCTAATCTGTGATACAAAGAAGTTTCCTCAGAAAATGATTTTCATTAGGTTTGTCATACACTTTTCTTCTTTTCTTTACTACATTTGCTTAAAGCTTTTAACAAACAATGTCATTGCAAATAGAAATATCAATAAAAAAGGTTGAGTTGTCCAGATAACCACAGGTTTTTAGGAGAAAATAACTATCCAAAAGTTGAGATCTGTATTCTGGTTTGTCTACTGAGTTATATGAAAATGGTCGTGATTTTATTTTATGGATATGATTTGAATGATCAAATGAAGTTATTTTCAAACTGAAGAATTAGACTAACCAATGCTATTTCGGTTGAGGGGAATAGCAGACTGCTAAACATGACAAAAATGTTATAGAGGAAGTATTAAAGTGCTGGCAGTCAATTGTAATTTTAAATGAATTTTAATAGTGATGGGTTAACCATATATCTGTTGTGTATTGATTCCAAATAGAGAGCTGTTATCAACAGCAACAAGGTGATAAATAAAAAATAAACAGAAGGATTTATCTTAGCTGTTGTTTGTTTTTTTTTTTTTTTTTTTTTTTATCATTTTTGGCGAGCATGTGATATGTCCTTGAATCTTTGAATCTGATTAAAATGCAGATTCTGTGTCTACTGCTTGATTACAAGGAAATGACATCACTCCGTTATACTTTCTGTTCTGGTAATCATTCCATCAGCCAATGAAATTTTTGAAGATGTGTATCAGTACGACAAAACCAGATGACACTGAAAGGTTTTTATATTTTAAAAACAGAAACTAGAACCAAGTGTTGTTAGATCCTTGTAAGCATATTGTGGACACAGGGTCTGTATTCAATCGGATTGTATGCACCTGAAATGGGTAAATTGCAAAATTAAAGATCTTAAGAAATAATAACCCTTACTATAGTTTGCTTTAAATGCAAGACTTAAAAATTGTCAGGAAATGTCTAGGATAATACATAAAAATTTCACAACTGCCTGTAACTGCCAGTCTCCAGATTGATAATCCATAATTCCTTATCACATTCATGAGTGTTGACAATATTTTCTTGTTGATGGGGAAAACATTTTAGAAATTGTTTAATTTGTTTTTATGTCCTACTCACCTACGATAGTAGAGGGGCATTATGTTTTTCGGTCTGTGCGTCCGTTCGTTCGTCCATCCGTCTGTCCCGCTTCAGGTTAAAGTTTTTGGTCAAGGTAGTATTTGATGAAGTTGAAGTCCAATCAACTTGAAACTTAGTACACATGTTCCCTATGATATGATCTTTCAAATTTTAATGCCAAATTAGAGTTTTGACCCCCAATGTCGCGGTCCACTGAACATAGAAAATGATAGTGCGAGTGGGGCATCCATGTACTTTGGACACATTCTTGTTTCTGCAGTCTCTGTAAGATGATATGAATGGAAGGTGACATAGGTTATTCCAATGAGACACTAAGAACAAAAAAACAAAATGGAGATGATTTTTTTCTGACTAAAAAGATTTTACAGTGTACAAGAATCAACTGCAGGTTGAAAATAAGGAATATAATTTCTTATATTATATTCAAATGTCTCATAAACATTAAGGTCATTTGTCTCTGAAGATCCTATCTGAAGTGAAGTCAAGGATAGTAACTTTAAGTAATATTCAGCAATTTATTCAGTTAAATGTAGTTTCAAAGAAAACTATACATAAATCAGGCAGTAAGTTTTCTCGTTTGTATTGTCTTACATTTGATATTTTGGGGCCTTTTATAGCTGACTATAAGGTATAAGTTTACTCAATGTTGAAGGCTGTATGGTGACCTATAGTTGTTAATTTCTGTGCTATTTGGTCTCTTGTGGAGAGTTGTCAAATTGGCAATCAACCCACATCTTTTTTTTTATACGACTGCAAAAAATTTTTTGGAGTTTGTATCATGTCGTCGTTGTCTTCCGAAGACTCATTTAGCTTCCGGACAATATATTAAGTTTAAGTGAATGGATCTCTAGGAAATTTTACCAGAAGGTTGGGATTGATTTTGGGGGTTATGGTACCAACAGTTTAGGAATTAGGGGCCAAAATAAGCATTTTTGTAGTTTCCTTACAATAACTTGTGTGCAAGTGTATGGATCTCTTTGAAATCGTACCACAAGGTTTCAAATCTCAAAAGGAAGGCTTGGATTTAGTTTGGGGGTATTTGCCCCAAACGTTCAGGAATTAAGGGCCAAAAACAAGCAATTTTCTAATTTCCAGACAATAACTTGTGTTCAAGTGTATGGATCTATCTGAATTTGTACTACAAGGGACCATATCACAAAGGGAAGGCTGGGATTGAGTTTGGGGGTCTTTTACTCCAATGGGGTGGGGGGGGGGATTTTTTTTCGAATATTTTTGGGGGTTCAAATTTTTTTCTTTTGAGTTTTTTTTACAAAATTTCAAATTTAATTAAAAAAAAAATTTTTTTTTTGGGGGGGGGGGGGGGGGGGGGGGGGGGAATTTTTTCCATAATTATTTTTTTTTTTCTAAAATTTTTTTAGTTTTACATTGATTATATCAGACGATACTTCAAATTTTTATGATCTTTAACTACATTTATTTTGTGTCAGAAACCTATATTATGTCAAAAATTTGACCACAATCCAAATTCAGACAGTATCAAGCTTGAATATTGTGTCCAAACTTGCCCCAACTGTTCAGGGTTTGATCTCTGCAGTCGTATCAGGCTGCGCTCGGCGAAGCATTTTTATTATATATTATAGTGGAGCGTAAATTGCAATCTTTTTTGTCAATATCAACAGAAAAACGACAACTTCTCTACTTTTGATTGTTTTTGCCAACACCCATTATACCCTTCTTGAAATGTGCTGACATCAAGTTTTGTGAATGCTAATTCAAGGTTTAAAGGGTTCAAAGACTGTTTTGCAAACACATTGCATGTAAATTAAATTAATAATAGATAATAAAAAAGATAATAGGAATAAGAAATATAGGATAGAAAAACTGACCACACATTCCTACAACAGTTTAAGAATATATTTGGACCTATGAGCCAATTTTCAACCTGGCAAATTTAAGTGTAGAAGTGCTATTAAATATACTTATTAAAGGTCGTTGGGAAACCAGATCATTTGTTGAAAATTTGCATGTAGAAAGTGATATATGGACATTTCAGGATATAAAGGGTTCACATGAAGTTATTTTTAAGGTAAAAAAAAATTAGCCAGTAATAATTTAAAATGTTGACGCAATATTTGGTCATAATTAAGGTGAAGTTTTTTGGAATAAAGACATTTAACTCGGATTAATCAACAGTTAGTACATCATTAAGGTGTCTGGTATTGTTAGAAATTAGGTCGATAACCGTACATAAAGAGCTTTACAATTCCCTGAGGTAGATCACAAGCAGTTTGTCTGAAATTGCATCCATCTTCTTTGTAACTTTTGTTGAGATTGTATGTCAAAATGTCAACTGGAACTAGAATATTATGATGAAATGTGTGACTCCATTTTAATAAAGAGAAAATTGCACACACGAAAGTATGGATAAAACGGTCCGATATGACGTTCTCTTTTTATTTACCTTTTTAAACTTTCATAATTCACGCTAATTATACATTGACAGCAACCAAGTGATGCACTAAGGTCAACCTTTTAGCAAATTTTAATAAAAAAAATATATATAATACTCGATGAATGACTATATTATTAACATGTTGAAACCATGTTACATCTGACCCTCTACTTTATAAAATTGCTGTAAAAACTAGTCAAGTTTTCAACGGTGACAATCCAGATATCGTACCATTTTAACTTGAAAACAACAAGAATAATTATTGTTTAATAAAATCCCCAGTATTTTTTTCTAGAACACTTGATAACAGGTATTCTACTTCTACCATTTTGCGGCCACCATCAATAAACTGATTATTTTGCCACTTTTGAATGCGCATGTAAATGTTTTATATTAAAAGTATGTGAACATTTTGTGCTATACATTCTATATACAGTAACAGTGAGGTTAAAAACATCCTGGACGGCGGTCTAAATCATCTCATGTAGGTCAGTCCTGAAACATCCTGGACGGCGGTCTAAATCATCTCGTGTAGGTGAGTCTTGAAACATCCTGGACGGCGGTCTAAATCATCTCATGTAGGTGAGTCTTGAAACATCCTGGACGGTCGTCTAAATCATCTCATGTAGGTGAGTCTTGAAACATCCTGGACGGTGGTCTAAATCATCTCATGTAGGTGAGTCTTGAAACATCCTGGACGGTGGTCTAAATCATCTCGTGTAGGTGAGTCTTGAAACTCCTGGACGGTGGTCTAAATCATCTCATGTAGGTGAGTCTTGAAACATCCTGGACGGCGGTCTAAATCATCTCGTGTAGGTGAGTCTTGAAACATCCTGGACGGCGGTCTAAATCATCTCATGTAGGTGAGTCTTGAAACATCCTGGACGGTGGTCTAAATCATCTCATGTAGGTGAGTCTTGAAACATCATGGACGGTGGTCTTAATCATCTCATGTAGGTGAGTCTTGAAACATCCTGGACGGTGGTCTAAATCATCTCATGTAGGTGAGTCTTGAAACATCCTGGACGGTGGTCTAAATCATCTCATGTAGGTGAGTCTTGAAACATCCTGGACGGTGGTCTAAATCATCTCATGTAGGTCAGTCTTGAAACATTCAAGACTACCTGCACTGGTGGGGGTGAGTGGTAGTGCGTTCCAGTCCCTTATTGTTCTTGGATATAACAATTCTTTCCTCACTTCTGTTCTACATGTCGGAAATTGGAAACCGTTGCTGTTTAAGTTACGGGATTTTCTGTCTGGTGGAATGAGAGTGTCTTCTGTATTAACATTTACCATCCCGTTGGCAAGTTTATACATCATTGTAAGTCTTGCTGCTTTTCTCCGATCTTCAAGGGCTTTCCTTTCGAGTACGGTAAGCATGTCACTAACAGATGAGGTGTTGTGATATAAGTTAGTGACGCATCTTGCTGCTCTTCTTTGTACCATTTCCAGCCGGAGTTTGTTGTTCTGCTGGAAAGGGTCCCATACTGTGCATGCATACTCCGACTAGGGATTTGTATACAGTTTCCTTTATAGTGGTGTTATTGATGTTAAGATTTAGTTTCAGAAATCCAATGGTCTTGTTTGCTTTGTTACAGATGTTTCTGATGTGTTCGTTCCATTTCAAGTCTGAGGTAATTGTACAACCTAGATATTTTGCAGATTTTACAGGTTCCAGAGTGTGGTCATGCAGTGTGTACTCTCTAACAATAGGTTTGCGTTTTCTTGTAATTGTTAGTACAATGCATTTAACTGGATGAAAGGCCATTTTCCATTTTGTTTCGCAGATTGCAAGTTTGTTGAGGTCCTCTTGTAGGTTCTCACTGTCTGCGTCTGATGCAATGGTCAGATATACTATGGTGTCATCTGCAAAGAGTCTAACCCTTGAGCGAATACCTTCTGGCATGTCGTTTATGTAGAAGAGGAACAAACTGGGTCCGAGTACTGAACCTTGTGGGACACCTGATTCTACATTGATGTATTCAATTCTGATTTCGTCAATACAGTTTTAAGATAACTTAAAAATGAGAATGTGTTCAACGTCATGCGGCCGATAGTTTTACTAAATAAGATAAGATAAGAAAATTTTATGTTGATTCGGCATAAGTCAAATATACAACACAAGCTCTAAGGAGCTTTTTTACTCTGTGTGCGAAAAATACACTATCTAATATTGGAATATCTATTTGCCATGATCTAAATGTTTAGGAAGCTTACTCTAATAACAGGTCAAAAACTTTGGACAATACTTGCTAGTGTTATGTCAATCTATTTAACGTAAGCCACAGCCATGAAAAAAAGGGGTAACTGGAATCGCAAAAAATACCCTTTAAAAGTAACAGTTTCAGTGCAGATTTACGATTTGTACAATTGATGATAGTCTTCATCAACCACCAACACAAGAAGACGAAAGGCCTCAAACATGAATAAAAGTACTTAAAAGAAAAAAACCTGATTTAATTTTACAAAAAAGATTAGGGCCTGTAGCAACTTTTTTTGCAGGATTAAAATTCGTAGACAGAATCTTGAGTAATAATAACGAAATAACAGTTCTGAAGATCATTTTTGTCGAGCCTTCGACTTTAGTCGAAAAACCGAGACATAGCGATCCTACATTCCGTCGGCGTCGGCGTCGTCGTCGTCGTCGTCGGCGGCGGCGGCGTCCACAAATATTCACTCTGTGGTTAAAGTTTTTGAAATTTTAATAACTTTCTTATAAACTATCCTGAATTTCTACCAAACTTGGACAGAAGCTTGTTTATGATCATAAGATAGTATCCAGAAGTAAATTTTGTAAAAATAAAATTCCATTTTTTCCGTATTTTACTTATAAATGGACTTAGTTTTTCTGCCGGGAAATATTACATTCACTCTGTGGTTAAAGTTTTTAAAATTTTAATAACTTTCTTAAACTATCCTGGGTTTCTACCAAACTTGGACAGAAGCTTGTTTATGATCATAAGATAGTATCCAGAAGTAAACTTTGTAAAAAAAAATCCATTTTTTCCTTATTTTACTTTTAAATGGACTTACATTTTCTGTCAGGAAGCAACACAGTCACTCTGTGGTTAAAGTTTTTGAAATTTTAATAACTTTCTTATAAACTATCCTGAATTTCTACCAAACTTGGACAGAAGCTTGTTTATGATCATAAGATAGTATCCAGAAGTAAATTTTGTAAAAATAAAATTCCATTTTTTCCGTATTTTACTTATAAATGGACTTAGTTTTTCTGCCGGGAAATATTACATTCACTCTGTGGTTAAAGTTTTTAAAATTTTAATAACTTTCTTATACTATTTTGGATTTGTACCAATCTTGGACAGAAGCTTGTTTATGATCAAAAGCTAGTATCTAGAAGGAAATTTTGTAAAAAAATAAATCCATTTTTTTCCGTATTTTACTTTTAAATGGACTTAGATTTTCTGCCAGGAAACAACACATTCACTCTGTGGTTAAAGTTTTTAAAATTTTAATAACTTTCTTATACTATTTTGGATTTGTACCAAACTTGGACAGAAGCTTGTTTATAATCAAATGCTAGTATCTAGAAGGAAATTTTGTTTTCTTCCAGTTAACATTACATTCAGTCTGCAGTTAAAGATTTTAAACATTTATTAGATTCATAAACTATCCTGGATTTTTACCAAACTTGGACAGAAGCTTCTTACAATCAAAAGATAGTATCAAGAGGAATATTTTTATTGATTTACTTCCTCATTTTTGTTGAGCCTGCGATTAACAGAAAAAGTAGGCGAGACACTGGGTTCCGCGTAACCCTTACGAATTTTTGTTAACAAGGATCAAATAGATTCCACTTAAGTTAACACAGACGCTTTTCAAATAAGTATCTCAGAGATTCAATATTTCAATACTTACTATGGAAAGCCACAGTGAACCCCCGATTATTATTATTTTTTCCCTTAGAAATACATGGCCGAAGATTTTATTATTGAAAATAATCGGCGGGCTCTTGATTTTTAAAAGCCAAAGATTTTGAGTGCATTTCTTACACAAACGATGCAAACGGCTAAGCGCGCACATGTTTTGATCATTTGTTTCTAACATACGTTTGCAAAGTTTACATAAACTTTGACAAACTATGCACTCGCTAAAAATGCGTCTACAGTTTGTCGTTCATCGTTTGTAGTACAAACGCTATATTTGTTTCTAACTTAAACCTGATTAAACGATGTATTTGTTTCTACGTTTGCAAAAAGTCTGTTTACCAACAACATATGCATGCATTATTGAAAGTTCAAACAGGGTTAGTAAAACCTGTTGGTGACCTTCTGCTGTTGTCTGTTCTATGGTCGGGTTGTTGTCTCTTTGACACATTCCCCATTTCCATTCTCAATTTTATTAGTAAACACTGATTTAACGATGTATTTGTTTCTACTTTTGTAGCGTTTAGAAAACAACAACAAACGCCACACAACGTTTACAAAATTTTGGTTAGAAAGAAATGCACTCTTTATAATTGATAATAATCGGCGGGGTCGTGAATTTTTAAAAGCCGAAGATTTATTTATATCCATGTATTTCTAAGGGAAAACATAATAACAGGGGGGTTCACTGTGGCATTCCATAACATACATTATCATGAAACATCTTTGTTCTCGATAACTGTTTTTACGATGCAAACTGCTGACTTCACTTTACACAAAACAAACATCCAATTATGTATCAGAAGGTACTGAGACCAAGATCTATGATAAGAATATCACCAATACTGAGATGAAATGTACCATTTTCGGAAAGGCACGAAGATGAATAATGCAGTATATTTGATTTAGTATGTATTCTGTTTTTGGTTACAAATGGATGTTCGTTATAAAATTAATCCTTTATCAGAAAGTTATTTATTTCGTCCCCACGATTCGTTGTAGTCACTGAGACCAAGGAAGAATACTGAAAATGGTGAGTTTTAAATTCTTAACTTTTTAAGATTGAATAAAAGTTTAAAAATTCTTGAAATCATAATTTCTTGTATGACTCGAAATTCAATCATAATGTCTTTTTTTTCTAAATATTGTTGCCATAGCTTTCCGTGCAGTCGTTATATAAAAACTTCATTAATTCTATTATCTATTTTGGGTTTGCATATTATATAAAGAACTCTTGAAATACTGTTATTGAAGTGGGGTAAAAACAAAACCTTTTAAACTGTCTAACACCACTACAAATTTTGTATTTTTGATGTTTCTACAATACAAACTAACATGGTGTCATTTTTAAAGAACGCTTTCAATATATTTTTTTCTCATTCTGTAGCGTGAAGTAATAAGTATCCAAGTCGGACAAGCCGGATGTCAGATTGGCAATGCTGCATGGGAACTATTTTGTTTAGAACATGGAATTCAACCAGACGGACTGATGCCGTCAGATAAGAGCATTGGTTCAGAAGATGACTCCTTTAATACATTCTTTAGTGAAACTGGAAGTGGAAAACATGTCCCAAGAGTAGTTTTTGTAGACCTTGAACCGGGCGTCATTGGTAAGTCGTAATAAAACAAATATTTCAAGACTAAATATTTTTAACTTATAAATACAGTGCATAGACATAAGTATTCGTCCATTGCAATTGTTTGCTTTCCGGCATTTCAAACATAAACCTCGTTTTAAAAAATATTGTTCGGGTCATTTATTGTCGGATTTTAATCAATGTGATACCACTAGAAAGAACATTGTCACATATTTATTTGTTTATTTGGTTAAAGTTTTGTAAATTGATTGTTAGATCTGCGTCTCGTGACTTATATTACAAGCATTTTCATATCTTTTTTGATAAAGCTATTGCTCATACTTGATTTGACGAAAACTACGTGTAAATTTACCATTTCATGTCAAATATGAAAATTTTCACATTAATATCGATGTCACAGCGACACTACAAATGGCAGCTAGTCCTAATTCTATCAGACTAATAGAATTAAACTTTATCAATTTCACGTTTCAAATAATTATAGCTGTTATCATTTCTCTTATATTTTTCTTAAAACAAGTCACCTACACATCCCTCAAATATTTTCTATTTCCGTTTTTATCTTTCTCAATTTCGACGACATCGTATTAGCGAACTGAAAGTCTTCTTTGCTGTTTTAAAATTATAATATATTTTATAGAATAATATTATCATATCTTGTAGATGAGATTCGAACTGGCACGTATCGTCAGCTATTTCACCCAGAACAGCTAATATCTGGCAAAGAAGATGCAGCCAATAACTACGCTAGAGGGCACTATACCATTGGAAAAGAAATGATCGACTTAGTAATGGACAGAATCAGGAAACTTACAGACGCCTGTACCGGGCTTCAGGGTTTCATGATTTATCATAGTATAGGAGGAGGGACTGGTTCTGGATTTGGATCTTTGTTGTTGGAACGGCTTGCTGTTGACTATGGGAAAAAGACGAAGCTGGAATGCAACATATATCCGGCGCCTCGAATTTCAACGGCAATTGTCGAACCATACAACTCCATCCTTACCACTCATTGTTCATTGGAGCACAGTGATGTGGCATTTCTATTGGACAATGAAGCAGTCTTCGATCTATGTACCAAGAAACTTGATATTCAAAGGCCTACATATACCAATATAAATCGACTGGTCGCACAGATAATAAGTTCTATTACAGCATCACTTCGGTTTGACGGAGCCCTAAATGTTGACCTTACAGAATTCCAGACCAATCTGGTACCATACCCAAGAATTCATTTTCCACTTATAAACTTTGCACCAGTGATATCAGCAGAAAAAGCATACCACGAAAGTCTGACTGTTGCTGAACTAACAGAAGCGTGTTTTAACCCCGCTAATCAAATGGTAAAATGTGATCCCTCACATGGGAAATATATGTCATGTTGCATGATGTACCGAGGCGACGTGGTTCCAAAAGACGTAAACAGTGCGATTGCAACCATTAAATCAAAGAGAAGCATCCAGTTTGTTGATTGGTGTCCAACAGGTTTTAAGGTTGGCATCAACCATCAACCACCACAGGTGGTACCGGGAGGAGATCTAGCTAAAGTTCAAAGAGCGCTATGTATGATAAGTAACACGACGGCTATAGGAGAAGCATGGGCATGTCTTGATCATAAGTTTGATCTAATGTATTCTAAGCGTGCGTTTGTACACTGGTATGTCGGAGAGGGAATGGAGGAGGGAGAGTTTTCTGAGGCACGCGAAGATCTTGCAGCACTTGAGAAAGATTACCAAGAAGTTGCAGCGGATACGGTCGATGATGATGAAGATGAGGATGAACAAGAAGAATATTGACATTAAGATGAACAAAACACTCTTATGTTGTAAACAACAACTCTTTATTTTAATTCTAACCAAATTTGACAGGAATAATGTATGAAACTAAATAATGGTTCTTCTCTCTATATAGATATTAGCTACTATCGGATGGCCGCAAGAAACATGCAATAATTGATTGATTCTGATTGACTATTTTCTTTAAATTTGCTCTGATTTTGTTTTTTAACTTGGGGCTCCAAAAATATTTTATTTTAATTTGGGACTCAATTGGTTTTTCAACATTTTTTTACGACGAATACACACAAGATGAACCAAGTTAGACTAAGTATGGAAAGCACTTTTCAAACTTTTCACATGGTGTTCTGCATTGTTAAGGCACTATCAGCAGTACCATGCTCTTTCTAACAGCTTACTGGGACAAACAGGAGCCTGTACTTCAGTGGTTGTTGATGGTTCCTGTCTGTCATATTTTTTTATCATGTCGAGGCTTTTTATAGCCCACTATATGGTACTGGTTTTGCTCAAAGTTGAGCATCGTACGGCAATCTAAAGTTGACCTTCACGTCAGTGTATCTCTTGGTGAGAGACGTCTCATTGACAACCATCCTAATAAAACTTGTGACAAAACAAGATAGCTAAGTAGTGACATAGCGCATATATATTATTGATAGGTAATTTAAATGGTTTTGGTTAATATTAATATTTATAGAATTTGTATTGTTGATCATTTATCTGTTAAATTCCTGTTTATCAAAAATAGTTTTCAAAAATAATAGCAAGAATAAAAAATAATTGTCAAAAATATCCATTATGTAGTTTTTGATTTAGCTGATCTTCTTTTGCTGTAGACAGTCCCTGTCCCTGTATAACAGTTTTCAAGTTAAAAGACGAAAATACAAGAATTTGTCAAAAACCGTCACTGAAGTGCGATATATAATGAGTTATCTGATAATTTTGGTTTAAATAGAGAGTTGTTAGATCTTGACATTCTGAATATTTTCACCCCTGTCAGAATTTCTCTTTCTTATTGTTTTGAAGATGTTAAACACTAACTTAAATTTAACCCATAGGCTTCATGTTTATTCGTGATGGTCATGTTGCTTGATGGATCATTACATATTATACAAAATCCTTGGCTTAAAATGTTTCAGTTTTGGGCGCTCCTGATGAAGGTACATCCAGAAAAACCGCTGCAGATGCACCAAATGTATCGTGTTATTTTCATCTATAATCTATAGCCTTATAAAGGATAAGTCATGTAAATATCTGTTTAAATTAATTCTGTATTTTCGGAAGGAAGATATGTGAAAATTTTAAGACAGACACCAGACGCAACGTCATGGCAAAAGTCCATCATATGCTACTTGTCAGATGAGCAAAAATGACAATCTTTACTGAATGCTAAAATTATCCACCAAAAGGTATATGATTCAGAATTTAAAACACTTTCAACACAACAATTTTCATAGTGTTCCTGATACTCCTACGTACAAAGCAAAACAAACTAGAACATGATACATGGCAATCACCCTAAACATGATGTTAATATGCACAGGAGGAAAAATACAGCCATACATGATGCAAATTTATATGGGCTGCACGGAAGCTTCAAATCGTATCCTGAAGGTGTTTGACCGATATTATTTTCTAGTCTTGAGAGTTTGGTTCATTATATATTTTTTCTCAGATCATCCAGAAATCGTCAGATGAAGATCAGCAATAAAACATTGTTCATCTGTATGGAACGCCATGACTGTCTTCTGATGTTGATTGTTAAATATGTTCGGTGCTTTATGCATTACGTTCAGTAGTATTTATATTTTGTTCAGTAGTTTTCATATTATGTTCAGTAGTTTTGACATTATGTTCGGTGCTTTGGTTATTATGTTCAGTAGTTTCATTATTATATGCAGTGGTATTTAAATTATGTTCGGTACTTCTGACGTAATATTCAGTGCATTTTTTATTATGTTCAGTACCATCGACATTATTGTTCAGTAGATTCAATATTATTTGCAGTACATTATGTATTACCTTCAGTGGTCCCGGTTTCTTTATATTCGGCAGATTATTCATTATGTTCAGTAAAAGCATCAGTATTATACTCGGTTCAATGAACTATATGTTCAGTAGTTGTATCATTATGATGATGCAGTGAAAGTCGGGAAATCAATAACGGAAATTTTCAGAAAAAAACGAACGCGGATATTTTCGACGGACGTTTTCTTCATGGACACTTTAACGGGATCAGGAATGAAAATGGAAGAACTGGAATCAGTATTAAACTTGGTTTGGTTTACGTTGACACGTTGGCAATTTTCACAAGGAAAAAAAATACTCCTGACTTAATTTGTAAGATGTCATGATTGATTGATTGTTTGTTGTTTTCTGAACGTACTTCTTGACGGACGTTTTCTTCATGGACACTTTTACGGGATGGAATGAAAATTGAAGAATTGGAAGCAGTATTAAATTGGTTTGTTTTACGTTCCCACGTTGGCAATTGTCACAAGGAAAAAATTAATCCTGACTTAATTTGTAAGATGTCATGATTGATTGATTGTTGTTTTCTGAACGTATAGTGGCAAATATTTCACGCATATTTATGACGGAGAGAAGAATTTTCAAACAAGAAATAAGAAGTTGCATGCGTTGTCGTTGATACACCATGACCTTAGAGAGACGACAAAAAGACAAACAGCAAAAAATAAAATATAAAAACATATTCTATAGCTTTTGTATTCCTTGCAGGTAACCCTTTTTGTTGGAAGGTTGTAGCATATTTATCTCATTCACCGACTTTTAAGAGACCACGCGAAATCTCCTTGCATATACTTCTATAGTATTCTGCATCCTACCCCGCTTATAGGCGCTTAAATATCAGATATTTATTTGAAATAACCCAAGATAAATGAGGTTGTGGATGAGGTTTACAGAATACAGAAAGTTGATTCATAAATAAGACCATATCAATGATAATTCATGGTAACACGGATTAGCCTCAAACCTGTATCTGGATATTGTCAATCAATTCCTCTTTAATTTGGCTATCTTTGGTGGATCTAGAGACTAAATCCAGAAATGTTTTTAAACGCTCTGTTCAAAAACAGATATTAAGTTATTGGTTTGGGTAGTTTCTAGTCTCTTATTAAACAAAAAGGGCCATGTTTTATGCATTACTTTAAAATAATAAGAACCATAACTGTACAGAAATGGTGAAAATTTGCACAATTAAAGTTTTGCACTTTGTATTTTGATATTCATTACCTGTCTAATGTAATCATATTTACACTTAGACCTAGTTAGTTTTTGTGTATACAGCTTGAATTTGGAAGATTAAAAAATCTTAATAAATGATTTTAAAATGACAATCAAACTGATACTCAATGTTCATTTTTTGTAGCACTTTGTACAATATTTCATTCTATACCCTTGCATACCAGCATAAATTTCAATGTAGCTATTTGAATGTATGAAATTTATGACTAGTTGTTTTCTGGTTTTTCTGCTATTGCAGAGCTTTTTGCTGTCATTTTTGTCTGAATTCTATCACGAATTGTTTTATCATTGTTGTAATAATTTCTGACACAATACAGGAGAAGAATGTAAGATTATCTTTGTCTGCAATAGTGGACGAAATAGTACGTCAAGATTTGTTAACTCGTGCAAGATCGTGATTTTCGAGGAAAATATCGAATGTACATAATTTGCATGGTAACATCAATTAACCAGTTCTGATTACGACCAGTTCAACATTTCATTCCATATCAATAATAAATTCGGTATGCAGAAAAAGTTTAGTTATTCTGTTAATCATTTAATTCTGTAATCACTTTTTTTTTACCTTTTCCAAAGTTTTAAACATTTTTTTTAAAGCACCCCTTTATTCTCTATTCTTTATTTTTTTGCTCACCTTTTCTTTTTTGGGGGTAGGGGCATTATTCTCTATTCTGTAAACCTCATCCACAACCTCATATATCCTGGGTTATTTCAAATAAATATCCGATATTTAAGCGCCTATTAGCGGGGTAGGATGCAGAATACAATAAGAATATCCAGAAGGAGATTTTTGGTGGTCTCTTAAAAGTCGGTGCATGAGATTAGTATGCTACAACCAACCAACAAAAAGGGTTACCTTCTAGGAATACAAAAGCTATAGAATGTTTTTATATCATTTTTTTTTGCTGTTTGTCTTTTTTTCGTCTGTCTATAGACATGGTGTATCAACGACAATGCATGCAACTTCTTATTTTTTGTTTAAAAATTCTTCTCTCCGTCATAAATATGCGTGAAATATTTGCCACTATACGTTCAGAAAACAACAATCAATCAATCATGACATCTTACAAATTAAGTCAGGATTAATTTTTTCCTTGTGACAATTGCCAACGTGGGAACGTAAAACAAACCAATTTAATACTGCTTCCAATTCTTCAATTTTCATTCCATCCCGTAAAAGTGTCCATGAAGAAAACGTCCGTCAAGAATGTCCGCGTTCGTTTTTTTTTTCCGACAATTTCCGTTATTGATTTCTCAATGTTTACTACATCATCATAATGATACAACTACTGAACATATAGTTCATTGAACCGAGTATAATACTGATGCTTTTACTGAACATAATGAATAATCCACCGAATAAAAGAAACCGGGACCACTGAAGGTAATACATAATGTACTGCAAATAATATTAAATCTATTGAACATAATGTCGAAAGTACTGAACATAATGCAAAATGCACTGAATATAACGTCAGAAGTACCGAACATAATTTAAATACCACTGCATATAATAATGAAACTACTGAATATAATAACCAAAGCACCGAACATAATGTCAAATTTACTGAACATAATGTCAAAACTACTGAACAGATTATGAAAACTACTGAACCTAATATAAATACTACTGAACATAATGCATAAAGCACCGAACATATTAAACAATCAACATCAGAAGACAGTCATGGCGTTCCATACATCTGATATCTTGGTTGCTTTATGGTATTTTGACATTTTTATGTCAAATGTACACTTACCTGTTGAATACATTTACACGTCAGGGCCTTTTATAGCCGACCACACGGTATGGGTTTTTCTCATTGTTGAAGGTCATACGGTTGCCTATTGTTGCTTACATCCACTTCATTTGTACTTTGGTGGATAGTTGTCTCATTGGCAATCATACAACATCTCCTTATTTTTATAATGTCTCCATGTAACAGGTGTATGTTTTTTCATTTGTCTAAAAGGAGATGCGGAATATACATAAATGAGAAACCAACCTAACAAAACCAACAAAATTGTTACGCCGTAGCAAAATGTTCCCCGCCGATGTGTAAATGATGAATAAAACAATGTCACAAGGTGTCATTGTGGAAAGATAGTCAACATATGGTTAAAGTCCCATATCTGCTTTTGAACAAGTCTGTACAATATGGTCAACTGCACACGCTGGCAAACAATCCTACTTACTATAATTAAGGTCGACATTTAGTTCGACACAATGGACGATTTTGTTGTAAGAGTTGAGCTTTGTAGCTAATCGCCGAAGACTTTAAAGATTCTATCAAGATGAATATCAGCAATTTTATTAATAAAACAATACATAAAAAGATACAAGGGATCGCCAAAAATATAGGATAGCACAACAGACAACACAAACCACTAACACCGACTCCATCCGAGATAGCGCACACACAAACAACAAGCACCATCATATGGTAGCTGTACCCCTGTAAAAGTAAGTTGTGTGTTCAAGTTGGGTTACGCTAATCAAAATTATATTATAACAAACCGTATAAGTAGTGAAAGTACACCCCATATGATGTCTAAGTTACATCCCCGTCTAAGGTGTACGGTTAGAATCCATATGTATCTCTTATCTATTATTCATATAATAATATACTTGTTGAGTGTTGCATGTAGTAAAAAAAAGGAAACTATAATTTGAAGATTTTGGTTTGTTTTATTTGTTTCTTGGTGAATAAAATTAAAACCTACAACAAAAATAATCTCTATCTAATGATTGTTTTAAATAACATAAATCGTCATCTTACAATAAGATAACATGTGTTGTAAATAAGTAGAGAGCATTTGAGACATCTGTTAAAGAATTAACATAAATAAACCTGTGTTTAACGTATAGTTGACTTCTGCTTTAATAATGATAAAAACGAGGATTAAGTTTGGAAAAACTATTTGTTTAATCAACATTTTTATGTGTTCTATGTACATGTTTTTGACAGCGTATTACATAGTATCAATGACCACAATTTCAGCAAACGTGAAAGAAGCAAACAGAAAACTGCCAGAAAAAACACAACATAAAAATTATACAAAAATTGATATCAAAAGGAATGAATTCATGAGGTCAAACAAAGGTGAAAAGGCTAATTACTTTGGACCAGGTAGGTGATAACTCGACATTAACTTAGTTGTATATGACAAAACCTTCCGGAATTTTAGGACCTATGCTCTCCAACTTCTTACTTTTTTGGGCCTTTTTAACTTTTTTTATTCGAGCGTCACTGATGGGGCTTTTGTAGACAAAACGGGCGTCTGGCATACACAATTTTAATCCTGGTAACAATGATTAGTTTAATAAGACAAGAGATACAGAAACATTATAGGTGGGTAAAGTCAGTCTCGCGATTCTATCAAGTACACCATTTACCAGACCCAAAGGCGCCCGAATATAAAAAGCTGTAAAGTTGATAGTTAAAACAGAAAATATAAAACAACTGCCATCAACTATACATGTATTGAAAGCTCCAAATAGGATAAAGTATATCCAAAGGTTCTGAAAAAGACTGGAATGTTTACATAGATTCTATTCTATTAAAAGGCCGAAGATACAGTGTTTTCCTATAACTCGGCATCCTCAAATATCTTGTATTTTTTATAAATCCACTAAAGCTGTTTATTTTTCTATACACGAAATGAAAACATGCATCTGGAAGCACATGATGTAGGAATCTGTTTCATTCTGCCAACAAATACTTTCAATGAAAATCCTACAAGGACTATTTTTTTTGGCATGCAAAATCCCTAATTCAGAAATGTAAACATTATATATTTTTCTATGTTTATTCAAGTTGCAACTTTGATCCCAGAACGACATCTAAGTGGGCAATACCTTTCTATTGAGCAAAGGAATACTGAAATCACATCTTCAAGTCTAATAGTTCTAATGTGTATTATTTTGAAAAAAAAAAATATGTAATTATATATAATGTGAGGGTATCCAAATTGCACCATTTTGACAGCTTTTTCACCTACTTTTATGTATGATCCAAACAAAAGTTGCCATTCTGTGTTTATTTTCTAGAGGTCTCCTTACTTACTGTATATTCCACCAATTTAAATTTGAACCCATATTGAATCATAGAAAAGTGGGTTTTAACCAACCTCCAAAGAGGGGGGTCGGTCCTTTATCGGGACTCCGGGATCGGGTGTTTTTAAGATCGGGATTTCGGGATTGATCCTTTCGGGATCCGGGAATTCTTTTTTCGAATTTCGGGATGTCGGGATTTAAATTTCTTTAAATTCGGGACCTCGGGATTTTATGTTTTTAAGCCCTGGATTTCGGGATCAGGACCCCCTCCGACCCCCCCCCCCCCCCTTTCCAAACGATCAACAATTGATGATGCCGCTATAATGAGGAGTACCCAAATTGCATCCATGCTTAAATTCGCATCCGTAAAAATCGAATAACTGATGTTTTGTTTTATTTATCCAAATATTTATAGTTTTAAGAAATGGATGCCTGTTACATATTTTAATTGCCAATTTTTAAAAGTTGACTTTTTGTGGACGTCGCATGGCCACATTATGTAGATGTTACTTTGTCCATTGAATACTCCATTTGTTGATATATACTGTGAACGTTTTGTGTATGTTTGAATATGTTTAGCTATGATGAAAGATGTACATAATGTCCAATCATAAAAGTCTATAAGAAAACTTGTAAGATTTCCACCGCTATTTTTTGTTAAATGGGTGCAATTTGGGTACTCGATGCAATTTGGGTACTGTGACGTTACATTATTCAAGTGGTAAAAGGCCAAACTTGAATTCAATTGCATTGATTCTCTACAGGTGTTGCATTTTTAAAAACATTTATAAATTGATTGAAAATAAAGAGAAATTTGTTTGAAACATAAAGTATATTGATTTGAAGAAACGAAGAATATGTTTAAAATAAATCGTTTTTCCACCTATTTAATAACATTAACGTACCAAGTTAACTGCACCAGATGATTAATCCTTAAATCATTTAGTTTCAAAGCATAATGAGTGAATATGTTTGTATTGGGGTAAATTCAGTAAATGACAAATTCCTCACGCACCAGCATCCATTTGTTTGATTTTTTTTTTTTTTTTTTTTTTGGTTTGAAACTTATTTTCTTCTGACACGTCACTGGAACACGCAAGTTTCCGTAATAAGTGAAGCCAAACCCGACCTTTCCAGGATAAATGTATCAGCAATATCGATTCGATTGATATACCAGAAAGATTAGCAGTTATTTGTAAAATTCAAAAGGACCTCAGTCATATATAAACCTTTCAACGGATAATCATTTTTGTATGAATGTTTTCCTTTAGTCTTGAACAAACATAACTTTACAAACTTTAAATTGATGTCACAAATTGTATTGGGTCCCTGCCTTTCCTATAGCTTGTAAGTTCATTTATAATTTACCAAAAGGACCATCTGTGCCATTTATACGGAGTACTTATTTGTTATTTCAGGAGAATTAGGCAAACCAGTTAAACTTGACAAAGATGATTTGGGTCTCTCCGACCTCAAAAGATTGAAAGAAGGATTCGAAAAGCATGGATTTAATGAGCTTGCCTCGGACCTTATATCCTCCCACCGCAGAATTGGTCCCATCAATATAGATCCTAGGTATGAATATGGTACATCTTAAAACAGCAATGAGTCAATATCAAACATATGAGTAAATATGTAGATAGATATAACGTTAACACTACCGTAACGGTGGTCGGTATACGTATGTAAAAAGATGGCTTAATTATCATTACCAATAAAACATTAATAAAAAAAACACCTTGAAAAAACAAAAAACAAAAAACAAGAATTAAAGCACAAAAGAAAAACTGAAATAAACAAAAAAAAAAAACAGTAAAAAAGAAAAAAAAATACAAGCCAATAAAGAGTTGAAAGAAAAATATCAATTCTAAATCTATAATCTGTTATCCGTATGTTTAAAACAAAAAGGTCAACAGCTAATTCAATATGAGAAAACAAATGTAAAACAACAGTTCACATCTACTAACCTTTATCATAAAACAGTAGTAGTAATCCATTGTATTCATGCATTTTTTTAGCTAAGACGAGATCCAGTGCTTTTATATGCTATCAGAATATAATTAACATATAATTACAATTCAGGCGGGATGACTACATTAAAGTTTCAAGAATCAGATACGTCTTATATTTCAATTATTGATTTTTACACTCATTATATATAAAGTCACAATTTTAAATAGATTCAAATCTGGGTTTTTTCTCTCTTTCGTGCAACACAATCAGATGTGCAAATAATATCTACGACAACCTGTCACCAGCCAGTATAGTTATTCCAGTCAGGGATGAGTCTTGGAAAATTCTATTGAGAACACTTCATAGCATTCTGTCCAGAACACCCTTAAATCTTTTACAAGAAATTATACTTGTGGACGACAATTCCAAAATGGGTAAGTTAACTTGTGAACCTTTTTCGATATTTATTCGGCATTAACTAAAAATTCTTTTCGTTTGGTTTTTTTTTCTTCTGTTAAACTATTTCAACGCCAAGCATGATTTGAAAGAGGAAACACAGATGTTTTTTCCTGGTAATAATTTTCTTTTATACCTTGGCAATATATCAAATACCCAAAGTTTGATTTATTTAAGTATGCGTTTGGTTTTTTTTTAAAGTTGGAACTACATTGCATAATGAACATATTTGCTTTTCAAAACACATGAAAATGAAAAATACACGTTATAAATTTTGTGCGTTCGAAGCACGTTTTTGGATTTTCCATATCAGTAATGCGCAAGCCTAAACATTTAAAAACCAAATATATATAAATACCTTGAAACGCAATAGAGAATAATCAAAAAGTTAAATTAACCTCAGCCTGCGTACTTTCTCAATCTCTGAAAATTTAATTTACAAAAATATAATACAGAACAAATTACAGACAAATGCACACATTAAATATTCCTGTATCACGATTTTCATAAAGCGACAGGCAAATGAATGTTTACCAAAGAAAACTTGAAATAGATAACGCTCATACTTTGCGATTTAATGTTTGTCTTGATTTAATCAATTTTGAAATTCTATTGTAAGATTACATGAAAGGCAGACTAGACTGGTATATTTCCCATCTACAAAAAGTAAAAATAATTCGCCTTGAAGAAAAGAAAGGAAGAAGTCTCATGGTGGCAAGACAAGAAGGGATAGATAAAGCTGTATCAGATATTGTCATAGTCATAGACTCGCATACAGAAGTAACCGAAGGTTAGAATTATAAATTGTTGTCATGGTAACACAATGTTTGCAAGAAAAAGGCTTTTACAATTAGGTAACTGCCAAAGAAATATAGCTAAGTGAAAAGGTACGTATTTAAGTATAATAATCATATAGCCATAATAGACATCATACACCTACGAATAGGATTATAATTACACTTTTTACAGGTAGCATTTAAACCTTGGATCATCTCAAAGTGTAAAACAAATTCTCACTTCTATTATGTTTTTCTATAGTTGAACAACGGGGATTTTAAGAAATATATGTAGAAATGTGTACACCTCAGTTATTGTACATGGTGTTATCCAATTAAGTTGAACATGCTGTAAATGCACGAAGTATGATATTGAATGGACAACCAATATTTAATAAATTTTACATGAGACGCTGATTTTTTTTTTACAATTTTCGTTGGATCGGTTGGAACAAATATAAATTAATTTCAGCATAGACTTGGCGTTAAGAAATTGCGATCAACTGAGGAGCATGTTGACAACATTTTATATTTATGGTAAGACATACACTTTCTTTTTTTTCTTTTTTTTACGAAAATGAAGGAGAAACAGCGGGTGGGCGTTTATTTTTCATGATATTATACTTGCCGTTTGGTTTATTTTTATTATATTTTATTTTTTTCCGAATAGGACAAACACTTTTGTCCACGTTTTTGGCGTAAAGTAATCAAAAATGTTCACAACACCGATATCAATGAACATCTTTGTGTCGAATAAACAATTTAAAATCTTCGTCAGCCTCTGTTGAAATATAAAACAGGTGTACTCAAATAGTTGTAATTTTACTATATGTCTTCTTAAATAAAACAAAACTAATACCGAGTCTAGATGTAATACTTGCTTACACGTTACAACTCATAATTATTAAGCTGCAGACCAAATATAAAAGCATTCCCTTTAATAGAAGTCAAGAAAACTTTGAAAGTTTTCTACCAAAGTCTTTCGGACAGACAAACGGACGGACGGACGTATACATTGATTGATTGATGATTGCTTAACGTCCAGTGTCAATTATTTCATGCATGTTCAGGACGAGAACAAATTTACAATATATACAATATGTAGGGCCTGCAATATAGACCGTCCGTATATGTAGAAAAGTGATTGATGGCTGGTTGCTTAACGTACAGTGGCAAATATTTCATACATGTTCAGGACGAGAGCAAATTATCAATAAACACATAAGTAGCAGTAATAAAAGCCGTCCGGGATAAGGGTAGAGGAAATTTGTACAGACAAACGGACGTACATGGTCGAGCGGTTACTAGATCTGCTTTTGCCTTCAGTGACTTAGGTAAAAATGAATACCGGGTTGTGAGTTGTTTGTTTATGTGAATTTTTTTATCGAGAACTAAGAAATCATATTAGTATGGACGTTTTCACACGGTGTCGGTAATTATCTCCCATGAACATGGGTGGGTCTGGTCTGCTCGAAGCATGAGCAGTAACTCATGAATCGAGACCGGTACAATTTTCTTGAAATTGTCCGAAAGAGTACGCTTATGTCTGTCCCTTTCAACACAAAAATTATCCGCAAAATTATACCGTAGATTTAAAGGGATAAAAGGTCCTAAGGTATATCAAGCGAGAAGGAATTGTTAAAATAAATCACACATTATTATGGATACAAAAGTGTATTCGTGAAAACGAAGGACATTAATATTTCAAAAGCACTGCGCTGCGGCGGCATTAATAATTATAATGTGTAACTGGCTTATTGCATTTTCCCGTTATTTACAAATGAACCGTTTGTAGAGTACCCTCTCAACGAAATGTATGCTGTTTTTGCTATACTGGAATAGGGTGAGACACCTTATACAAGACAACACATTGCTCGAAAACCCCACTATATGTAGAGGAAGTGTAGATAATTAAATAGACTAGAAAGCGCAATCGGAGAGTTTAAAAAATATAAAGTTATGGGGAATTTTTGGTGACATCCAAAACAGTGATTCAAATCTGTAATGATTAAATGCGCTGTATGAGTGTGTCATCGGAAAGACTTATTTAAAAACTAAAAATTTCACTTTTCATATCTATATATATTTATTCAAGATAAAAGGCATGAATTTGACATATACAGTAAATTAAAATGACATAGGTATAACACTAGACATAGTTTATAGACACTAAAATGATTTACATGTTTACTAAAAACTATAATTTAAAAAATAAAATTATGAAAATTGTCATGATATTTTGATAATACGAATAGACTAGATTAATAATGAGTGAAGTTTAAATTGACTAGATTTTCACTGTAGCCTACTACCTTAGGATGACCCACAAAAGTTATTGAAACTTATTTCCAGAGGGGTCATTTTATGACGAGACTTCCAGTTCACACCAAAGGTTGACACATGGAAATACAAACAAAAATCATTAAGAAATTATCACTGATAAATGGTCAAAGCCTCAGTATAATTAATAAAAAACAAATTCACTATTAAAGATGGATTTAAATTTATCCATCAAAAACTGTTTCACTTGTACTTTAAAATTATATTTCTTAGAGCAACTTTTAATTATTTCTGGTAACAAATTCCAGTCTTTTATTCCATTATAAAAGAAAGTGGTGGATTCACACCCTTTAATTCCTGGTATATATAAGTTTTATCTATATTGTTTTTTTTTTATATTTTGAGATGACCCCTTGTTTTTCGTCAACTGTAATCGTACGTCAAAGTGTAAATCTCTATCTATAGATATTTTAAGATAGCCCATACTTTAATATATCATTTCCAAGCCTTTGTCAAGAATTGTCACTTTTTCTTTTTTCCTTAGCTTACCTGACCCAAAAGACATGTATTAGCAATCAAAAAAATAGACATCTGTCGTCTGTCCGTTTTCATTTCATTATTTATTGAGTGGCATAAAATTAGACCTGACAATTCCAACCAAAAGTTAAAGGGCTAAAGACTGGAATTTCTTAATTCAATATTTTATCCCGTGTGATGAGACAAAAACATTGGAACATGGTCGTCAAAACAATTGTTGATTCGACTAATTGGATTTCAGGTCTTTTCTATGAATGTATTAAAAAATCAATAAATAATATAAAATAAAGAGGTTATCTGGTCGCTACTTCAAATAAGCTTAATATATAGTAAATAATATAGATGACTATAATAAAATAATGAAGTTTACCAAACAGTTTAACTGTAAAAACAAGTACACCGAATGTCATGGTTTTTTAGACGTGTTAGGTAAATGATAACTTTTGACAAGTCGATAAACATTTTAAAGGGATCGTCTCAAAAGACGTATTGATTGTTTCTATCGTTGACATAATGTATTACGTAAAGTCAAATGAAGCATAATAAAGTAAAGATTTTATCCTTTTCAGTCAATTAACTCGTGTCCTCTTTCTACCAAACCAGCACAAAGTTTAACAATCTAAATTATTTTCCAGCGCGGATGACGCCACATTGTACCAAGTACTTTATAACACTTAAGTCTGCCAATAGCATTAACTCGTCATTATGGGAGAATGGTTAGCATATATTTTATCCGCTAATTCAAAAAGTTTCTCTATGAAATCAAGCTGAAGTCCGTGTCCTATATCTGGCATCGAGTTGAATTGCTGTTCATCATTTTGGTGGCCCAGGAAACCGGTGCGTACAAGTCGAATGTGGTTTTGGTTGTCAATCAAAACCTGGGTGTGAATACAGTACGGAATAAAACTGTTCATGTGCCTCATTTTTCGGTCGATAGATTGCATGAAATTTACCGTCTACTGCCGCTACTGCGTTTGACAGTTCTGGCCATTAGCCTGGCAAGGACAACCACTCGTTATGTGACGGCCAATCCAATGGCGAAAATATCTCCAACCACAACGGTACTATACCATCAATTGTATGTGAAATAGTGAAGTAACACGAATACAATTATGTTCTTAGCCACAAATACTATCAAAAGGCGATTTCTTGGAGACCAGTTGCATATGACCGATTCATAAGGAAGCAAGTGCCAAAAAGTTTATAGGCTTTTGGTGTTGACACAGAATCAAATTTAAATAAACAGAATATCCTAGTATATGGCTCTAATATATCGCTATATGTAAAAAAAAAACAACTATAGATATAATACAGACGTTCTAATTCATGACATGTTGAGTCTGTTCTCTGATTTGCAAAACATTATCTTCGAGTGAGGTAGTATTGGCGGGTCCACGGTGGAGGGGTGTCCGGGGGTTGGAACACCCCTTGAATTCCATTTTTTTTAATTATGTGAACGTTTCATGGTGTACAGGTTGTTGGAACACCCTTTTCCCCCTTTTATCAAAATCTTTTTTTTCAAAATGGCTGGGTCCGCGCCTGTGCAGCAATATTAAAAGTTATTATTGTACCGAGTAACATCAGATATCCGATGTTAGTAACCAGGAAATTGCGTATATTTAAATATTGGATTAAGATATTGAATTATAACAATTATATATTACTTGGTTGTTACAATTATTTATTTAAGATGTGTTTGAAGAATCCAAATGACAAAAATAAATGGGTTTGTAATATACGAAAGGAAATGTTCCATCTTTTAAATGATTTGTGGTATTCACAAAATTCTGTATGTAAAGAACATATTGTGGTTATTAAATAGAGACTGTGTGATATTGTCAAACAAGAGTTTGATTGATACTTTAGATAGTTCATCAAAATGTTTTTTGTATAGATATATGATATCAAATTTGTCTTTGCAGACATATTTATGTAAACCAATACCCGAAATTTACAAAAAAGTGTATTGTTAAATAGAGATTGTCTTCACATGATTTAGCTATCGAGAAGGGAAGGTATTCTAATGTAAATAGATACCTTGGAACTTGTACATTGTGTACTGATGATATTGAGGATGAAATGCATTTTATTTTATCATGTCCTGTATATTCAAATTTGCGTGAATGTTTGATAAAACCATATTATTGGCGTAAGCCATCTGTTTATAAACTTTTACAAGAATTAAGCACTACTAATATAAAAGACTTGTGCAACTTAGGAAAATATATATTTCGAGCACTGAAGCTCAGAAATGACTGTTTTGAAGTTAATATGTACTTCATTTGTTTCATATATTTGCTATTTGGAATTATATTTATATGTATTAAATCTTATGTGTATTTACTACTTCTGTCTGTTTTGTCATGATCGTCTATTTTTGTAATCTTTATTTAGTATACATTAATTATACCTATATATTGTAAAACATTTGGTTAATAAAGAATTGCATTGATTTATGAAGCTACACAGTAAATGTATTAAGAAATAAAAAATAGAAAATAGAAAACTAAAATAAAGAGGTTATCTTCTACTTCAAATAAGCTTAATATATTGTAAATATTATAGATGACTATAATAAAATACCAAGGCTATCTATTTATATTCACTATAGGATGGATTGAACCATTAATTCAAAGAATCAGAGAAAAACCTAATTTTCTAGTAGCTCCCATTGTTGATCAGATATTTCCTGAAACTTTAGAGTATGACTACAAGAAACCCAAACCTAGAGCTATGTCATTTGACTTTCATTTGGAACAGGACTGGATATCATACAAACAGGAATACCTTGAGTCTATTTCATGGTCCAAACCTTATAGGTGAGTCATGGTTTATGTCTTTGTTACCAAAATAGAAAGTTTACAGAACTTTTATCTTGTTGCTTTATCATATATAAAATTCATGCTGATATTAAATTTCAAAACGAATTAAAAGATGCAGAAGTCTAATTCTTGAATTTTCCACACATGCAGTTGTATGAGTTGCATCAGCAAAATGATACTTCACAAATGTTGGCCTAGTTAAGCGAAATACTCCCACACTTTATCTTGCCATTTCATCACATATTATTCAGATCGTACCCATGTATATTTTCAGAACAACAGGAATCCAAGGCAATGCACTGGTATTCAACAAGACGTTTTTCAATAAACTTGGTGGACTAGACACCGGTATGAAGGTCTGGGGAGGAGAACAACAGGAACTCATGTTTAAGGTCTGTTCTGTTAAGATGAAATGCAACAACCCATCTCTGATTACTTTTTTTAACAGCAATTGTCAAGTTCCAGGGTTCGTTGTCTTTTGACCAAATTCATTTTGGCGATAATTTGTTCCTTTTTTAACTTTACATGACTGTGTGTTATATTTGTTGTGTCCATTTAATGTGATTATTAAAACAAAAATAGAATTGAAGAGTAAAAGTTAAGGATATCAGAAAGTTATAAAAAAAGTTTTAAAACGTGTTACATGCCGCGAAAATAAAACATATATTGCAAGGTTTTTTTTTCGTGAACTGTCCATGTAGTACTTTTTTTTATGAATAATATTTTTTCTTGCATTGTCGAATTATACATATCGTTTCTGTGGTCGGTTATACATATCATTTGCTCGTTTGCGATCCCAGTAATATTATAGCTTTTCTTAAGTCAAAATTAACACCTTGCTAGAAGAATGTGTTGGGTACACATTCGTGAAATTTGTTGTATAGATTGTTAAGGTTTTTTTTTAGTAAAGTTAACGTATATTTTTAGTATGTTATGTGTGGCGGTGATATAGAAATTGTACCATGTTCTCATATCGGTCATGTATACAGACAAAAACTTATATGGTCTAATGAGCTGAACAATAAGACCATAATGGATGAAATGTGTAACCAGTATCGAGTAGCAGAGGTATGGATGGATGAATATAAGCATCTAGTCTTCCAAAGACTTGGTAACTACACGGCAAGTATTTACATTTGCATCTGACTTCTGTAGAAGGTATTTTGGGATGTCAATTACTAGTAAATAGGACGTTGTAATTAATTTCAGTAGAGAAATGGACAGAACGAAACAATTGATTTTTCCCCCTAGTTTATCATAGTTTTAGAAAAATAAGCATAACAGGTTTAAGTATATGTCACCGGGGAAACTGGGTGACTTGAAGGGTTGTGTAACAAGAGCCTGACTGAATGGCCTCTTGTTACTGAAACTGTGTGATGTACCTGATCACACAACGAACGATTGCTGTGAATAGCAATGAGAACTTTGGCACTGAAACTCTGGTGAAAACTAACTCTTGAGACTCTGGAACTAGCGATGAATAAATCAATAATTCAGCATGGAATACTTTTATTACAGATGGACTGTGTTCAGTGTAAAGTCCTGAGTCCAAATCTTCTGTATCAAAATTATGAACAAGTATTTATACACAATTGAATTGACAAGTATAGACATAACAAATAACAATTAATTTGAGGAATATTGTTCACTGACAAGGATTAAACTATTTTTAGAACTTGAAGAATAAAGTTAATTTACTAATCTGATTATGATATTTAAAAATATATAATAATGAAAAAGGTATAATGTCACTAATTAGCTAATAGAATAAAACATGTCACTCAATGTCCAAACTGAGAATTAAATTGCATATCAAAGCATGTTGATTTTAAGTCCTGGATATTAAATGTAAATAGAAACGAAAATATAAAATTAAATGAATTTTAAAACACATAGAAATAAAGTCTAAATTATCAAAATTGAGAATTTTATATTAAAGTCCAAAATATTAAACTGAAGCTGCATTTTCCCTGGTCACATATACACCTTATCGCTATTTAGTCAATTCAGGAAAAAAAACCAGTCACTTAGATAACTTCCTGTTTGGGTCAAGTGTCGCATAATCGAAGGTCACCAGTAACGAGCTGAGGGAGGAAATGTTTTTAGAAAGCCAACATTTTGAAACTTGGATAGATTATGATCCACTTTTTTAAAACACATCAAAATCATATAAAAGCTTTATTTGAAGTATCTACAATGGTTTAATGGTCTCTTTACAAAGTTTTATTCATAATACATTGTTTAAACAGGGCTCCAGATAGCTTCAACTGGATGAAAAAGTTGTGTAATATCTGAACTTACCCGGATTGGAATAAATAGCGATAATGTGTATTGACTATTTGGAAACACGAAGTTGTGGCTTAAATAGCGCGTGTTTGCTTATCATTTAATTTTAATCGGTCCTCGATCTGTTTATAGACATTTCTTTTGAATTGTCTTTTTTGCCTAAGCCTGATATATAAATGGTAAATGCAGAAAAAAACATTTTGTACGGAAATTGAGCACGTGTACCTATGTTTTCGTTTTATTGTAGTAACAGTAACAAAAAAACGTACTATTTTTGTTATCTTCTAAGAGGGTCAACATAAACAATAAATTAGAAGTTGTCGCCTTTGCGTCTAAATTTATACAACTATACATAATCTGAAAACTCCATAAAGTTGCATGTTATATTTAGCTTTAAACAATGTGTCCTTTTGGGGATTTAGATTCTTTGAAGATAATTGCAGGCTACAGTAGTCGTTTAATTTAAAAGACAGTCCTTGACTTGTAATACCCGACATAATTTGTTTGCAGAGGAAATCCGGCGATGTATCCAGCAGGAAACGAATAAGAGAAGAAAACAAATGTAAACCATTCCAATATGTCCTAGATAGAATAACACAGATGATAGATTTATATATACCAGTTAATTTACAAGCTTCAGGAGCAGTAAGTACAGCAGACTATATTTCATACATGGTAAATACAAATCGATATCTAGATAATTCTGTAAACATTTTTTAGCTCACCTGGCCCACTGGGCACTTTAAGGAATTATTGCCCTTTATAGTCAATTTTTAACAATTTTCGTAATTTTCGTAATCTTTTACAAAAATCTTCTCCTCTGAAACTACTGAGACAAATTTAACAAAACTTGGCCACAATCATGATCTAGTTTTAAAAAAATATGTCCGATGATCCCGTCTGCCAACCAACATGGCCGACATGGCTAAATATAGAACATAGGGGTAAAATGCAGTTTTTGGCTTATATCTTTGAAACTAAAGCATTTAGAGCAAATCTGACGTGGGATTTAAATGTTCACCAGGTTTAGACATATCTGTCCTAAAATTTTCAGACGAATCAGACAACCCGTTGTTTGGTTGCTGCCCCTGAATTGGTAATTTTATGGAAATTTTGCATTTTTGGTTATTATCTTAAATAGTATTATAGATAGAGATAAACTGTATATAGCAATAATGTTCAGCAAAGTACGATCTACAAATAAGTCAATATAACCAAAATTGTCAATTGACCCCTTAAGGAGTTATTTCCCTTTATAGTCAATTTTTAACAATTTTCGTAAATTTTTGTAATCTTTTACAAAAATCTTCTGCATTTAATCTACTGGGTCAAATAGAATTAAACTTAGCCACAATTTTCAATAGGTTATCTTGATTCAAAAATGTATCCGATGATCCTGTCATTCAACCAACATGGCCCTATGGCTAAAAATAGAACAAAGGGGTTTACGATAGAAGTCTAATGGAAATTGTAAAAAACAATTTCAAATGGTCACAACTTGAAAACTAATTTAGATAATGATAAATGGTCTTCCGTAACTATTGTAAGACTACAATGGGATGACCTGCTTTTAATTTTACCTACTGGGCCAAATCAAACCAAAGTTGGCCTCAATAATTTTTAGGGTATCTAATACTATTTATTATGATTTTAATCTTATTTTACATGATTTCCAAAACCACAGTAGTGAATAGATACAGGCGAGCGACACAGGCTCTTGAGAGCCTCTAGTTATTGAAGATATTCCACAACTGAAATAAAACTGGCATACAAGCCTGGTCATATGAATCAGTCAATAGATAAAACACAAAAGAATATATTAATTTTCATATTTTGTGTCAATAATCCGACTTTTTTCTTCTCTCTTATTTTTACGCTAAACAGGAATTAAAAAAGAAATCTCGATATTCCAGTAGGACTTGGAATTAGATATGGTCGAATTAAGTCTTAATGTTGCTTATATCTGAAAAGACTTTATATAACATATTATATAATATAGTATATTCTACAGATTGTACATTCAGAAACAAAGCTTTGTTTATCTTACTGGGGAGAGGAACCATTTGTAGAGAAATGTCATGGACATGGATATTTACAGGTATCTATAACAACCTATGTAGAAAATGTGAAATGTGTGAATATTCATGTATATAAATAAAACGTATGTTATGATAGTTTTCCCTTAGCTTAAGGTTGTTGAGTTTACTGTTCGCAAGGAAGAAAAGAAGAGAAAAATAAATTAAACTTTTCAGAACAAAAAAAACCCAGGGGCATTACACATTAACGAGAGACTTGGAACAACACATTAAAACAATATATTAATATTCTGAAGTGGAAATTAGCAGACAAAATATACAATTTGAGTCATCAAAACTGAAACATTGGCCACTGGATGAATTCTTGTTCTCCACCAGGAACGGTATTAACCAAAAGTTGGTCAAAACTGTATATGTTGTAACTGATTTGATTACTTTAGGCACAACAAGTGGTTCTGGAAAACATTCACCAGATACGCATAAAATTAAAAGTTTTTAAAGCCAAACAATACAATTTAAACTTTCATGGTCTCAAAGTTTCTGATGAAGGTAAATCCAGAAAAGCGCTTTAGGCACACGAAATTTGTGTTATTTTTATCCAATTTACATATATTCTTCAAAATTTCTTTTTGAAAATGGCTTCCGAATAAGCTTTTAAAACTATGAATTTAAATATAAGCTTAACACAACAAGAAATGTTGCAATAAACATTGTTTCCTAGGTTTCAACCCATTTAATGCCAGTTGTAAAATGATTTTATTGTCAATATGACACTATATCAAAATCGTAGTGCTCTCAAATGACAGATAATGATTCTAGTTATTAGTTTGTAGGTTGTAAAATTTAAGGTATTTAGGACTAAAATCTTGGTTATTTTAAGGATCAAATCATGTGACTTCATTTTTTAAAATCTTTATTGTTTCAAAACATAATAATACATTAAGATTATTGCAAAAGAAAAGAAGATGTAAGCCCTGGCCTTGAAAACAACGAAAAGATAATAAAGTCAACACTACACAAAAAACTAAAAGTGAAAACTGAGCAACATGACCATTACCAAAATCCGGAAACATTAGAAAACAAACCTAATGATCAACAAATTCTTTAATGGAAACCGTCAGAATTTTTTATGGAGATGTCAGTTCATATGTAATAACCCTGACTATTCAATGAAAAAATCGCCTTATGGTTAAATCCGTGTGAAAAACAAATCAACTGTAATATGAATACAACATACAAGGTGGTACAGGATTGTGTTCCTTAAAAAAGGGACTTTTACTATTTATACAAAAATAAAAGCATGACGTTTGTTATGAAAATTGGGGTTCAAACAGTCTTTGGCAAGTGAAATCAAGAAATGAAGGTTACTTGGTTGTTTCCGATTTGTACTTCTGTGAGTAAGCTCATGTTTGTAAAGAAGTTGCTTACTATCAAAAGAAAATGCATAATAATAATATTTATCTTACCTCATATACATTTCTATGAATGTGATTGGTTAAAAGCAACCGCGTCGAGACCGTTTATATTTCATATAAGGTTAGTAGGCGGGGCTTATTTCAATACACGGTTAGTAGTGGTGTTATGTCCCTTTATAAAAACAACACGGTGTTGAGGAAAAATCTGAAAGGTTTCAACAGACGAAGAAATTGATGATGAACGATTGAAATAAATTCATAAAACACATTTAAAGCTAACAAGTTGTTATGGTTAGCATTTGTTTTTGTATAGACCAATGGAAGTAGGTTCTTAATACTTAGTATTGATGACAATCACTTTGATAGGCCACTAGTCTAAATACCACATGTTAAGATAGTAAGTAAGATGAATTCGTTACACAGTGTGCTAGTGACCTAATACGATATATATGGGGTCAGAAAATTCCATATTGGGATTCTTCGCTCTCATCCCATATGGCTAACATCTTCTTTTCCTTTGCAATAATCGTTGTTTTCGTTTGTTCCTAATCTTTATCTCTATGGAAATCTATGAAAATGCCGAATAGTGCTGTTGTTTCTTGTTTATTGCTCTTTTAAAATTTGCAATGTACAGTTTCGTTTGAAGCACCACTCACGAATGATGTTTCACAATGCACATATGCTGCTTCTTGTCCATTTCGGCATCATGTTATTCGAAATACTACCATTAAGTCGACACCACTTTGATTACACTGTAAATCGTATAGGGAATTATTAGCCCGGTAGAAAATGATTTAAACTTGTATACCGTTTGCTTTAATATTAATGATCGGGAAAGTTGTAATTTACCAAAAAATGTTAACTGTATTTTGTATCCCTGTCCTTAGGTTTTCTTTAGTGGATTTTGGTGTCAATTATTAACTTACAATTTCTTATTTATTACAATATAAATTTGATGAAACCATACCTTTATCAATCTAAAGACTTTAGATCTTGAAGTCATACTTACAAGTAATATATATATTCTGTTTTGTAAAGTTGTGGGTATAAAACTGTTCCGCAGCGACTTTCATAACAAAATTAAATGCTTTCAACTGTATATTATGAAAATATCAATATTGTTGATTTGGCTTAGAACCACTTTGTTTCTGATGCGTTATTTTACGTGTCTACCTTTTCATTTCTTTTTCAGTTTTGGGACTTGTCAAAAGATTTTCAAATACGATGTGAGAATCAATGTCTTGTGTTTGAGGATAAAAAAATTAAAACTAAACGATGTGAATACTTTAAAAATCAAAAATGGAAATACTTACAGGTGATTAATTTTTGCGTTTTATTCTCTGTTCATTGAGGTTTGACTGCGTAACTTAGGATAACCATGTGTGAAATACATTCAAACCTAGCCTTAACTTTATATAATCCGTTCTTGTACCGTTTTTAAAATCAATTAAAGCAATATTTTAACCAAAACATAGGAAGAGCCATTAGTTGGCAAACCAGCAACAACAATGAAAGCAAAACAAGCAACGAACATACCATCAACAAATTTAACATTCCCAAAAAGCTATGGAGTGCTTCTCATTATCACAAATTAAAGTGAGTTTTTTGTGTTTTTTTTTAAAATTTTTACAGAAAACGATTTTTCATCAGAAGTTTTTATTATTTTTTTTTATATTTTCGGATACCTGTGATTACATATCGGTCAATATCGAGCAAACGCAACAATGAACAGAGCTATCATACTATTTAAAGCAGAGGAAATGCGTTATAATAGATATTTCAGTATTGGCTATCTGCGCCTTTTTAACAATATGTGATCTTATAACAACATATGCATCGATTGGTTCTCGAATACCCATACTGTCAGACCACCCGTATATAGTATCTTCTTGGAATTTTATGCGACTGTCATACAAGTGAGAGATTTAGCTAGCTATAAAACCAGGTTTAATCCACCATTTTCTTCTTAAGAAAATGCCTGTACCAAGTCAGGAATATGACAGTTGTTATTCATTCGTTTGCTGTGTTTTAATTTTTGATTTTGCCATTTGCTTATTGACTTTCCTTTTTGAATTTTCGTCGGAGTTCGGTATTTTTGTTATTTTACATTTTACATTTTTCTTCCGTTCCTGGCGTGTTCTCTATGTTATAACTCATTCTAGCCAACAAAATCTTAGCAATATCAACAATCAACTTATCCGAAACTAACTGTTGTTCAGTAATAATAACAAGATTGCTTATTTTTTTTGTGTTTTTTTTAACCATTTTATTGCATTCAATTCAATAATTATCGACCTTTAAATGTGATATTGCTTATTTGGTTGTAGAATAATGGGATACAACATATCAAATCAGGAATGTGCTTGACAGTTGTAAATGCCTATACACTGATATTAGAAGGATGTTCACAAACAAAACAGCAGACATGGTATTGGGTGAGGAAATCTTGAAAACGTTGATATATCTATGGCTTTTAAATGAAAATAGTTTAAATGTATTATCAAAGAATATTACATAATAACATTGAATATATACAGTGTATAGCATTACGTTTTCAATCATTGTTTACTTGATATGGGTTATGTTTTCATATATTTTATGATGGTATGATACTTAACCCCTAACGGGAGGGATTGTGCTTGATTTTCATATGATGAAGACATAATCTTTCAATGAGTTTAATTGAAGTCTGGAGCTGGCATGTCAGTAACTGCTAGTAGTTCTTTGTTAATTTATGTATCATTGTCATTTTGCTTAGTTTCTTTTGCTACCTATTCTTACATCGCACTCGGACTTCTTTTAAACTGAGTTTTACTGTGCATTTTGTAGTGTGTTTGTTTTTTCTACATTGGCTAGAGGTATACGGTGAGGGTTGAGATCTCGCTAAACATGTTTAACCCTGCCGCATTTTTGCGTCTGTCTCAAGTCAGGAGCCTCTGGCCTTTGTTAGTCTTGTATGATTTTTAATTTTAGTTCATTTATATGTTTTGGAGATTATTATGACGTCCATTTTCACTGAAATAATATACATTTTTGTTGAGAGGCCAGCTGAATCCCACCTCCGGGTGCGGGATTTTCTTGCTGTGTTGAAGACCCATTGGTGGCCTTCGGCTGTTTTCTGCTCTTTGGTCGGGTTGTTGTCTCTTTGACACATTCCCCATTTCCATTCTCAATTTTATTGTGTACAAATGACTTGTCATGACGTTGGTTAAAGAAATCATATATATTTGAACACGGTGGGAGTATATGTTTAAGGCTATATCTAAGACTTTTGATTCTTTCTATCTTGTTAATTGCCAAAATGTGTACGCTATTTGTACATGTTGTACTCTTCACGGATATATGTTTTCCTTTCGGCGTTAGATTAAATGCCACTGTTTTTTGCTAACATCTAACGATATATTGCCAGTGATTAGTTGTAATAGGCTTTGCTAGTACTTTTACACCACTACTTTGTTTCTTTTGTATTTTTGTCTTTATGTTTTGGTCTTTTCTGCTTCGTACAAAGAATTTAGTTCTTGAAAAATACCATATATATGATAGATGTGATATTACACAGTCATCGTATTAGAAGTGTTGGCACAAATACTCCAGCAGAACGGATTTGAATTGAATTGTTTTACATGTCATTGCGGGGCCTTTTATAGCTGACTATGCGGTATGGGCTTTGTTCATTATTGAAGGCCGCACGGTGACCTACACTTGATAATTTCTGTTTATTTCATTTGGTCTCTTGTGAAGAGTTGTCTCGTTGGCAATCATTTCACATCTTATTTTTTATATTGAACATATGTGAATGTGCCTTCTAACTTTATCTAAAAGAGCTTTTTAACGGATGATGTAAATAGCTTGATAAATCAACTTTTTTTGCTCGAAATTTCATCCTACCATCTCGCAGTGAGCATGGACCAGATGATAGGCGGATGGGGTATTGTCTGTAATCATATTAATAAATTATATACAACTTATGTTTCCCATGACTTGTGTTGCATGTAAATTGTCTCAAATGAAGAAAATGAAGTGGCGCAATTAAAATGATGTGTGACGCAAAAGCAAAACGCCGTTAATAGGATGGTATTTTAAGTTGATTTGATATTGTTAATATGTTATGTCAAGGTTTTCGACGAAAATTATGATCAAATAACGCAAACTCAATGAGAAGCTATAAAGAGCGCATACTATTGACATCCGCGTCCTAATTTTACTTTTATATGTTTCTATCAAATTTTTAATAATACCATCTTCTGTTTGGAAAATCTTGTTTCGTATTATGACAACTAAAAATGTCATATTTTGGATTTATAGATCGTTTGTTGGTGTTTAAAGCAAGTTTGATCAATCTTAATTTGGTTATATCATAATGACTGGGTTATATTGTCGGAGGAAGTTGGAGTATTTCGAGGGAACCTGCTACCTTGAAACTATCATATTTCGATTTTCATTTCTTATGATAGAAATAGTTTTTACCCAAATGTTTTGACGATTTTGAAAGAAAACAATGTTTAATTAATCACTTAAGTTCTCATTCTTTGGGAAGACTGTGATTCATTGGAACAGCTTGAAGAAGATATAGTGTGCATCAAGTCAGTTGAGAGCGTCAAATCAGCACTCAAACACCGTCAATAGGTGCTCTCTCTTTACATGTGTAAATGGCAGAATTGGTATCTTCAACGTACTGATACAGATACAGATAATGCATATCCCTAAACATGTGACAGGACAACATTTCGACATCAGTTTATTGTAGAAGACAATAATTTGCCATCCATGTGTCTTTATTTTTGGTGCCATTGGGTTACAGACTTAATAAAATATACCCAAAATTAGCCTTTTTACATAATCAAATAAGGAAAAGCAAAGCACCTTCAACGTTTCATTTAACCTGAACATCAAAACAGCAGACAAACAAATTCGAAAACAAAAAGTTTTATAAGTCGCCGGCGTGAAAACAGGAGTTAGTTTCTTCACTATCTACTGACATATTTTGATGGTCAAACGTTGCACTGTGTATGAAGCATAACTACTACTTTATTGGCTGTGAAGAAATATACAATTGTTCTTTGTCTGACTGATATCTCCAAGTTTGTAGTCCCATCATCATGTGTGTTGCAGTAAGGCTGCATAAATATACATAGCTATCTATGGTACAGTGTAATAGAGCGTACAAGTAAAAGTAATACATAAGAAAAACTTAAAAATGAAACAGAAAATAAAAAAGCAGAAATGTATTTGGGTTTAAAAGACAATGTCATGTTGAGAAAAGTTACGGCAACTCGGACTCCAACAAATGAAAAATATAAATGCTCAAATATATTGTTAAAAATAAAAACCTTATAACTGGAAATCTTAAAACACACGTACATCATGATAATTGAGTACAATAAATGATAATTGATATTAAACCACTTCCATATTCAATCGAAACAAGTATCAAAAATGTAGTCATTCTTTTTTTTTAATTTGAATTAGTGTCGATTATCTTCTGGGCACGCATTTGCTATAGAGGTTATACTTAATAATAAAATAGGTAAGAAAAACAGAAATTGCATACAACAATCAGCAGTGTGTTTCCACCAGTCAAAATATGGTAATTATTATTCTTATCTATTGTGAATATACAGATTAGATGTAAATTTTATCTATATATTGCTTTACAATGTTTCTTTTTTAATTTCGAATTTACAAAATAGGATTAAACATTATAATTGATATTAAATCTAGTAATCAAATTTGTCATGCAGGGTTAGGATTAGGTTTATACACGGTATAACTTTGATCTCCGGCAACTCGGCAAGAACAGCCGTTCATGTAGCCTGTGTAGAACGCCACTGCTAGGAACAAACAACCAATAACACCAAAATATCCACCATATACTGTAAACTGAAAAGTAAACGTCAGTGTTTGGTTGTGTCTATTTGTATAGTACATTGTTGTGGTATCAAAACTGTCACCACGAATGTTGAGTTACAACTGCACATTAAATATTCATATTTTGTTTTTTTTATTCATTTTATATAATTTTGAAACTAATGTAAATACGTACAAATTCAGGATTCAAAATCATATCCACTTAAATAAGTTGTCTATTGTTTTATGTAGTTAACTTGCTGTTTTACTGACATGCCCCTAATATATCCTTATAGTCCAAATCAAATGAAACAATTTTCCTTAGACGATGTAGTTTGTTTTTATTTTAACATTTTCCACAGGTGGAGCAGGATCTGCCTACCCTTCAGGAGCACTTGAGATCACCCCCGGTTTTTGGTGTGGTTCAAGTTACTCAGTCTTTAGTTTTCTTTGTTGTGTTGTATATTGTATACTGTTTTTTGTCTTCTTCTTTTTTACCATGGCATTGTCAGTTTATTTTCGACTTACGTGTAGAAATCCCCTTTGGAAATTATTGCCTCTGTTATCCTTTTGATTAAAATACTTAACATTATGCTTGTAAAGGCAACGTAAACGTAGTTCGATGACGTTTTAGATTTTTACGAAATTTTGTGTGCATTGAAAACTCGTCAAGCTGCACTTCCTAATCGTAAAAATGAAACTGATAAAGGTAGCATTTATACTTCTAGAGACACAGTCAAGGTGAAACAAAATTGCCGCCCCCTCCTTGTGAAATTACAGTTTGCGAATCATGGTTCCGTGCAAAATATTTTACTAAAGAAAATTCTATCATATTGCTGTGAACGTTTAAATGATATGAACATAATTGCTGTCTAAATCCATTTTGTTTGAGTGATGTACATAGAAATAAGAAGATGGGCATGAGTGCCAATGAGACATTGAGACAACTCTCTATCCAAGTCACAATGTGTAAAAAGTAAACATTTATAGGTCAAAGTACTGCCTTCAACACGTATGAAATAACATAGAAAATGATATTGAGAAACATAACGCGTAACGACGTTACATTAATTTGACATTTTTTTGTTTTTTTCACTCGACCTATCGATCGAGCCTATTGGTTTCTAGTGAAAAAGTTGTTTTCCTCCCTTAATAAATCCAAGGAATTGATTCATTATTCCGGTTTTTTGATCGAATTTTAAATGTTTTACCTGTGTCTGTACGTCCACACCAAGACCTACTTTATCTACTACAATGACTGTCAGTAGTGTTTCAACTACCAGAGCCATAAACGTGTTCACTCCGAACACAAACCCATACCGTTGTTTGGTAAGGGATTGAGCAATCTGTAACCTGTAAGGTAAAATATATTTACTTAATTTGTGTACTGTTTCTATATTAAAACTGCTACGATTGAATTGCATGCATAATGTATGCATGCAATTTTATTCAAACTAGCAACAGCTTGGTAACATCTGAATCATGGAACACACGTAAAAACGCCAGTGGTCAACTTGTTTTTGTTATTCAGGAAATATGATATATGGAAGACTTTTGAAAGTTTCTGTTAAAGCGGGAGGTACGATAAGAGCCATTATGTTGGTCCCTGAAAATTAGTAAAATCAAAGTTGTATAAATTTTATTGATAAATGAACACTTTGATATAATCTGACCATTTCAGTAGAGAAAGGCAATTGTGATGGCACTTTGACGCCCTAAATATATCGAATTTATTATATAAAATTACGCGTAGATTTTTGACAACATAGATATGAGTCCAGATCTTACACAAACATATGCTTTACAGATAGTTTAATTTTTACACATATAAAGGAGAGGCGAAAGAAACCAAATGGACATTGAAAATTCGAAAATAAACAGACAACACCATGACAAGAAAAGAAAAGAATCAAAAGACAAACAACAGTATAAAAAACACAACATAGTAAACTAAAGACCGAGCAACACGAACCCCACCAAAAAGGGGAGTGGTCTCAGGTTTTTCCGGAAGGGTAAGAAGATCCTGCTACACATGTGGCACCTATCGTGTTGCTCATATAAGAACAAATCAGGTGATAAGTCTAACTGGGTAGATCACATTCGGAGAAGAGATGTCGGGACTTTGGTTTCGACAATTAAAACGTATCCGTCAGATACGATTAACCAACTCGTGATGGCGTTCTAACATTTTTCGAGGGAACGATTTCAACTTCACCACTTGTGAGCAGCGACCCTTTAGAAAGGAAATCATGATAGAAAATGCAAGCCCTGGAATAACGTATCAACGAGAGATTGCCATTTTCTAGGTGTTAGTCAATATATGAGGCAGACTTAACTGTATCTGTTGTATTCTTTATTTCAAGTTCAATGAGATAGATGCGTTCAACATCGTCACCAAACGTTGAATTATAATGAAACGTTATAACCATCTTTGTAAAGACCTCACGTACCAAATATCTTGTTGGATTATATCTGAATATTAATGATAAGATCTCATAATGCGGCTATTATGGCAGTTCAAACTAATGTTTCGTGAACATCTAAAGGATGTTATTTGGCATATAAATATAATACATCTGATTGCCGAATTTAGCAAACAAAACAATAGATCTTGTCATGCTTATTCCTTTATTTAAAACGTTCTAGACTTGGTGCTGAATATCTTGAAACACCCCTTTCATTGATAATAGACTTGTTAACAGTAGTCATGTGATAAGTATACCTTCCTGACTGCCCTTAAATCGAGATTTGAACTCGTCTATGTAGAAAGTAAATAAAGCAGCAGAGACGGTAGTTCAGATACATTGTGATCAACACTCTCCAGAGATTTATATAAACGTGAGTATTATTTGTTCTTTAGATAAACATAATGAATTCCACGTGAAATGTGGATTATTAATAAAAGTTTTAACAATAGGAATTTTTATAATATATTCAAGGAATACATACGTGATACTTATTTTACAATGTGAATATACAGTGTTCAGTTCGATAGTAAAGTTGTGTATAGTTGGATTACTTAATTTTGAATAGTGTATACTAGTAGTGTAAAAAAAATCATATTGGCGACGTTGGAGTGTTCCTTTTCTGTGTATCATTCATATGTTACAGTGATTACAGGGTATAGTGTCTCATTTACTACCAAGTGATCTATTTGATAAATAGTGTAAATTGGCAGTGCCGTTTGACTTGTTTTGTTTCATTGTTTTGTACAAAGTGATATTTTGCTACCGTGTTTGTTGTCTTGCTATCTGGATGTTACTTTGATCGATAGTATAAATTGATCACTTAGTTTAAAGTACTGTTTGCAAGCGGTTTTTCCTCAGAGTTATACATATGTTGATTTCAATTAGCTTTGTTAATCAGTATTTTATATTGATGTGACGTGCAGATACCGATTCAGATTGGTATTTTAAGATGTATTTTGAAAACTGGAATCCGTTTATTTCGATATAATTCCATTTGAACGTTCAGGTTTACAAGTAACACTTGGAAAACATAAGGTCAAAGAGAAAGTTCAAGAATATGACAAGCGGAACTAAAAGCTTTTGGAAATGTCGAAAGCTATTCACCCAAGTCTTACAACATTATCAGCCGGCAATTAAAAAATATTTAAAAAAGGTGGAACAAATTTTGATTATTACTTACCTTGCTTGATATATAAAACTTACGTTGCTAATGTTATCACTGCATGATACGTAGCTCTAAAGCCGCTGTACAATGCATACGAAACCCATATATTTGTTGATTGTCCCATTACTATAAGGCCAGCGGTATTCAAAACGCATACGATGGCCATTATTGTTTCTGATAATCCTGGGCGAGACCAATTCACGGGTAAAAACCCAAATACTAATACACCAATGAAACCTGGTGAATACAAAATATATAAATATAGATATAGGAAGATGTGGTATGAGTGCCAATGAGACAACTCTCCACCCAAGTAACAATTTATAAAAGTAAACCAGTATAGGTCAATATAGCTGCATACATAAAAAATCAAACTCTTCGGCTTGCAAGTTGCAAGTGCATTATATGTATAAAAATACCATCAAACGGTATAAAGAAGCACGCATGAAACTTCAGTATTTTAAGTATTTTCCTAAGTGTTTAAAAGGTATAAGCATATAGAGATATATTCTAATATTCACGAACCGATATATTCGTGTGATGCTCATCATAGTTACACACTTGAATATTTAGAATACATATTTAAAGTAAATAATTAACGAAATGTTTTTGTAGATTTTTTTTGAATATAACAGTATCATTTGATTTACTAACACATGTAAATTTTATTTCACTACAAGAGGGGTGAAAGATACCAGAGGGACATCTAAACTCATAAATCGAAAAAAAAAATTGACAACGTCATAGCTAAAAAAGAAAAACACTCATATCTAACGTATCAAAAATCGCTTTGTTTATCATGGTCACAAATTCTCTCTTCTCGGACAATTACCCACTTTTTTGTGACAATTGTTTCCTTGATTATAGTTTGAAATGTTCGCAGAATCATCGATAACTAATATAATGAGAAACACAAATAAGGTGGTTTGTATGAGCATATTTTAGTACCTAGTAAATGGTTTAGACGATCAAACCTTACAAAATAGAATTACTAAAGTGACAATATGTGTTAGGCATACAAATACTTGTTTGAAATTATTTAAAAACTCACTTATTAGGGTTCCAAATGCCTCTACAGCTCCGTTGTAAATAGTTCCTTTTTGATCTTCTGGTGTAATTACTTCCCAAAGGTTCTGAATATAATTCCTGACTTGACCATGTCCACATGATGCAAATGCCCACCAAACTGACCAAGCTATTACAGACTTATCTGAGTAAGCAGTTTTCAGTTCATTCCATAAGAATAAAATTCCTCGCTTAAAAGTGGATTTTTGAACATTTGGACTTTCTTGAATGGCTGAAAATCCAATATTGTTGTCCAACTCTTTGTTCGTTACGTCTTTGTTTTCATCGTGCTTTCGAGAGTGAAATATATCCGAATGGCTTGGTCTTCTTAATGTTACTGCTAAAATGAATGCCAGCGAAACACTGACCATTGATATTATATTAAGTTGTTTATAGTCCATTAAATTAAAAGATACGAGCAACTGCCCAGTCAAATATGCAGAACAACGACCGATAAGAAGTGCAGCTCGTGTAAAGCTTGTTATTATCTTGTACTGTTCATTAGAAACCATTGCAAAGAGATATGAATAGTAAGCTATGTCAGTAGCTGTTATGAGACCATAGCATACTTCCATGAATTTAAAAGCCAGAGCACCTTGTGCCCACAAAAGAATTGACCATGTTGCAATGTATGTTGCACCTGAAATGTATAAAATATTTTCTAAATATCGATGGACTTTATTCTTATTGATATATAAAGAAATGCCTCTCAGTGTTCTCTCTATATTATGCCAAAAACACGTGGTTGCAAACATGTATTATACCAAGAGGTATGACTTCGATCTGACCTTTATTATTTAATATTGTTTTTTCATATACTGACGATATGAATTCGATACAAATTAGAACTTTTGTAGAACTTTTAAAGTGTGTGTGTGTGTGTGTGTGGAAAGGGGGGGGGGGGGAGGGGGTGAGTCTGAGCGTGTGAACGTGTTTACAACTTTTAAATCCCAACAAAATTGATTGATTGATTGATTAATTAATGTTTATTGCCACATTTATCACTATTGTGCTTTTTACTGATGGTAAAGTTTTATTGATGGAGTAAGGCGGAGTGAACGGAGAGAACAACTGACCTTTGGTGGGAAAATTGACAATCCTAGTTAATGAAGATTGGAATCGAGCGCAGCTGCCACATGTGGGGTTTAATTTTACAACCTCAGTATTGACAGGCTAGTGACACAGTAGTTCGACTACATAGAATGCTCGACCACCGAGGTCCCTCAATAAAATTGAAGTAACCAATAAGTGGCACATTTCTTTTTTTATCTGTTACCAATGATTGTATATCAAGTAACATACCTTCAAGGACTAACATTGGCTGGTAGCGGACATAATCAGTCAGAAGAAATACAGGTACGAGCCATAGCAGGTACGCATAAGTCCATATAGGATATATTTCATTATTGATTTCTTCAACTGTAAGATTTTTCCATGGTCCGGTTAGATATGCAGACATATAAGCCTCAGATGGTCTGAATTCTTTTAAAAAGCCAAAGAGGCATACCAAAAATGTCAACACTTTCCAATGCATGATTTATCTGTCAAAAGAAAAAAAAACAAAGAAAAAAAACAACAAAAAAAAAACAACAACAACAACAACATCACACATAATCGACAGTCTCTTGACAAAAAGAACTTATTAAAAGTAAGCACTAACGACATTTTTTAAAATGGGACAGACACATGCAATGGTTTATCGAATTTTGTTCAGAAATGAAATTATCTCAGTGAAATGGATTGACCAATGGTTCATAGAAGATGGGATAACGTACGAAAGTCAGTTCAATTTTTGCTGCTGGGTCCCAATTATTATTACTTTAACCTATTATGTCTGTTTGAGATGCTCATCCAATTCTGTCAATACAACCGACTATAAACAACTGTTCGACAAGTGGGGGCTTGGCTAGCTAAAAACCCACCATTTCCCCCGAAAAAAAGATATCACAGGCATAAACGATATTACGCTGATGAAATGTAAGATTGAATTGAATTAATATTTTGTAAATCTTCATAGGGTGAGCACTCCGAAGATGAACAGTTTTTGTTTACCAATTTGCTTTAAATAACCCATCAAATGAAAAAGAACTGCTAGTGATAATATTGTGTTGGTATTTTGATGTTTTTGGGACCCAACAAATGTAAAGCACTATGACACAATATAAGGGGAGGCTCACGTTCACGATAGGAGGCTGGAAACAACAACAGGAAAGAAAACCAAACTATAATATCAAGACGTTCGCTATTATTTGATAAAGAACTATGAAAGTGATTACAATATAATTTCAAAGTACAATTTTAAAGTTAAAATAAATTGAAAACAATTATGAAATACTACAAACAATTCCGATTAAATATAAAAATAACAATTATGATTTATGTTAAATTAAACCTGTTTAATTAAAATTCTAGTTACTAATAAACTTTATTTAATCTATTCAAAATAAAATCAAAAGAAAAATGAATTTAAATCTAAACTATTTTCGAACTAAGAGACTAACGCAAGAAATTAGCTATTAATGTTATAGCAGCTTGATCAGTTTATATACTTATTTCTACAGGCCCTACTAACATTTATATTATTCATGAACCCGTAAACCATATAAAATAACAAAAGAATTTATGAAATGTTAGCAAAATGAGAATACCCAATTATGGCTGTGGTCCAAAACCTATCCAAAAAAAAAAAAATTGTTTTCTTTAATTTCTAATATTTCTTATTTCAAGATTATCAAACTATGTTTCAAATATGTTCATTAATATTTTTCATATTATAATGTAAACCAATTTACAACTTAAAATATATAACATAATGTAAAATGATTATATAGATATTAATTAAGATATCAATAAAAAGTAATTATGGTACTTACTAGTTTGCGCCCTATACATTGACACTAATCGGATTGTAAACTCGGGTTGACCATTGTCCAGAGATTTATGACATTTTCTCATTAACTTGATTATTACTGTCAACAAATGAAGTGTTATTTGTAGACAAGACAAGACAAATATTTAATTAAACTTATGTACATACATATAAAACATAGACATATATAATTGGTAAACAACAGCGTTAGCATAAGCCACTCTAACAAGAGTTACGAGAGATTGATAAAAAAACAAATATACAAAAAAGAAATGTATATACAAGAGTTAAACATATTGTTAAAAGTAAGCGCTGAAGAGATTTGTATTCTCACCTGTATCCAAAGTTCATGTCTTAACGATGACTAGAGAATATGTGAAGAAAGTGAATCAAAATTCTGTATAAGTAAATATACCAAATCTAAAGGAGGTAAATTTGACAAACGTGATGTTTAACATATTGACCAGAGATATATTTGAAGTATCGCACTCTTTTAACATTTACGAGAAAAGTTTGCCTTTTGAAAGAATAAAACAGTTAATCAATAATTGCATATAAAATATTTGTTACAGTAGATCATACATACATTAATTAATAAACTATATCAAATAAAATAATTATAGGTTTCATAACGAGTGAGAATTGGATATCGCTTGATATCAATAGATATAAGAAGATGTGGTATGAGTGCCAATGAGACAACTCTCCATCCAAGTCAACTCTAGTTATTTAATTTCAATATAATAACAAACGAGCGTTCGTCGAGTTTATTATTTCAATTCAATTCGATATTTTATTAACGTCTCACCTTATGTATATAATTACATATTGCAAATATAAAAGATACATGTTGTATACATAAGCCAATCTGTACAGATTTATGAGAGACAACAACTAAAACAACATGTATGTCCATTAATAAATATCAAACATGAATGGTAAAATTATACAGCATAAACATATAATTTTCGAGCGCACCTTTTACTCCAAGGACATGAAGTGACTCGAGAGAATAAAAAAGTGTATAACTAGATAAATTGAGAAAGTTGATACAAAAGAACGATACAGATAACATTAGCATTGATCATAGAAAGGAGGGAAACAAAAGTTTTTACATACAAAATCAAAATAAAGTAAAATGGCAACTCAAAATGATAAACAATATGAACAAAAAATCAATGACAATATGGCGTCCTACGCTGAGGTCGTGAGAACCGAGAGGCAAAGTAATAAAGTTGAAGATCCGGTTGGACTATCATCAAATTTTCAAGCACAGAAGCCAGTGTTTATTCTAGAAGAAGTGTGGTTTTCCGTTAAATCCATGGAAAAAAATACTGGAATTTTTCCAACACAGAAATGTACTATAATCTCAGGTACTAAAAAACATGCAATACGAGGGCTGCAACGAGTGAAAGGTCTATGGCGAATACATTTAGATCGCGAAACTCTCATTTCCAAAGGCCTTTCTATTGGAGGTCAGCGTATGACAATCTATACACGAAATCCCCGCATCACAGAACATGAAAAAGAAAACAGTATTAGAATAAGGGTTAAAGATGTACCACCATCAGCAGACAATGAAGAAATACTATGTTTTTGAAAGATACAACATTAGAGTACTTTCCCACTACAGAGAACGGTTAAGGTATAAAGATCTCATTACAAATTGTCAAACAGGAGACAGAATAATTATTTGTATGAAACTTGAAAATCCTCTTCCAAGATTTCTGAAAATAGGGAAGTACACTGCCAACATCATGCATTATGTGCAGCCAAGGAACAACCAGAAAATAATATATAGAAAGTGTCTTGAAGAAGGACACATAGCTAGTGCGTGTGAAAACGACTGGAAATGTAAAGGATGTGGAAAGTTTGGACACAAACAAGACACGTGTACTGAAGGAATGTTCACAGAGGAAGAACAACACACAGACAATACAGAAAGTTCAGAATCTGAGGAAGAGAAAGAGAACGAAACATCTAAAAACAAAAAACAGGCGATGAAGAAGGAAATGAAACTGATAGTCAATCAATAGAAACTAATGAAAATCAAAATGATGAAGGAAATCAGGAGGCGAATCAAATCCTAGGTGATACAGGCAATATAAATCCCGCGCAGTCAATTTTGGCCCAAAACATCCCAAAGGACAGTGTCAGCAGAAATGAAGGAAAAGGGAAAAAAAGAAGGCAAAAAAAAAAACCAGAATCCAACTCAAAGCAATATGTCAAGCTATATAGTTAAAACGTCAAATGTTACAAGTGAAAAAGAACCAAATACACCAAATTCAACAAATGTGAAATGTCTTTTGAATGTATTTGAAAAGTCACTTGTAACACCAACAGAAGAATTACATCAGAGAGAGAATCGGTCAAAAAAGCAGAAAAAGTAACTCCAAGAATAATACTATGACACAATAACAAATACAATATACAATGTTTTTTAAATTGTAAACATCACATTGTATTGACAATGTTCTTATGTTTAAACAAAAAAATGCACAAAAATATTTAGTCGACATGTGGTTTAATGAAATCAATGCGACAAAAAGAAGTCACGTTATAATATAAGTTGGTAAACAAAAATAAAAGATGCAAATATTTAAATTTAAATGCTGCTAAATTGCATGCAAGCATGAAAAATATTGTTAGAAGATTAAAACTGGTAATAGGACTTCAACTGGAAATAAACAAACTTGAATCAATTGATGTAGAAAACACGTGGTATAGTTTATATTTACACATGTCACATGATAGCATAAGCACGTGGTATTGTTTATATTTACGTACATCACATGACAGTGTGAAAACTCATATGCGACATTACAAAGACCAACAAACTGGGTCACTTAAATCAAGGCTCGAGTTAATAATTGATGAAAGTTACCGTACCGGAATAAATAAAATAATCGGAAATAACAAACAAATAAACTAACCTTTTCAAACAAATGGCTACTAAACCACTTCACATATGTTCTGTTAACACTCAAGGTTTACTGCAATCTGAAAAAAGAAAAAGACTAATTGAGTTTTGCAAACACCAAAAATGCCAAATGATGATGCAGGAAACGCATTTCACCAAAAGTTTAAATGACACTTTAAATAAAGATTTTCCAGGAGAAATTTTTCATAGGTGGGATAGTAGCGCATCAAGAGGTGTAGCTATTTGGTTTTCAAAACAAACAATATATAATATTATAAATGAATATAAGATCAGGAGGGACGTTATCTATTAATTAATGTTGAATTAATGAAATATAGATAATGCCTATTCTCTTATAAACATATATGCACCAAATATAGCAAAAAAAAAAAAAAGAAACGCTTTCTTTAAAAAGGTAAAAGACTGGACCCAAGAGCATAGTTTAGGACATATTATAATGGGAGGAGATTTTAATGACATTCTAACAATTAATGATACAAAAAAATAAAAGAACAAAAAACAAATTTGACAAACCAGTTCACGGGCTAAAAACGCTCATAATAAAATAAAATATTTCAAATTTATAGACATATAGACAGAGAAAAACCCCACACAAATTCAATATACCTGGCGTAGAAAGTTAGGGCTAGAAGCAGACTAGAATTGACTTCTTCCTTGGAAGTAAAGATTGTAAATCACAAATAGTCAAAGCAGATATAAGGCCTATTATATTAAAATCAACAGA